TTTAATGAGACAGATCTCAAAATCACAAATTATATGGAATTATGTTATATATTGTTATATAATATATTGTTATATTAACTTTTAAATACGAGTGTATAGTGATTTCTAAGTTGTATCGATATTGTATTGAAACCTGTTCCCATACCCGGCCAGAGAAACTCGTTTGATCTTGCGGATTGGGCATCTGCAGCAAGGGCAACATGCACTTGTAAGCTTTAGACCCCCCCCAGTCAGGTTTTTGGGCCATCCAATATTACTGGGTTGCAGTACCTATCCCACTTTGTAAATGTTTAGTATCCTCCATCCTCACTATCCATTTCCTCATATTTCCTCATTGATGTAGTCATCGAACCATGTTACCCCATTTTTGGCGGTTTTATCACCATCAAGATCTCAAGAAGACATGAATTCCACTGAAATTCCATATGGGTATGGCTCACATACGCTGCAGAGTTTACTCGACTAACCATCCCATTTTAGGGGTGCCCACGCCTGGCAGTTATACAATGTTATACAGTTGTACTTGCTTTTGTTTTGTGATAGCCCATGGATTGCTTATACATGTCTGATATCATATCTGTTTTGGGTGTACCCAAGTTTGGCCCAACCCCACCGGGCCATGCCGTCGCCGTGGGACGGTCCTGACGCTAGCGTTGCCCTGTCGGCCAGCAGCCCAGCATTGTTGGAGAAGGCAGAGACGATGTGGGTATGGCGTCCATTGGGAAATCTGTTGGATCTGTTGTTGGATCTGTTGGCCAATATATGTGGCACCTTCAACATCGTTTAACTCCCGTAAACCTTGGCTGTTTTTCTGCGACTCTTTTTTGGGCTTGGTTGGGAAATGATGAGGTCAAGAACATCTATATATATATATATAACGTCCTGTAAACACTCTTCGATCTATTTGGGGCTCCGATACTTGAATTCAACGGATATCGGCTATATAATACATGTTACTACAATGGGCATGTATGATATCAGCGGAACTCTGCACCACCAAATATCATGGTCATGGTGATGTAACCATGTTTATTGGCCAAATGATATCTGTCGAAATAGGCGAGTATGGTTCAAAACAGACCGATCTTGTGGTTCCACGGGTGCCCTAATGTTCAGCCATGGCAATGGGTGTATACGCACTGGTAATTAATACGTTGCAGTGTAGTGACCAACCAACTTGGGGATATACTGTTGATATACTGTAAACCAACATAAACCAACAGGTATGCAACATGGGTAGAGACCCAGTGAGAATAATCTATGAACCGCTACTTAGCCAAGCAATTTTTTGGACCCCAATGGAAATGATGTTTTTATTGAAGTGAACCAACATGTCCACCAAAGTTGTCTTGCAAGCAACTTCTTTTGAAGCTCCCCTCCAAAACTATCACTTTCCTCATCAAGGAAAGCACGTCCACAGGTTTCCTTGAGTTCAGCCAAAACACATGTTGCAAGGGTTGGGAGCCCCCAGAAGTCCTTGCTTTCTTGGGATCAAACAGGATCAAATGGTGATAAATCTATGCATAAAGTAGCTAGGGATGTAAGTTGTTCAAACAGGTTGTTGCTTTTGTTTGGGATAAGTATGTCCAATTTTTCAATATCTCCGGGATGGGTTGAAGCCACCTGCAAACAGTGCGATTCCACAGGCAAGGCCCATCCGCCTGGGTGATACGGTGTGCCTCGGCGTCGGGGATGCCATGGGGGTTTTAAGATGAAATGACCATGGCACAGCCACCATTCATGTGGGATTTAATGGTGGCTAATGTGGCTAATGTAATTCATATGCATATTATCATATGAAATGATGCGTATACCTTTTTTCATCCTTTTTTATAGACTGGGTACTAATCTCAATGTGGGCGTTGATCTTGGGTTTCATATGATCTCGTACTATGCCCTTAGATGATAGTTATTGATAGTTAATGGTCTGAAATTACTCTCATGGTGGTAGTATGGGATGTCAGTGATGATATACACATACAAAACATCCACACACGCACATATATACACACTATATATATACACACTATATATATATAGTGATCCTTAAGTAGATAGAATATTTTTTTGGAGGGTGCGGGATTTATGTTGGAATTATGTTGGATGTCGGCCACTTAAAAAAGAACAGGTAGTTGGAATATTTCGACCCCCCCCGGGGAGGTCGAAAACTGGTAGTTGGAATATGGTTTGGAGGGGTAGGTAGGTGGAATATGGTGGAATATCCTGTGGAAAAACAGTCTCAAGCTGCTGTGGGGTCTGCGCGTGGTGTTCACAATTCCCTCAAAATATTCTATCTACCTGGTTTGAAACAATATTCTATCTATTTTTTGGTGTTGTTTGATTTTTGTATTTTTCAAAATTTCCCCAGACCCGTGTCCAAAACTGGCTAAAAATGACTTAACAAAGACGAAAAACGTGTAAAAACTGAGGGTTTTGAAAATATTCCAACTATTTATTTTTTTTTGAAAAATTCCTTTTTGAAAATTTCCGATATTCTATCTACTTCAGGATGACTATATATATACATATATATACACACTATATATATACATATACACACTATATATAGTACACAGTATAAATAAATATATATATATACACATACACACTATATATAGTACACAGTATAAATAAATATATTTATATATATACACACTATATATATACATATATATATATATGTATATTCGTGTAATACACAGTGTATATATATATATACATAATGGGCTAGCGCCCGGGTGCCGCCGACCCCCCTTCTGGGGGTTGGGCTGAAGGTGGTTGGTCTATATCTAACCCAGCCACGTCCCAGATTTTGTACAGTTGTAAGGGTGCGTGCCAATAAGAAGCCATTGATGTGTGGCCTTGGGGTGCCTGTTGGCTGCAGGATGAAGCATGCCAAGGGAATGTTTAAGCGATGTGGCCTTGGGGCAGCGCTATTGCCTGCGCGGTCCGGCGTCCCGAGAAGCTTTTGCACAGTTTGCAGGGTTTTAAGGGTTTTAAGGGTAAGCGTTTAAGGGCTGGCAAACGGCAGGCTTGGACGCCCATTAAGGGTTTTCAGGGCTTTAAGGGTTTTGAGTGTTTTTAAGGGTTTTAAGTTTTAAGGGTTTTAAGGGTTTCCTTGGGGTGCCTGTTGGCTGCAGGATGAAGCATGCCAAGGGAATGTTTAAGCGATGTGGCCTTGGGGCAGCGCTATTGCCTGCGCGGTTCGGCGGTCCGAGAAGCTTTTGCACAGTTTGCAGGGTTTTAAGGGTTTTAAGGGTAAGCGTTTAAGGGCTAGCAAACGGCAGGCTTGGACGCCCATTAAAGGTTTTCAGGGTTTTAAGGGTTTTGAGGGTTTTTAAGGGTTTTAAGTTTTAAGGGTTTTAAGGGTTTTAAGGGTTTAAGGGCTGGCAAACGGCAGGCTTGGACGCCCATAAGAAGCCATTGATGTGTGGCCTTGGGGTGCCTTTTGGCTGCAGGATGAAGCATGCCAAGGGAATGTTTAAGCGATGTGGCCTTGGGGCAGCGCTATTGCCTGCGCGGTTCGGCGTTCCGAGCAGCTTTTCCACAGTTTGCAGGGTTTTAAGGGTTTTAAGGGTAAGCGTTTAAGGGCTGGCAAACGGCAGGCTTGGACGGCCATTAATTAAGGGTTTTCAGGGTTTTAAGGGTTTTGAGGGTATTTAAGGGTTTTAAGGGTTTAAGGGCTGGCAAACGGCAGGCTTGGACGCCCATGAGAAGCCATTGATGTGTGGCCTTGGGGTGCCTGTTGGCTGCAGGATGAAGCATGCCAAGGGAATGTTTAAGCGATGTGGCCTTGGGGCAGCGCTATTGCCTGCGCGGTTCGGCGTTCCGAGAAGCTTTTGCACAGTTTGCAGGGTTTTAAGGGTTTTAAGGGTAAGCGTTTAAGGGCTGGCAAACGGCAGGCTTGGACGCCCATTAAAGGTTTTCAGGGTTTTGAGGGTTTTTAAGGGTTTAAGGGTTTTAAGGGTTTTAAGGGTTTTAAGGGTTTAAGGGCTGGCAAACGGCAGGCTTGGACGCCCATAAGAAGCCATTGATGTGTGGCCTTGGGGTGCCTGTTGGCTGCAGGATGAAGCATGCCAAGGGAATGTTTAAGCGATGTGGCCTTGGGGCAGCGCTATTGCCTGCGCAACAAGTGCAACACCACACGCAGGTAGACCACCCCCGACAAGCTCCGCAACCATTGCCCAGATATGGGCGCCCATATGGGTACAGGACATGCCTGCTAAGTGCTGTCCAGCACCTTGCACATTTAAAGCCCGTGCAGAAGGCCTTGCACAGTTAAAGCCGGCGCAGGCGGTCTCGTGCGTTTGGTGCCCGCACGGAAGGCAAAGGACGGACCCCCGCCGTCTTCATCGCTGTCGATGACTTGAACCTTTACTACGGGAATGCGGGAACCGCTGCTTTGGCCTTGAAATACAAAACCTTCCGCAGGAAAACTTACTTGCCCAAAGCATGTAATTTTCATTTCCAAATGCCTGGAAGTCTTAACTGCAGGATGAAGCATGCCAGGAGAATGTTTACGCGATGTGGCCTTGGGGCAGTGCTGTTGGCTGCGAGATGGGTTTGACCTTGGGAGGCTAAGAAGGAGAAGTTCCACACCTGCGGTGGTCCCAGGCGCCGCCCCTGCCTTGGCCAAGGTCGGGGTCGGCGGATATATAGAGAGAGAGAGAGAGATTATGTAATTCCAGTGCTTTTGCCCAAGTGGGAGCGATGAAAAAGCGGAAAAAAACAACATGGACAGAGTAGCTAAGACTGGGACTGCTCCATCAGCAACCTCGCAATCTCCCGAGCTGCAGAAATCATGCTCTAGGGGAAGCATCAAGTTAGTGGTCTTAAATGAGGTTTTGGATTGATCTACCCAAGATGAAACCATATCAATCATATGAATCCCAATGTGAAATTAAGAATTAAGATGGTACTGAATATGAAACCACATGAGAACCTGAATCAGGGACTTTTATCCTGAGTCCTTGACTTACAGGGGATATTTGATCCCTCCAAAATCTGTGATTGGCTCACTTTCTGTTGCTATCCAGTGATGAACGAAGGGAGCGAATGCCATGGGAGTCCATTTGTATCCATATGTGGGTATGGATCAATACCTATTAATACCATTTTTAGGGGGATGAACATCCATTTACCAGCTGTTTTGATGTTCACCAGGGGTACAAGGTTTTGACACACTGCCATGTATCCAGATTCCCAGCCATGGCCATATGAAACTCCTTTGCAGTGGGATGATCCCCCATACCGGGTGCCCTTGCAGCCACCCCAGGCATTTGCTGACCACCAGCGGCAAATATCTGGAAGTAAGTGGCGATGACATCCAAGCGCGGACACTTTGCGGCTGAAATAACAGTGTTTTGGAGCCTGGATCCCCAAGTCACCATGGATTTCAATACTGCATGATCATTCATGACTTGGATTATTTGAGGGTACCCCCAATTTAGGACACCTCTATGTTTTGCTACCCTTTGGTGTCATCAAACATGGCAGGCAATGGGCGTTTTTAGTGACAAATGGAGGTTTGAATGGGAAAATTATCGAACTAAATGGGTGATGTTGCCAGTTTTTTGTTCAGATTAGATGACTTTTTGATTCTATCCATCCATGTTTCCAGGATCGCAGCACATGTAATTTGAAAGTTGCAAGTTGCATTTTTTGGTGCAAGTTGGCATGGCATCTTGTGCAAGTTGCCCGCTTTTGACGCTCTGTCTGAGGAACAGAAGTGGGCTACAACACCAGCGTTTCGTGGTTTGCCCCTACTTGAACTCTCAGGCCGATGTTGCGGGCATGGATGGTGCCAGGTGCCACCAAGGTATAAGCTAAGCCATGAGTTCAATCTAGAGGCTTATACCTTGGTGGCACCATCCATGGGAAACTACCCCTAATATGACAGCTAAGGTAAGCCAAGGTATAAGCTAAGCCATCAGTTCAATCTCATCTTTGTGGGAAACACATTTGGTTGACATGATAGGATTTGACAACATCCAACATGATCCCGACGGAGGTGTCAATGAAAGTCCCTGTGGCCCTGGGTGCTTTGTCCAAGACATGATCGCCAGTTGCAGTTCCCACCAAGAATGGAAGAACCTACTTTCGAAGCCTGATCTTGTCAAACATCTTTAGAATCTCAACCCTGAATAAGCCCATCCCCAGAAAGTCATTTTATTTGCTACTCACACATGCTAGCATGGTCCCACTAATTAACTGACCTAGGGACCATAGCCATGCCCATGTCAACCATTCCTCATTCGAATCCAGCAACACCATGAGGTGCCAGACATGGCGGAGGAGCCATTCCCAAAGAGGAAATTGGCCGCTGAACTCAGCGAGTGGTCTTGGGGATGGCTGCACGTTGGATGGGTTGAAAATAAATCCCGACCATCAAATAGTCATAAGTTCAACAAAAACTACCCCTAATAAATTATGATAATAATAATCTATAATAAACTGGTGGCGTTTTAAAAACCTGGATGAACATTGGATCCACCCAGAACAGATGTTTTATTTTACATCGCTGTGATCGTCCATATGAGCTATGTCTAGTTGAGGTTTCCAAATCCCAAGGTTCGATGGTCCCAGTACCCCCTGAGGCTTTGAATATTTGGGGGAAGGATTCTCTTGCTGACTTTGGGCCTTTGATCTCACTAAGGCAAACACAGCGACCTTCAAGGGAATGGTGGTGAGAGACGGAGATGCCATCTGCCTGATGGTTGCTTGGTGGCAACTGGAGATGTGGGATCATTCTGGAATCCGAAGCTGTTCTCCACCATCGAGTTCTGCCAGGATCCCTGCAGGTGTCGGTAATTTCTCTTTAAATTGGAATGAGCTGGATCAAATGCATCATGGTGCAGACTTGAAATACCCAGGCAAGTGGCAAATCAGGATAGGCATGGATAGGAAGTTTCTACAAGGCTTCCCAGTTCTTGGGCTACACGTGACTTCACTAGGTCACTAGGTGCATCTGCCAGAAACCCCGACATGAAAAAAGCATGGGACCAAGGCTTCCAACGGATACTTCCTTGGGATCACACAGGGGGAGGCGCGGGGGGTGAGCTTTCTGATTCAGAAACGGTCAACATTAACAGATATTGAAAGTCATCAAATATGTGCATGAGTCACCAATTTACACCTGTACCCAGCAATTGTGTCTTCTTCTTCTTCTTCTTCTTCTTCGGGGACTCCTATGTTCAGCTCCGATTTCCGGCTATCGATCCGATAATTTCCCAAAGGTTTGCGGTGGGCTTGTCATCAGCAACCCCCGAAAAGGTAGAACAGTAACAACCCACTAAAGTACGAGCGAAATTACTTCTTTCTGTCTTTTTTGGGGTTGGTACAAGCTCGAACCATCGTCTGACCACAACTAGAAACATGTTTTGACCATGACTGCGAGGAAGAGGCGGAACCCAGCGGCCGCCGCGTTGACACTTGGCTATTTTTGGGGCTTCAGGGACAGACTCGCAAGGAGTTTTTGGTGTGCAACTTATAGATCTGCTCTGGGTAAGCCTTGGGTGTTTAGTCTTTGCATGGTTTGATTTTTGGATCTATAAATGGAGTAGTGGGGATATATCTGTACTACCATGTACTACCCAAGTTTTGAAAAGAAGCAGGGACTGGATATGGAGGTAAGATGAGCAAGCCACAGCCTGTAGCGAACGAACTCCAGCAATTCTTTGAAGATGAGCTCCATCACGTTGATTTACCCTTTGACAGTTGGTTTCTATTGAGTTTCCTTTTCAATCTTCAGGACTTAATGGTTCAAAGACCCAAGAAAACACCACAGATGTCCTTTCAGTGTCTGAACATCCAATTCTGGGGTACCCGAGCTTGTCCCATAGATCCCAACTATATACAGGTAATTACATGTAATTACAGGTATTTAGCCACAAATCAGCTCCTCCAAGCCGTGATTTGTGACAGCCTGCTTCTCTTGCCATGCAACTTCCAACCCAAACCCACCTAACCTTAAGACATCTTAAGACCTTCGACTCCGATTCAATCCAATCCCCAACTGACCCGCACCCCCAAACTCAGCCCCAGTGGCACCCCGCAGCAGCAGAGTCCCGGCTTGCAAGGTGAAGGCCGACTTCCCTGTAGGATCCGTTCCTCCTTGTGCCATGGTGATGCGCACGGCCAGTCGCAGTAAGGAGGCGGAGCGGTGGCTGCGGGATGATCTTCCCTGAATGATAACTAATCAATCGAACCATGAGAGTGAATATTGGTGAATATATTGATGAATATAATGATGACTGGTGAGTTGAGGGTTTATATTTAGTGGATTTTAGTGGCTATTGATAACTGGTGAGTTGATGTAAGTTGAGGTTTTAGTCTAGAAAGATATTGACCAGCAAAAGAAGGAGGTGGAATTGACAAAACTGAGGAGTCAGCCGCAGTCAGCAACAATATGCAGATATTGAAGCAGCAAATATGGGGTTTGTCCCACCAAAGAAGAGTTGTTGAATCGAGAGAAAATGGCAATGGTGAAGCAATTAAATATGAGCCGTGGTCAAAAGATTGATTACACAATGCTACAATATATTATGTTATAATGTATTATATACCCATTTTGGAGGATGGTCATCAAGATCATCAAGCCATTAATAGGAATTTATATGATGTATATCCTCATTCTTAGGATTCCTATGGAATAGAATGGATAACCATAAAATCACTAATCCTCCAAGTGATTGGATGATCTGGAGCAAGCTACAGATGGCAAGATCATCGAAATAATAGTAATATATAAAAGTCATATATAATAAACATATATAATAGTCATATATAATAGTAATGTAATGACTCATAATTGTAATGACTGATAATAGAAATGACAAAAACAACAGCAGATAATAGCATATACTCGCATATAATTGCATATAATGGCATAATAGCGTATAATAAATACAATAGCATACAACAGCAATGAGAATGATGATGTGTTATGGTCGCCAGACAATGGCTTAGCAGATGTGTTCAACAGAGTCATCGAGAGATGTCAGCTGGTGACTGGGTCCAGTTGCTCAGCATGGATCCTTCACTTTCTCGAGCTTGGGGACACCTGCAGGCAGTGGAAAACACATTTTTTGTGCATTGCGGGCCCAAGCCGGATCCACAATGCAGCTTTGTTTCATGATCGTTGTCAGTCCTTGATAAGAGAGGCTGGATAGTTTCAGAGTACCCCGATCTAACTCCGACCAAGAGCGTTTGTGAAACTCATCCCTGAAACGACCTGAAACGACAGGTTCATGGTTGTTACTGTAAGAGCTTGGGGTCAGACCTTGTTGTGTTCTTGGCTCACCAAAGTGCGACTATCTAGGACCATGGCTGCTTTGACAACTGGGTATGGATTTCTAGATGGGCCCATGGTCAGGTCTTAGATGGACATGGAGTCTTCCTTCAAAGCTTAGCTTCTGCGCAGGTGCTCAAGGGGGGGAATGGCAGGGTGATTGGGGCAGGGCTTGACACGAAAGATGGGACCCATTTGTACAACTGCAATGCCACTGCAAATGATCTGCTTGCCGTCCAACACAGCTTTCACCCAAATCTCCATCTGCGGAGCATCAGAAGATTGACTGGAGAATCACAGATCTTGATGACTTCTGCAGGAAACCTTCCCATTTCAATCGCAAAACAAGAATTCTGCTTAAATCCTGCAAGGTGGTGCCCCCCGAGAAAAAAAAGTTTATAGTCCGCATCAACTGTTGATACTCATACGATCTCATACAATTATCATACCATATAAATATATATTTATATATATATATATATACAAGCGCTAGCGTTAAGTCGTATCAGCTCGTAAAAGTCGTATCGGGAGGCCGTGCGCCTGGAAAAAGTTCAATTTTGGCATCACCACAACTTTTAGTAATTGAACGATTTCTTCGTTTTGGGGCCGTGCGCCTGGAAAAAGTTCATTTTTTTTTATTGCGTTGATTTTTTGAAAATATATTTGATCATTCTTTCAACGGGGCAAACGCTGGTTGCCGCTTGCCTGCTGCTTGCCTGCTGCTTGCCCGCTGCTTGCCTGCTGCTTGCCTGCTGCTTCCCTGCTGCTTGCCTGCTACTTGCTGCTGCTTGCTGCTGCTTACCTGTTGCTGCTTACCTGTTGCTGCTCACCTGCTGCTCACCTGCTGCTCACCTGCTGCTTGCCTGCCGCTTGCTGCTCCATGCTGCTGCTTGCTGCTACTTGTTCCTGCTTACCTGCTGCTGCTCACCTGCTGCTCACCTGCTGCCCACCTGCCGCTCACCTACTGCTTGCCTGTTGTTGCTGCTCCTTGCTGCTCCTTGCTGCTCCCTGCTGCTCCTTGCTGCTCCTTGCTGCTGCTTGCTGCTGCTGCTTGCTGCAACAGACGGAGCACCAACAAAACCTGCCACGCTTTCCGCCCGCAATGGAATGAAGGTTTTTCCAATTCGTAATTCCTGGGTGAATAGGACAACAAATTTCTTGAGAGCTGTCCACGACATTGATGCACATCGCGCCAGCCATAGATTTGGTTGCGGAAAACAAGGGACCCCCATATCCTTATATCATCCTAGATCATAGCCCTGCCAATAGGATTTGCTACAGCTAATCCATTTGCATTGCAAGAAAATTGAGGCTGCACCAATAGGGGTTTGATTTGGTCACGCGACGCAGGACATCAATATAATATATTCAAATCCAATAGGATTAGCTGCCGAAAATTTGTTTGTACCAACTTGCGCCCTTCAAAATCATCGCTGTGCGCAATGCTTCGGCTACTTTTAACTACATCTCGAACTATAGATGAAACAGGCTGTGCCATGGTGATTCTTCTTCCCTGATGTGACTTTCCACTACCTGATGTGACTTCTCCGTATCGCCGCCGTGCCATGGGGATGATGTGACTTTTCCCGCCTGATGTGACTTAAGTACGGCGCTTGTATATAATACATATCTACCAATAAACCCTAGTGAATTTTGGTTTATGTTCACCAACTTAGCGAACAACAACCGGCCGACGCCACGCCTCACCGCCGCAGCTGCTGTGCTTCGACGACGCTTTCGCGGCGAAGATGGAGCCGAAGCAACCGCCCGGCGAACTGCGCCAGATCGGCTGCCTGGCGCGGGAAATTCCAGGGAGCTGGGAAGTTATGGTCATGTTGTGACATTCGAATGAGGAAACTATGAAGAAAATGGTGAAGGACGGGATGAACTCCATCACGGGATTTCGCCAGCCATAAAGAATACGGCTTTATTTATATATATATATACATATACATGTGTACATATATATATACATATGGATATGTATGTATATATATAGATATAGATATATATAGATATATATATATATGTATAGTATATATACGTATATGTAGATATACATACATATGTGTCTATATATATATATACATGTATGTATGTGTGTATATATATATATACATGTATGTATATGTGTATTGGGATATAGTGTCATGGGGTACCAGCAATATCATATTATACATAAGCATACATAAGCAACAGCATGATAGGAGGTCTGTTTGAAAATATGGTACCCTCCAAGCGTATCCCCATTGTTGGACAAACCCAAATAGGATCGGGATTTCCAGAATCAAAGATGGCGGATTTTGGGGCGTGATTTTTGGGATATGAAACTTGAAACCATCCAATGAAGCATAACCAAATGGGTAAATGGGTCGATTTTTTTCAGAACTGTTGGAACTTTGATACGGCAGAAAGAAATGCTCTTTTGAGCAGAGAAATTCACATTCATCAATCATTCATCAATCATTCACCATATTTCTGGCTATTGGCGCCCACTATCATGAGTCCCGTTGAGGCCAGCCATAGGAAGGATTGGGATGGGCTGAGAAGGCGGTGCTGGCTGTTGCTGGCTGTTTCAGCTCTCACTCAGATTGGTGTCCCCAAAGCATACCCACTACTTCCCACTTGGTGTGTGTGTATATATATTATAGGTAGATAACCCACATTGAACCCATATATACCCCACGTGCCCATGAGACCATATATAATCCATTTACAACTTGGGATATTCCCTTTGGAAATTGAGTTAGTTCTATGATTATGTCGCAGCATGTCGCAGCTACTTGAGATAAGAACTTGGAGTCAGATCGCCGCTCCGATGTCATCCGCTGAGACCTTTTCAAAGCAATTGTACCCTCTGGTAAATTAACATAACTATGGAAAATCACCATTTTCAATGGGAAAATTCACTATAAATGGTCATTTTCAATAGCTATGTTAAATTACCAGAGGGTACCTGGAACAGAGATTTTCCATGGCAAGGTGGATTACAGGTACCCCCTGGTAATCAGCCAGTGGCTAGCCGGAAGATCCGGTAAAAAAATGGAGGTTTAGTTCGCTAAAATCATCGAAGTAAATGGTGGATTGATAGAAAATGCTATGTTTGATCAGTGGAGGGTATGTCATGGTATGTCAATCTTTACGATAATGTTGGTTGAAGCTGGTTGATATGTTCCCTGAATCACAACTAGATGGCCAGTTCTTGGCCACATGGCCTGTAACTGTTGGGGTGTTTAAGGGTTGCCTTAGCCACCTCGCGTTCAAAACCCAGCAGTGACTTCTCAGCCCATCACTGGATCTTCCCAAGGCTTTCAGGAGGAGCAACAACTTATCATCCAGGCTCTCCCCAGACCGCGAAGGTGGAAGGCAGGACTGGGTGACGAAATGGGCGACCAAGGAGTCGTTTTCTGAGAGATGGAGATATTAGTTGAGCCAATAGGAGTCAATGCCACAGTGTAACTGTGTATAACTGTGCAAGTCCAATTGCTGGAAACACTCCAAAATCCCGAACCTGAGAGCGGGCATGATTTTAGTGCTGAGAAATTCAAATTTGGACCATGGATGCATTTCTCGGTGAACCATGTTTTGGTCTCCCAATTCTTATAACTTAATTATATCCTTGGGGTTCCTTGGGATTCCTTGGGATTCCTTGGGATTCCTTGGGATTCCTTGGGATTCCTTGGGATTCCTTGGGATTCCTTGGGATTCCTTGGAATTCCTTGGGATTCCTTGGGATTCCTTGGGATTCCTTGGGATTCCTTGGGATTCCTTGGGATTCCTTGGGATTCCTTGGAATTCCTTGGGATTCCTTGGGATTCCTTGGGATTCCTTGGGATTCCTTGGGATTCCTTGGGATTCCTTGGGATTCCTTGGGATTCCTTTGGATTCCTTGGGATTCCTTGGGATTCCTTGGGATTCCTCAAGGTTTCAACCGATAATCTCGGACCAATCTGGCAGGTGAACAGCATTTCCCTCGAGGGTGAGCTACTGAAATGGCCTGAAGTGGGTGTGCGGGTGCGTCAAGCCACAGACCCTCGGTCCTTTGGGGTTGGTGAAACGTGACACTTTCATTCCACCAGGTTTGGTCCAGTTTCGTCTGTTGGGGTCAGTGAGTGTTCATGTCATTTCATGTCCTTTTTTGTCCTAATTGTGTACAATTGTGTATACTGTAACTGCAACACATTTTTTTCTGGCACGGATTCAACACAACCACATTCTTTGTGGTTGTTCAGGTTCGACAGACAGTTCTTTCATCGAACATGTATGGAATGTAGTAGGGTGAAACGTCTCCTTCTCACGTATGTAACGGGCTTCCAAAACCAAACAGTTTCGTTCCTGAGATGTGGGACCAAAGTTTGAGAACCTTGGGATCTTGGGGTTCGCCAATTTTTTTGCCAAGTTAAAACATTGGAGACGTCCTGAATCCTTGCAGCATTTTTCTGCGTTTTCTGGGTCTTTTCGCCGAGGCATCCAAGAAATTCGGCATGACGGTGGACACCGACGTGTCCGGCTGGGTGAAGGTGAAATGGGACCACGGTGCAGAAGAGAAGTGCCGCGTGGGAGCTGAGGGGAAGCTCGAGCTGTAAAGGTTGGGGTTCACAATCCAAGATGATAAGAGGGATTCTGGATGATTCTAATGCTGGATTTGAATGGATTTTAGGGAAATTTGGGGTGAACTTGGATCGAAAATGGAATGGGCTGTTGAAAAAATCCATATCCTGAGGGCTGATGTTTTCACCCTGTGGCTGAAGAGACCATTATATAGTCAGATGAGACAGTTACTCAGTTACATTCAGTTACCGTGTTTTTTGAGGATGACATACTGCTGGTTTACAGCAGGAAAGATGAGCTGCGGGGAGTTTTTAATCTATACGTGAGGTACATGAGGAACATAGAAATTGAAAATACTTGGTGATCTCGGTGAGGTAAATTCCCAGGAAAACCGGCTGCTGACTTGTTGCTGGGACATTCAGTGGGGAAGCTTGCCAAAAGAGACCCCACCGGGACAACCTCGAAAACAGACTTGGAATTGATCCTTCTCTTCAAAAATACAGAACAATGCCCCTCAAATCCCTGCCCCTTATGAAACTTAGATTTAAAAACATCTACATTAATCCCAAGAAAAATCGGAAGATGATGTTCTAACCCTTGGAATTGATACAGCTCCAGTAAGGACCTACGATCTGTTGGTCATCTCTTTGCCCTCCTTCACAGCCTCCGGAGCAGGTGCGGGGACCTGGGGACCTTTCAATGCAGTTGTTTTGGACTGCGAATGGCTTTGGAAAAAGAATGAAAAAGATCAGTTGATGTATCCTGGCTGGATTCGAGGGAACTTCGACCTGGTGAGAAGCACTGCTTCAAAGAAGAAAACTTGAAGACGTTTGATCTCCAAGCTTAAAATCACTTTCACTTAATACCTCAGGTATCCCCTCAAGCCTACCATCGTACACCAACCTGGTTTCTTTGGCTTGACATGGATCGTGCCAGGTGGTGTGGGCAAGGCCTGCAATGGCCAGTACGTCCGAGTTGGTAGCCACAATGGGATGCCAAAGTACCGCCAGGAACAGGGAGATGTCCCTTGGAACGGAGCTGACCAATGGTGGTTGAACTTGGTGGTTTCGAATCAACCGTTATGAAGGGCGGGACTTCCAAAGGGTAGCAAATTCCATGCCGAACCAAAGCAGCAGTGATTCACCATTCTGGAAATTCTGGTGCGTGATTTCAGAGATGTTTAAATTTGTTTCCAAAATCTTGGATGACTCAGGGCCACTGCTCAACCAGCATGTGTAGCTGAGGCCATCATGTTCTTTGAAGACGATGGCTGGAAGATGAACTGCGAGGATGATACCAGGCGGGTTATGGTAAGTTGTTTGTCCAACATACCGAATTGTCCTGGAAATGATGGGTTCCTCTTGAACAGAATCACCATTTGGGGTGGAATATCGTCGTGAAACTGACAGGCACAGCTACAATTTCTCGACGCCATTTTCTCGATGAATGTTGGAACACAATGGAATACACTGTTTTGCACTTCCTTGAAGAAACACACCCAAGACATCCCAGACCCGGCACGGCATTGTCGGAGATCTGCGCATTTTTTTTTTGATCCAGTGGTACCCCATTCTTGAGTTGCAAGTTTCCCCCCCGGGAGTCATATATTCTACAAGAAACATGTTCAATATGATCCCTTGCGTTGTTGGTTCCCCAGTGGTTTGGTGACATTTTGGTGACATATCCCATTTTCCCGGTGTTTGTTTGGTCGGCCACATTCGGGAACTTGTATCCAGCTGAAGGGGAATGACATGAGGGGTGAAGTCCCTATGTCTTTGCCCGCTAAAGTAGCATTTTCTCATGGTGAGATCATTTTTTTACATTTTTTTGATGGTTAAAACGGTTTTTTCGTTGGTCTACGCCACATTTTTCATGGCAAAGCCCCTGATTTTCCATCATTTTCCATCCATCGGTTTTATTGCTCAGGCAGTGGTTGTATCAGCACCTGGACTCCGGCGCAAGCTTGCCCCCATTGGGGCGTTGGGCGGTGCCCGTGGGCGGGCCCAACCCTTCGCCACAGCTGCAGGCAACAGCAGCGAAGGCCCAGCTGGGACGGCGGGGAAACGAATCAATTTCTGGATGGTGGTTTGGAACCATGGAATTTTATGACTGTCCATATATTGGGAAGCTCATCATCCCAACTGACGAACTCATATTTTTCAGAGGGGTAGGTCAACCACCAACCAGTCAAAAAACATGGCAATGGTTCAAAAAACACGGCAATGGTTAGATACTTTAGTAATCTTTATTACTTTAATCTTTTGCAATGGTAAAATGCACTAACCAGCAAAAAGAATTGATTTTTGGCAGGTATCTAAGATTCACCATACAATGGAAAATGCACCATTTAAAAGATGATTCTCCCAAAAATACACCTCCATTGAGTTTGTCGGGATGTTCCGGGACTTCCATTGCCACATATTTGACTACTTTAAAGGGTATGGGAACAACATGGGGATTTTCATGGATATATTATAGATATTGGTAGGAATATAATGGGGTTATATGGGTCCAGATAATTTGGAAACCAATAGATGGTGTGGAAACCAATATTTTTTTTTCGGAAAAAAACATGGGATTCCCATGGGAACATGATGGGAATATTATGGGATATTATGGGATGTTTCATTGGAATATATTGGGATGATCAAAGGAAGTTTAGTTAGGAAACTTCCGAATTATGAACGATTGTCATGGCTAGCTTGCTCACCATGATGGCAGCCACATCATCATGCAAGTAGTTGGGAAGTGTGAGAGATCGGGAACACGTGGATTCAGGCTTGAAAACGCACTCGGATGCGAAACCCTGTATTTTTTAGGGTAAAGGCTGCCGTGGTCGCCGAAGGAGGGTCTCTGTTTCCGCGGTTTCGCGGCTCGATCGGTACAAGTGTGTTTACAAAATGGAACTTGGAACAACAACAACAACAACAACAACAACAACAACAACAACAACAACAACAACCTCGAGGAGTCAGGGGAAAACGGGGAACAAGTATGAACAAGTTAGTTTTTTCCAGTTGTTTTTAAGGTTTTTCTAGTTTATTTTTGGTTTCTTTTGGTTTTTCTAGCATTTCTTAGCGTTTGCTAGTTTTCTCTAGCATTTGCCTGCTGACACATCCGTACCAAGTGAAACTAGATTAGGCTAGAAAAGTCAGTGTGGGTGAAGCCCTTCAAGGCAGAGGTTCCGGTCGTGAAATGTAAGGAACGACCTTGGGAAACGCAGGAATATCTTGGAAAAGGGGGAACATATCAGTGCAGTTCAGTGCAGGGTGGGTCAGTGAACTTATTGTGTTTTCTTCAGTTGTATTCTGGTTTTCTTTAGCCTAATCTAGTTTGTACTTCGATTTTGGTAGCCTCAACTAGCCGCTATGTTTTTCCTTTATGATTTAGATGATTTAGAGCGGACCTGATCAAAGCGGCCCTGTAAGGGATTCAATGACAGAATATCAAAAGAATATAAAATAACCACTTAATACGCCTTATTATTCTCAGGTATATTGATTAGGGTATACCCCGAGAGATGTTTGATGATTTTTGGCCCCTCAGGCCGCAGCCACGGAAGCAAGTGCAGTTCCCAGAGCCATCTCTCCAAAGGCCGTGGAATTCACCCCGATGATACTGGGGGATCCCCACAAAGGGTTGGTTTTGAATGGAAAATCCCAAACAAAAATTGATGAAAAACCAAATGGGGATTTAAGATGAGATAAATCCAATGAATAATGGGTTGGTTCTAACCTGCAACAATGATGAAACATCAAGATTGTTCATGTGATTTTGATGGGATTTGAATATTTGGGGATGGGTTCGGGATTGATCAAAACATATGTGTTTTCCATGTTTTTCCATATGAGTTATGAGTGGATCGATAAGTATCCGTCAACCATATTTTCACCAGGATTCCATGGTTTTGATCCCTACCGAAGTGGAGGTTGAAAAAACTTTTGATCCCATCCCACGAATGACCCTGTGGTAAACTTCCTGGCATAGCTATGGAAAATCACCATTCTAATTATATGTATAGGTACCTGATGGTAAATCAACTATTAACGGGCCATGGTTTTGTACACCTTACTCTATGCAAAACTGTATCTCCCATGCTGGATACTCGATAGTCCACGGGCGAAGATTATGAAGATTGATCCAGTTGATTTGCTGCTGACAGTCTTGACGCCAGCAGCTGGACATGTAGGCATCCTCTCTACCCAAGCCTTGTCATAGGATTATCAAGTCGACTAATGGCCCCAGGTAAAAACTGTTTTGTGAGTTTTAGACACATTGAGTCATACATTGGACTCGGCATCCAATTCATTCTGGAAGCAATTTTGGATCACATCCATTCTCTTTGGTTTGATCTCATTTTGGGATGATCAAACTCCCAAAGTCTCTTTGCAAACGCCGGCGGCGTGTGGAATCCCCCCTTGCCAGGTGATTCGGAGGAAATCTCCATCGCGACCCAAGAAGAAGGATAGTGGGGATGTGGCCGATGTAGAAACAACTGGAGGAAACACCAGGGTAGTTGCCAAACTGGCCAACCCCATCTGAAGCTGGAAGTTAAGATTTGGCTGGGGATTTGCCACCTTGAGTTTGAGTGATTGAACAATCCTATCAACTAAGCAGCACGACCAATCCACAATAGGTTTTGGAAGCCGCACAAGTGGTGGGTCAAAACTTAACCCCAACCCGAAGGTGACGGCGAACTTTGAGTACTACCCTCTGGTAATTTAACATAACTATGGAAAATCACCATGTTTAATGGGAAAATCCACTATTTCTATGGCAATTTTCAATAGCTATTTTGACATCACCAGAGGGTAAGGATTCTAAGGATCCACTCCATTGGACACCTGATGCAGCCGGCAGGAAGAGTTTCCGGCCGCACCAGAGCCTGAAGTCATACGCTTGGGGGATTTTGTGTGCCTTGGCAATACACGTGGAACATCGTGGAAGCCTTTAAAGGTTTGTCTTAAAATGCTGTATAGGCCGGAAAATCCACTCATTCATCATGTTGCTTAGGTGCAGGGATCTACTAGAGATCAAATTTCAAGGTTGACATATCCCGATACTTCGTCAGTTCGTTAGGCAGTCCCTCAGGCATGCTTGAAAAAAAAGGCGAAGAATCAGCAGCGCCAATTGCAAGTTGGGGACATCACCTCAGTTGGGCCGCTCAATGATTGCCATCTTCCAGCTACCAGATATTTTGACCGGATCAAATCGCTAACGAAAACTGGGGTGCAGTGTGAACTGTGACTACTGATTTTATATTACCATACACACCCATACACTAAATCAATATAGATCAGATATGGAAATGCCATGAAATGCCACTATTGATCACTATTGATCATTTCCCGGAAAAACCTTGAGTTTGCCATAGATCTATGATGATCTATGTAAGCCCGTTTGGGCATCCCATCCACAAGGAAAGCGCACGGGGCCGCTTACTCTGTAGGTACCTCCGTGGCAACGGTCGATTTCTGCAAGCAGAAGGTGCCACTGTGAGCGCGCCCCGGAACCGAGCGGACCAGGACTCTAACGGGCTGAGCAGCGTCGTCCCAACTATGGGATATGATATGATATGATGGGGAAAATGATAGGCAAGTTGGGATTACATGGTCCCATCCAATAGGAGACACCCCCATTTCACCATGGTCCCAGATATGGTTCTTTGGATATCACCAAAGCATCGAATCAGAGGGGATGATTAGGTCACTCACAGAAACCTTGATGATTAGATGGTTACCATTGGTTACCCGGTTACCCAAAATATCAAGAAATGTTATTTGTTACACGGATGCGAAGCCACATACTTGTCCAGCCAGGTGTGTGAATTCCGTTGGGTCAAAGTAATGGAAAAAAATGCCCTGCATCGGTGATTTCTACTGGCTGATCAAATTCACCGAGCGGTTGCTGGAAAGTCGCCGAGAAAAAGTGGTTGTAAGTGTACTTGCAATGAATGCTGCTGCTTTTTTTTAGTTTTTCTTGCGGAATCTTCAACATCAAACTGGGAAACGTTTGAAATCTACTCGGATCTGGATTGTTCTGACTTCACTTTGGCATGTGCTGGCAGGGGTTAGGTAGTTTAGTGCTTCGGGTTGTCATTTATGGCAACTCAAGATACAAACTGTTCAGTATTAGCTGCTGAAAGAACAGCTCAATGAATCTAGCCATCCAACTCCAGATGTGTGCGTGTCACCTGGATCTTGCATCTATTTGATTCTATTTGGGATGGGGAATCCCAAAAAAAAACCAAAACCATGGGTACTAAAATTGTCTGATGTTGGATGATTTGGGTACCCGAATTTAGGAAACCTCCTGTTTATGATTGTCTATGTGTATGTATCGTTTGCACCAGGCATCACTGCGGCTTGAAGTTCCTTTAGGAGCTTCCCATCGCACGCTGCCGCAGGAATGCCAGCGCTTCTTGGTGTGCCCCTACTTGAATGAGCACAAGGCCTGCTGATGTCTGATTCAGACTCACTATAGCTGAAGCCAAGGGATTTTGGATTTTTTTATGGGGAGCCTTAAAATTGTTTGCTGTACTTCAGGACTACATGCTAGTTTCAAAGATCTGTTGGTCTATGGCTTTCAGTCCCTGGGAAGAATCTCCCAATTGGCTACATCTCTGTGGCTTGACACTTGACACCATCCCTCTGGTTGGTTCATGAGGGAAAGAAAAACATAAAGATGCATGCAAATTAATGCACATATATCTATATATATATAATTATATATATACTATATACATCTATATACACTCTGTCCCAGTCACCTTAGCCGCTGTTGGGGGATCCAGGGGCCAGTCAGGAAGCAGATGCTGTGCTGCACTCCCCAGAAACACAGAAGCTGGTGCCTGGGCGATTCGATAGCGACAGGGGGATAGGAACTGTGGATCCATTGGATTCCATTGGTACACCATGTTTCAGTCAGCCATTCTACTGATAGTCAAGCAGCAGGATTCCACCTCATTTTTGGAGGAACACCCAACAAGATAGATCAAATCCTACTAAGATTGTGGTAAATTAAATTACGTCCCTTCATGTCCCTTCTATCTTCTTGATGGCTGCTCTATACATATATGGCTATGAACAAGAAGCGGGAATGAAGATGGTCGCCTCTGGATGGTTAACCCCGGTTGATGATTAGTTCGGGAATTCTACTAACTACTAAGCATTACTAACCTTTATTCCCGTAAATCCGATCCTTGGATATCCTTGGTATCATGGGGGAACAATAACAGCATCATTCAGACGTCCATGGGAATCCCCCGTTCTCAACTGGGATCATCGAGGTGAGTACCAAAACCTTCAGGGGTCGCAAGGTGAAGGATGGAGACGCCATTTGTCTCATGGTACCCTGGCGATGGATCTCCTGGGGGGCCCGGTTTCAAGAAGAGTTCTTGAAATTAAAGAAAGACACGAAAGTAGATCAAATGATCCAACCATGGGTGATTTTGGGTGTTTGGAGATTTGGACTCTGCTCAAACTATCCAACTTGATCCAAAATGTGGTGTTGGGTATAATAACCATATATTAACCATTATTAACAGTACATTAACCACCAACCAGGTAATGATAGGATTCGGACTCAGGGTTTGGGCCCACATTGGCGCGATGGAGACAGGGGTCCAATTGGTCAGCTAGGTCGGCTAGGTCGGCAGCTCCCTGTGGATTTTTGCTGTTCCAAAAAGAAAAACTCATCACAGAACAGCTCTGGTGGATGGGTATGGTTTCAAAATAAGACAGTTCATTATTGCTGAATTTTGCAATACATTAACCTCACAGACTTACTTATTAGTTGGAATTTGGACTGTATTTGCATTTAAAAATAATCCAATTTATAAATCATTAATGGCCCCAAGTTCACTTCCAAGGCATGCAGCGGCTGCTTTCTGGGCATCACGGGCCAGGTGGGAAAATGATGGTGGAATGGGGGGATGGGAATGGCCGATGGGGAGCTGGCCAACCCAAAAATGGGGCCAAGTGGATATTAACCACAGATTTTTTATGTTCCTATATTAGTGATTTCTTTCCATGATAGTGGGGATGGACTTTCATTTTTGGGATGGGTTGAAACCAAGAAGTCGTTGAGCAGTGGGCCTCATCTCTATCATCTCCTCGGAATCAGCGATGTGAAGAATGTGAAGATCGACTAAGAAAGCGCATGATGTGAATATAGACTAAGAAAGTCTAAGAAAGCATGTTGTGGATGATTTGATGAGCAGGCTGCTATACAAGAGTCACAAGAGATAGAAACGAGGCTCAACATCATTATCTTTTCCTGGCAGAACGTGGCTGGGTCAAGAATGGGGTAACATCGGACCCGCCAAATTGGTCTTGAAGAAAAAACGTGTTTGAAGTACTATTTTAGGGGATCAAGTTTTGACCCATACCATACCCATGAACGCTGCTTACTGCAATCAATGTTTTCTTGAGCACCCGTAGAATGCGTCCCACCAGAAATGAAGCCATTCAGGGAATCACACCCTTGGACACGACTCTTAGAAGTACACCCAATTTCAACTCACATCGAAGCAAAATCATAAAACAGTTTCGTTTCAACCAGGAAAAAACAAAAAAAACATATCTCGTTGTCCATGTGAGTTTTCAAGGCTAAAGCATCCCATTTTGGGCGACCGAACGCTCCGATTTTGCTCAGGTGGATGGCTCAGTGACGGTTGGAGTCCTGCATGGACGCCGATGGGTTGGGGGCACCTAGATGGGAAGGCGCCTAATAAGGCGCCTGTGAAAGGTCAGAGATCCCCATATTTGGGCTGGGTGTGTCCTGGGGTACCTGGCTGGGTAAACATGGGTAAAGTAAAATAGATGTGGAAAACCTATGGTTTCCCTAGGATAATGATCTACAACATCTATGTTGATTTACAGGAGGGTATTTGATTTTGAAGAACTCCAGGTAAGACCACTTTACTAAGACTTGTTGATTTGGTCGATTCTGGTAGGAGAGTGCAAGATTTGGGTTACCACTTAGGAAACACCAAGATATCCACTTGATTAAATAGACCCATGGGAAAATCATGGGCCTTTCCACAGTTCCACATCAACCTTTTAGGAATGCTTGATCCTGGGATTCCTCAAAAGATTCAAGTAGCAGACCCTTTATTGGGATGCTATGCATTTCAAGTTGGGAAACATCGCATTCTCAAGCAATAAAAGCACTCTAAGCACCTCCCCACCATGGCTTTTTGGACATTGCTGGATTTTTTCACCAGCCCGGGGTGCATCAAAACTTGCCTTGGCATATTCGCAACAGCCTCCCCTGACCGGGCGTTCAGGTCAAGGCAGACTTCTCCGAAGCATCACCATCATGTGCCATGGTGATCAAGACTGCCGGCAAGCGCAGGGAGGCAGGACTGATGTTGTCACTGATGTTGACTGATGTGGGACTTTCTTAAAATGATCCAAAAAAAAATCACCCTGGGTTTCAATGTTGAGAAAGAGTCATCCATGACTTGGATGATGTGGGGTACCCCCATGATGCATGTCAAACTTGGTCCACAAGTTTGATGAAAGACCAGGTCACAGTTGGATTGGTTGTCGCATCAGCTTAAAACATGTTAAAACATTGGGTTTACGGGACAACCCCCAATATTTCATGGGGAAGACGGTTTTCGGTCAAACACATCGTTAAACAATCCCAAGCCAATCCATTGAGTATGCCCATTTTCCTCCCATACAGAAATGTTGAAGCTGTCATCGGCTCAGATCAAGTTCCTTCCAGTTGTGTTTCTTTGGCCTCCAAATCAACTTGAGCAGCGGCCAAAACTAAGGATGCTCTCGGAAGCTATAGGCTTTTGGTACACAGAGATTCTACAAAGCTTACTATTAAATTGCAAAAAGTATATGAAAGCATTGAAAGCATGGTCAAAGTTCATGTTGACTGGGGCTATCGCCCTATCAAGCAAGCGGTAGAACCGCGTAGTGAGGGGACTTGGAAACTGCTCATTTCAGGTTTTGGAGGTGACTGGTTTTAGATGGACAGGGCTACAAGAATCCAGCTGAATCAATCCTAGTGACCTACTCTATCCTACTCTGCTGTAGTGACCTTTCAAACACTCTTGGATCTTTCCAAGTTATTTGGCAAAATGATCCCAACTCAACTGATTCATTTTTTATAGGGTGGCTCCACAAAGGCCACCACGGCCGCAGGTCAGAGATGGTGAGCCTTTCTACCTTCAGAGTATGGCTTCATCACAGGCGGAGATGTACTCAAATCATCCAGGTCATCATTATTTGGTTGGTTTGGAATATGATTTTTTCTTTCCATAATATATGGGAATAATGATCCCCATTGACTTTCATGTTTTTCAGAGGGGTAGGTATACCACCGACCAGTCAAAAAAAACGGCAATGGTTCAAAAAAACACCATATCTTGGGAATGTCATATGATGACTTAAAACTGGACATAAAACGCTTTTAAAAGACTCTCCATTCAGTTGGGAATGGAAAATCATCCCAAATGACTTTCACTTCATGATTTTTGCAGAGGGGTAGGTAGGTTGAAACCACCAAGCAGTTTTAGTATCGAGACAATCATGATTTTGGGATTCCCCATTATTGGAAACCACATGAAACCACCAGATATGAATAAATCAGGATCTGGAATCTGTTTGGTTTTTCAGGCGGATGCATTGGATGCTCCAATTGACTTTGACAAATCGGCCACTCCAATTTAGCACCCGTTAGTTCTCTATGATTGATGACAGGTGGAGAGATTTCCTGCCGATAGCGATGGTTATCAAAAGAAGAATCACGCATCGAAAAATCATTGTGTCAAGTGTCTTCCCACTCACTGAAAAATCTTAACAAAAATGTTGGTGTCTAAGAAATATCGTGCAAGGGTTTGATATATTCGTTCCCCAAGCATGGCTGGTTTGGTGTGGACATACCCATGTCTGATAAGATATATTAAGATATGTAGGTTTGGTGTGCCCCAAAGCACGTGACCTTGCCACAGTTGCTGGTGGTTGATGAGAAAGCCCATGTGGCCGTGACTATGCAGTCCAAACAGCCCCCCGGGGACTTGATGTCAGGTGCCGTTCCGCCATTCCACAGGGCCTCGTTTGGGGGCCATGGCTTCCAGTTTGTTACATAGCGAAGCCATGGCCCATTTTGATTCGACGATTTGCCGATTAACATATATGTTTTTGCATGATATTCCATATGTCTTGGAGCTTTTAGGGCAGACCCTGTGTGGTTTCAAAATTGCTTTCGTAGTACTATCGAACTTGGGATTGGTCGGTGGTTAGATGACAGCCGGGCTTTCCCATTTTTAACCTGGACCCAAAACCGCAAACAACAAGCTACGGGGAGCATCTTGATATCTTGACTGATCATTTTGATTCCACAGAAAGTTGCTTTCATTCCCCAAAACCAGCCCAAGGAACGTGTCTAGTCCATCTGTTCCAACAATCAGTGACTCAAAAACCTAACTTCAGCTTTTCCGCAGCCGAATCCGATGTCCCCGCGACAGGTCCGAAGCCGCACCAAGAGCTGAGCTTCAAAAAGGTGCCGAGAAGCCCTCCACGCCAGGTGGACCGCGGCAAATCCGAGAAGTTTCACTGTGGTTTATGGTAGATACATCTATATTTAATGGGGTATTTATAAGACAACAAACATAACTTGGGGGGGTCACCACCTTGTAGATTCGTAGATGTTTGTTCTTTAACTCATTGGTTTTGGCATCTTTTTAAAGCAGTGCATGTTGAGTGGCTGCAATCATTCCTGGTCCAGGTTCCACCTCGGAATGTCATTTTGAAGTGGTGCGCAGTCGGAGTTCGCGTGCGACATATCGATGTCCCGGGGCGCAAGGGGCTTCAGGGAGATGGTCGAAAGTGCCTTGAGAAGAGCAGGAAAACCTCTTAAAGCCTGATATTTGATGATATTCGATCATAAAAGATAGTAAAAATATGTAAAATCAAGACAATCAAGAGACCAACGTCAGGTTCCAACTTCTTCCAGAAAACGAAGAAACGAAGACTTGGGCCGGGCAATGACTACAAGACACATCAAAGCCTCTATGCCCTTGTCAGAATGCCGAAGTGTTGAGTTTGTTCCTATGCCACAGTGTCATCATGCATTCGGCGTTTGAGAATCCCTTCAAAAATGCGGCTTCTTTCGATTGATCTGACGGGTCAATTCACAATGTGAAGCGCTTAGCAGATCTTAGCAGCCTTAGCCACTCACTTTCTCATCCAAGGAGCCAGAGAGGGGTGAGGGGATCACCATAGCGGAAGATCTACCTGGTTTCATGAAAGTTCGCTGGGACAATGGAGAGGCGCACGGTGGGCTGATCGCTTTGAGTGAGATGACTGCGCAAGCACCGTGCATTTACACATGCGAACAACTTGATGTGCTGCTCATTACTGGATCACATCGATTTTGCCAGACTATGGGAGGCGTCAAATATCTAATTAATTTATATTAATATCAATTCATATCAATTCATATTAGTTCATATCGCATATCAATACATTGCTCTATGATACTATATCATACATCTATGTCTATGCATAAGAAAAAAGAAAACATATGTCTATGTTCCATGGGAATATCTCCGGGTGCATCTGGTTTTTTCACCGCCAGGAGACCCTGTGTCGCGTGGGCGCGGATGGGAAGTACAACCTCTACGTCTTGGAGCCTGTGGCGGCCCGCATCGAGCCGGTGGTGAATCGCGATGAGCAGGTGGGACTGTGGGGTATGGTATCAGAACCCGGATCCTATATATATTTTTTAAAATTATACTATATGTAGTAAAATATACTAATCTCTATATATATATATTTATATTATTATATAATATATAACATATATATATTAGTACATAAAATATACACATGTTACAGATATGTCATAGAAATCATAAATGAAAATAATAACAATAGTGATCTGAATAATAATATTGATACACTATTATATCGTATATATAATTCAGTATTAAATACAAACATATGTGCGTCAATACTAATAAGAACAATAATCGTAGTGATACCCTAAGCTTCAAAAGCGTATTAAATTCATAGACTTTCCGAAGCCAGCGGTTTTCAAAAAAGTCGCAAGGTTTGTCTGCGCCCATAGGACGAAGGAACGTCGACCTGCTTCATATTCTGATTGTTTTTGACACATTCACAGTTTCTTGCACATCCTTACAATCTGAAAATCAAAAACCATGTTTTATTTTTCCATATATTGAGAATAATAATCCCAACTGACTTTTATATTTTTCAGAGGCGTAGGTCAACCACCAACCAGTATATTTCCCAGCGTATCCGCAGAAAACCCATGTGATAAGATGCTTCGACTATCTTCGAGCTCCCAGGCATCCAGGCAACCCATTGGACAAAGCCTTTTTTTGCGCCTTCCCAGTTTTCGCTTCGCCACATGTTGTTTGTATTATTTACCCTCTGGTAAATTAACATAGCTATGGAAAATCACCATGCTATTAATGGGAAAACTCACTATAAATGGCCATTTTCAATAGCTATGTTAAATTACCAGAGGGTACATATTTACACATTTGTACATTTCAATTTGTACTGTACATACCTGTACGTCTAACATATTTGATCATATGTGTAGTTAGATTTAAGAGAGCCGATCCCCTTAAATACTGGGCAGCATAAAAATAATTATTTTAGCTTTTTTAGGCCCCAGATTAGCATTTCAAAATTGCATTCCCAGAAAGTCTGCTTTTAGATTAGCATTTCAAAATTGCATTCCCAGAAAGTCTGCTTTTAGATTAGCATTTCAAAATTGCATTCCCAGAAAGTCTGCTTTTAGTAGATTTGCATGTCAAAATTGCATTCCCAGGAAGTCTGCTTTTCGATTAGCATTTCAAAATTGCATTCCCAGGAAGTTTGTTTTTGGATTAACTGATTAGCATTTTCTGATTGCCTTCCCAGAAAGACCCATGTTTATCTTAGACTCTTAGACTAGCAAAAGACATGCATTGACGACCAGTAGCTCCACTAATTGACTGCTCATATGTCCGATGTCACTCAGTAGTAGCCAAATTTTTGCCACACATCCCCCTGCTTCAGTGAGTCACTGATTGGTTACAACCTCGTCCGCGTCCGACAACTCTCAAGCATGAACCCTGAAATCAAGGTGGGAAAGAGGTATCACACTGATTATCACACGTCCTGAAGCAAGACCATGTTTTTGATTTCTAGATCACGGACCAATCAATTCAATCCTTGTTGTCATTGTTTAACTGGTTGCCAATGTCCCACAGCAACTGTTTTCCCAGAGCCACCGGTTGATTGGCGCAGCTGAACGCAAATTGGGCAGATTTGGAGGATGATTTGGCCAGCTCGCAAGATCAGTTGTCCCAAGATGTGATGAGAGCTGAAGCTTGTAGGTCCAGCTCAGATTCAGAGTGTGAAGATTCTGACTCTGAGGCTCCTTTTTGGGTCAAGGCTTTGAAAAAAGCATCTAGGAATTTGGGGCTTCTCAAGCCAAAGACTATGACTAAGACGACAAGCCCTGAGTCACTACATGTCAAGGTTGTATCTGGCTGCACAGGGATGGGGGCAGAAGGTTTTGTCTTCAAGGCTGGGATGCGCAGGGTTCTGGGGTGAAACAAGCTTTGGACTCTATTCTATACACGCAGGATCTATCACTAGCAGCATTATCCATGCAGTCGGTTTTAGCAGTAACAACCAGCAAGAAATTCAGGTAGCTGATTTGATTAACTAATATATATATATATGTAACTAATCAACCAATATATAATGTTTCCGATCCACATATCATATGTCCCATGGCTCTGATACATGACTCCATGTGAACCCCAGAGCCATAGCCTCAAATTTGGATCCCGAAATCGGCATCTTCCCCTCATTATATACAGAGTTCCAAAATCAAATCAAATAGATCTTGGTAGATCTTGCATTCAAGCCGGAGCATTCTAACGACCTTTTGTCTTGGGAGGGAAAGGTTTGATCTTTAAACTCTAGACACGACTTAATTTGATTAGATTTAGCTTCAAACTCAAACATTCAAAGGGTGATTGTTTGGGAACACCATCAAATAACACATTAGTCATTAGTATAAACCAGTGCAGCTTGGTCAATCATTTTACCAATAATCATCCAAGGTTGGCAGTCCAGTCAACCCAGCGCTTACTATAGTTGGTCAATAGATGTCAATAGCTCAGCTGCTCTTAATTGCTTCAGTTGCCGGCGCTCACTGCTTTCGTCCTGGCAGGCTCTCAAGATCCCCTACACTATGATGAGCGCAAGTGATCCTGAAAGGAGGTGTCGCCATTTTGTGGAGACCAACGTGGGGCTTACCACTAGGCCCACGCATTGGTTCAAAGATTTGGAGGCGCAACGCAAGGGAAGACCTTGTGAATACCATCCGTTCTCCCCAGCATGTTCAGCTGCCCCTGAACCAATCGATTTCGCTTTGCTTGGGACACCATGCCACCCATACTCAACGCAGCGCAGTGGTCGGTGGAATGAATCGTCTGTTGAATCACATCATGAGTTTGATGTTGCAATGAAAAGCTTTGTGAATTGGCTGAAAGATTTACATCCGAAAAGTCTGGTGTTTGAACAAGTGCTTGGGTTTGTCAAGCCCATTCATGCGGGCAGCTCTGAAACGCCCTACACCAGGTTCTTCGAAATGATTCAGCAAACAGCGGTTTCTACCTATTTTGCTTCCCTTTTGGTTCTTTTATAAATTTGTTTGCCTGCATCCCATCGCCAGTTTTTCAAACCGGTCAGGCCTAGGTCAGGCTGATATTGACGCAGACATAGCTTGTCCAAGTACCCATCGCCTGGGCCCAATCAACCCAGGTTTCTGGATTTGCTGAACCGAGCCGAACTTCCATTTGGTGGCTACTACATCATCCGAAAACAGCTGGACATGTCAATGTGGATCAAGATCAACAGACCCAGGACCAAACGGGGCGCCTGCTTTGAGTTGGGTGGTATAAGTAGTGTACGTGCAAACACATCCTTGTTTGTTCTGCCTGTGTCCATTTCCTCATCACACAGACCTGTGAGTTTGAACTGTTGACTGTTTGATATGATATATTCTTATCCACGGCTGCCAATTGCCCCCCATTACTTGGTTCAAGCCAAGACAACTGTGGCAATTTTCGAAACACAAGCATCAAGAACAGCAGCAGCAACAGCAGCAACACAAAACCATATATATATATAAGAGGAACAAAATCAAGAACAACAACAGCACCAACAACAGCAACAGCAATGACTCAGTAATGACAAAGACAACAACGATAGCAACAGCGACTGCAAGGAAAACATGATGACACTCTTCAGCCAGTAGAAATTCTCTGAAGGTTTCATTTTATCCGGCAGACTACTCTTGCCTTCCCAGCGCAAGCCCATGTGGGATGATTCGTGGGATGTGTCTTGGGATATTGTCGATCCAGAGCCAGCTAGTAGCAGTAGTGGTGGCCCCAACTCTTCACAACCAGCTGCTTCTGCCTGGTCCGGCTGGGACTCCGATGATGCTGCTGATGATGTTTCTCTCAGCCATCCGCAACCTGCAGCAGCAGCAAAAAAGGGCCCTGGCCGACCAAAAGGTACCACAGGCACTGCAGCATGGAGAAAAGTAGTGAATCTCTTCTAGATAGATTCGGTCTGTGTATTTTGGCTGATTGAACATCACATGACATAACGTCACCCAAAGGTTCAATGTCAACCAATAATAACTCAATAGTAAACAGTAATCCCAGGTCCCAGCCTTCATACGCTTCATAGGAGGTGTGAAATAATTCTGGGTGATTGCTTAGGCTTATTCAAGGCTTTTTTCCCACTTGCCAGCTGAGGGTTTAGGATTTTTAGCATCAGCAAAGGTGCATCGGCTCCTTCTCCAGCTCCTTCTTCTCCTTCTCCTCCACCTCCTCCTCATCGTCCTCGTCCTCGTCTTCCTTCTTCATCTCCCGTCGGTCCTGTCGTCACTGTGCGGACCTCGGTCGCGCAGCACCAGGAGCTCCAGTGCAGCTCCGTCTGGGCATGCACGGGCCCGACCTTATCACGAGCTCCAGCTAGGTTTGGGGACACACAGAACTGAACAGATAACAGATAACACACAAAGAATGTCAGGGTAGGACAGGACCTCAGATAGGAGGGCAGAAAAGATGCCAGAAGATAGCAGATAGTAGAAGAATGCCAGTTAGCAGTTAGAATGTCAAAGTATATGTCAAGTAGAATGCCAAAAAGAATGCCAGATAGGACGGCAGATTATATTTCAGATCAGGCAGGATAGAATGCCAGATAGATAGACAATACAGTGGGCACACATGTCAAAGTATATGTCAGATAGGATGCCAGCACCCAGCATTTATGCCAGGTAGAATGCCAGAAAGAATTGCAGATAGAATGTCAGAATATATGTCAAATAAAATGTCAGAAAGAATGCGGAAGAGAATGTCAAATACATACATATACTTACACACATATCTATAATTTCATGTTATTATGCCAGAAAGAATGATAGAATGATAGAATGCCAGATACATGCCTGGATTTATGTCAAATAGGATGCTGGATAGAAAGCGAGATAGACTGTCAGACTGTCAGTCGATATGCCAAATAGATTGCCACAAAGAATGCCAGACAGGATGCCAGAATATTGTTAAACAGAAGGGAGACATAATGATAATGTTCGAGGGCATACAAGTGCAGATAGTGCGCCATAGACAAAGTAAAGTAGAATGCCAGAAAGAATGTCAGCAAATACAAGAGAGAGAGATATATATATATATCTATCTATCTATCTGTCTATCTGTCTATCTGTCTATCTATCTGTCTATCTGTCTATCTATCTATCTATCTATCTACCTATCTACCTATCTATCTATCCATCCATCCGTCTATCTATCTATCTACCTACCTATCTACCTACCTATCACATGGAATGCCCGAAAGAATTTCACATAGAATGACAGATAGAATGCCAGACTGTATGTCAGATAGAACCAGATAGAGTGCCAGTTAGGCTTGACTTGACTGACTAGAAAATATGCCAGGTAGAATGCCAGATGAAAATATCAGATAGAGTGCCAGATGGAATCTCATATAGTTAGGATGTCAAGTGGTGGGGGCCGTTTATCTCACATAGTTAGATAGGTAGAATGTGAATTGGTGGAGAGCCCCGGAGAAAGTATTTTACTTTTTGAAATCCACATGACCACTTGCTGAACCTAACGCCTTGAATGACAAACCAGCCACTGTTAAACTAAAGCCTTGAATGACAAATCAACCACTGGGCGGGCTGAGGAAACGCATGCGAGAACACGAACCAGACCCACTGCCTGAGCTGGTGGTTGCCAACCCAGATGCTCAGCAAGAGCCTACACCTACACCAGGGACTATAGACTATGCCCGTGGTGTTTTGGAGGTGCAGCGGGGCAAGAACAAGTTGGCGGAAAGAACCAGGGCCAGGGACAGAGCAAAGTTTGGCGAAGAGGAGCTTCTCGAGCACAAGGTTCCTCGCATGTTTTGGCCAGATTCTGCGTTTTGGGGCTCCATAAGTTTTCTTGGCACCCTTGCCATGCAAGCACTTGCACACAGCGCCAGATTTTCATTTGGACAGTTGCCAAGAGACTCCCGTGTGAACTCACAAGTTGCAAAGCTCTTTTTGTTCAAGAATATGGCCGGGATGTCGGACAAAGTGCTGAATCAGTTCTTGCAAGTGGCTAAAGGCTCTTTGAGTGAAACCAAATGTGCCCGTTCAAGTTTGCAAGGAGCATCTGCTCTTTTGGAAGCAGGAGGCCTTCTGTGGTGCGGGTTGCTAAGATCCTATCAATCTTTGATAGAGTGTGGCCGTTTAGAACCCATTCTGTTCATCAAGAAGTCTCGGTACGACGAGACTCCATTGAAGATCCGTTTGCAGGGGCAAGGCCCAGGCTCCACCAGAATCAATACCGAAACATCCACACATGCGAAGGTGATGCAGTCTGAGTTCGCTCTTCACATGGTTCTGAAGGATGTTCAAAACTCTCAGTATTGGCACCTGCATGGATATGTGCCAACATGGTTACAGCTCATGGATGCCACGACTGCAGAAAATACGAAGAGGGTAGTCTTGAACAACTACCAGCAGATCCCAGGCTTGGATGACTTCAGCCGAAGTTTCAGTTGGAAACTACAGCAAGCCACTGTGGACTGCTACGCTGCAAACCAAAGAGCTGAGAGGAGTCTCCTTCATGACGACCCAAGCTGGAGCAAGTACACCAAAAGCTGCGACGTGCACATTGTTACACAGGTGCACATGAAAGCAGCTTCTGTGCTTGACAGTGACATCTCAGGGATGCTTCACACAAGTTTGGCGCAACATGGGGCCGGCGTGCTGGATTCGTTGAAGAAGATCTTGGCAGAGATATTTGAGAACGAATTGGTTGTGGTCTACGATGCTCCTCCACAGGGTCGGGTGAGACAACACAGAGAGGAATTGCACGATCTCTTTTTACCCCTTCCGCATGCAAATAGCTTGGACTATGTCAGTTGCTCCATTTTGGTTCGTCGATACATTCTTGGCGCCATGATGAATGGCGATCTAGAGAGCAATCGAATCTACCACTGGTGTCCCTTCAACTGTTGCAAGGACTTTTCCGACACAGTTGAGAAGTTCAAGACTTATGTTGTGCATGCGTTGTTGCCATCGAAGATGCCGCGCTTTGCAAAGAATAGATGGAACCACCAAGATGGAGCAGTATGTTGGGCAGGGCTGTTGGCTAGTCACCACGGTCTTCTGGAACGATTGTTAACGAAATTTGCAGGAGTTCCAGGCGTAGGCGTAGGACAGTTTCCAGCTGAGCCTATCCACCAGCAAGCGGCTGAAGGCAGGCATGCCAAGTGGTCCGGCTGGGATTTTCTCACAGATGATGATCCAGATGATGGTGCTGCTGGTCATGATGAGCCGCCGCAACCAATCGCAGACGCTGCAGTCATGGAAGGCGCGGCTGCCGAGAACGAGGGCAACGTAGAGATGGAAGATGTGAGCGGAGAGACTGACTGGGTCAAACGCAACAAAGCATTCAAAAAAAATTCAAGCCGATGGAGCCAGACAAATCCTGGACCGAGGTTGGTGGTGATGAAATCAGTCATGAACGTCCTGTCGCATGCAGTTAACCAAGCCTTTCAAGTTTCTGGCAGTGATTTTGACCGAGAACAAGACTTGAAGTCTGCAAAGGGCGAAGCCAGGTCATATCGGATGTTGGAAGCAGCACGAGGTGAAGATCTCGAAAAATTCTATTCCGAATTGTGGCAGCAGTTCGAGGGACCTTGTCGTGGCATGCCTTTTTCAGCTATGACTTCCAATCTCTTGAACATTCACTTCGTAATGTTGTCACGAGCTGGGTGCGCGATGGAAATGCTGCTTCGCAGGCCAAGGAGAGGTCAACCTTACCAGCTTTTCAAAGTACTTCTTCAAGGTGCTCCATCTTACAGTCAAAGCCTGTCATGCTTGGATGATGAACTCAGCAGTGCCTTCCACCACCGTTTCCCACAGTGGTCCCCTGAAGCAGAGGTTTGCCTACGGGCGTTGGGTCAAAGTATCGACGTTGATGTGGCCCAGATTGAAACACGGCATGCGATAGCTCGTAGGATGGTAACATTGAAAGGTTTGCAGACTTGGGTCCCGTCGATAGATTCTTTGTCCGCTGATTGGTCTCACAAACAAGTTTCAAATCGGGAAGAAGAGATCTATGGAAAGCAGGTCCAGCAAAATGCCTGTGAAATCCTTGGATTGCGGACTGGCACAGAACCTTGTCAACGTGATGAGTTCAGATTGGACTTTTTGTTTCTTGTTGCAGTTTGTTGAAAATTATGTTTGTTTTGTTTTACTGGGTTACTAGGTCACTAGGTACATAGTAGGGTATGGTGACATAGCGACATAGCGGACATAGCGACTATAATTGACTATTAACTATTATTATTTTTATATCAGCAGGTGCCAAAAGAAAGAGATGCTGCCAGAGAAAGGAGATATGAGGAAAAGGCTTGCTCAGGCAACGGATGACGCAACAAATGCTGTAGAACCTACAACTTCCATTTTCTACTCTCTAAGCTTTTAAATTTTGAAACTTCTACACCCAGCCGGCCGGGGTACTATTTATCACCCTGTGTAAATATACCCATTATATGTATATATATATATTATATATATATATAAATTGTTTTTTCAAAGTATAGATAAGAACTACTCACGGTGATGGTATGTGATTTCTTACAGAACAAAAGATATGCATTTACATATATATTTAAATATATTTAGACATCTGTCGATTCATCGATCTATCGATCGCAAGGCCGGGGGTTTCATGGAGCGTGCAGTCAACTCTAGTGTTGTGATGCTGTATGCGGGCGGGTGGGAGGAGGTGGGAGAGGGGTGCTAACAACGTCCTGCTGGCAATGCTTGATGACAGGGCTTGCGACATTACCGTTGAAGCTGCTGCGGTTTTGTTGAACTTTACCTTTACGCGTCTGTATACAGATGGTTTGGGGGCAGGGTGGGTCTAATAGCGTCCTGCTGGCTGTGCTTGATGGAAAGCGCTTGCTACGTTGAAGATGTTGGTTGCTTTATTGCTGAACATTCTTTCAGCATTTTTTTTTCGCAAGACAGTTTGATATACTGCTAGCAGCACTCAACTTGCTTCCCGACAAGGGTACCGGGTAACGGTAACGGCTCTGTCCAACGGGCGCATGCCTTTAAGAGTCCATAGTAGCAGCCCTAATCGCAAACAGTAACGTGAAAGAACCAAGGGGAAACAAGTGATTTTGACAGCTGTCGTAGGCTGTTTAGCAATCATGAATGTTTCATGGCCTGTAGAGGCGCAAGAAACCTATATCGATGTATAAAATTCAACTTATGCCACCTTCAGCATCTCACCGCCTGTGCCAATTTCTTAGGACCAGTCAGAGAAAGGTAAGACTGTCAAAAAGAGCAAAAAACCCGGAGTTCAAGGTGGTGGTGGGGGAGGTTTCCGTGCCTTCCTACATGAGAGGTGTCAAGGAATGGCATTCTCAGGCCTTGCCATGCAACAGGCTTCTCGCCGCTACCGTGCTCTTTCTGAAGAGGAGCGTGCTTACTTCAAGGAGCAGGGTTTGAAAGCAACCATTGCGTGGAGAGCAGGGTTCGCATCTTTTGGTGAGCGGGAGCGCGCACATTCGAAGGCAAAGCGCTCCTCCCCACCAGCATTGCAACAGGGTGATACACAAGCAACTGCGCTAGTAGCTGTTGATGATGTGAGGTCATCTCAACTGATGCCCTTGGCCACCAGAGACTTGCAAGATGATATTCGTTTGATCAGACGAAAATTTCGGGAACATCGGAAGGATCAGAAAAGGACTAGGGCTAACCAAGAGCAAACTTTGCTGGACAGTTTCAGAGGTTCGTCTACCCACAAAGCACCCACATGCTTTGATTTCGACAATTTCTTCACGGTTGCTCACCCACATGGCCTACAACCTGATTCTGATGCTGATGTCTTGGGCAGCGAGCAGCTTCCAGCCTTTTCATCCATCAAGTGGTACCCTCCAGTCACAGAATTTGCTCAGGCCACGGGTAGTTATTAATGCACGAGTACATGCATGCATGTACACACAGCACATTTGCAAATACACATATGCTCATACACACACAATCATGTCATGTCATGTCCTGTCATGTCATGTCATGTCATGTCATTCATTCATCCACTCATCCACTCATCCATCCGTCCATTCATTCGTTCGTTCGTTCGTTCATTTCAATTCATTTCAATTCATTTCATTTCATTTCATGTCATTCGTTCGTGCGTTTGTTCGTTCATTCGTTCGTTACGTTTGTGCAGTCATCCTTTCATACACTCATTGTTTCTTTCAATGCTATTTAAGCTGCTATTTAGTCAAGTCTTTTCGTCTTCATTTTATTTTCACTTCATTTCGGATCAAGTTTCCGTCCATATTATTTGCTTTCATTTAGTCAATTTCATGTCACTTACATTCATGTACAAAAACTACTTTAACTACTTACTCATGCATTCATTGACTGAGTCCTGATCGGTTCATCCATTCATCCATGCCTCCATTTCTCCACCCGTTCGTCCGTTCGTTTGCAGTCATCCAATCATTCATTCACGTATTCATGTCTACATGCAATGATCAATGACCATTCATACATACATGCGTTCATGCATCATCTTGCACAAAAAATCTGGATACGTGCACATATCCAGATATCCTAGCATGCAGTGACATGAACTGACTTGCACGAACTGACACCTGGCAGAAACTCATCATTGACCTACATTGACATATTCATTCATGCAGTCATTCATGCATGCATGCATACATACATACATATATGCTTTCATCTTGCGCAGAAAGCTGGACAGAGTGACAGACATGACATAGATGGACAATACAGGCAGCCTTTCCAAAGACATATATTCGAGACTTTAGATTGCTGGTCTGCTGGTCGTTATGAAGCCGCATTGTCCATGTATGCCCAAAAAAGATTGACAACAAGCAGCTAGTAGCTAGCTGCTGGCTGCGTAATGTGCCAGTCAATCAATCAATCAACCAAGCAATCAATCAATCAATCAATCAGTCAGTCAGCCAGTCAATCATATACATATATATGTAAATATATGTGTATAAATATATATATATGTATATATATATATATGAATACATAAATAAATAAATATATATATATGTAGTGTATATATATATATATATATTTGTTTTCACGTCCTTTTGCAAATCATGGTCTCTAGATTCTCTAGATTTCACAAAAACAAAGGTGCAGCTCCTCTCCTTTATCCTTCCCTTCTCTTCCTCGTGTCCTCTTCCTCTCCTCCTCGCGTCCTTCTCCTTTTCCTCCTACCCCCAGCTCATAGCAATCTCCAGCTGAGACTTGAGCTGCGGCGAGCTCCAGATCAGTGTGGGCACGCACGGACCCGGACACATGCCAGAAAGAATTCCAGGTAATAATTACCACAGTATATGTCAGATACAATGCTAAAAAGACTGCCAGACAGAATGTCAGCATATGTGTCAGATAGAATGCCAGATAGAGTTAGAGTGTCAAAATACAGGCCAGACAGATAGTCAGATAGAATGGCACAATAGTATGTATGCCAGATAGAATGCAGAGCTTTGGCCAAAAAGAAAAACAGATAGAATAGAATAGAATGTCAGAGCGTAAATGACACGCAATAAGAAAAGACCCAGATGATATGCTGGAAATTGTGCCGAGATGATTTGTCAGGGTGAGGCTCACTTGAAGTAACGCAATTGCAAAAATATGTAAGTATTTGATACGCATCGATGTGTGACTTGTGCCCTGTATAGGCAGCATTAAGCGAGAACAACTCTATGGGCACCCAGATGTCTCTTAAGAGTAAGCTTGAAAAGAGCTGGTCTGAGCACCATAGCTTGATCCGTCACACCGATCAGCCCAAGATCAGTTTTGAGAACGATCGCCTCAAGAAAATGCACCAGTCGAGCAAATGCTTTAAAGCTGGCTTTTGCATCTGCAAGAACAGCAGGAAGGATGTGCGACGCGCAAATTCTGATGCTTTGCAATTTGAGGTCCACCTTCTCAACGTGATGAAAAAGCAGTTTTGGTCAAAGACTGTGAACGACAGCAAGGAAAAGTCGCCAGCCCGTACGTTACTCGAAGCCGGTTTCATTGTTTTGCACTTCCTTGCTCGCATCGGGGATGAGCACCATGATGAGGTCATTGGAAGCCATTTCTTTCACATCGGGTATGCCAACTACAAGACATGGGCATTGTCAACACTGCAGCTGTTTGCCTGCGATGACGAGCAGATTCAGCCTGGTGATAGAAGACTTCTTCTGAAAGTTGGAGAGCGCGACGATGCGCTTGAGGGCGGTGACTTTAGACTTTTAGTGGATGCTGTGAGGGAAAGCTTGAACCTAGAAGCAGAGCACGATGTGCAATTCTACAAGTTGATTGGGAACAAGGAGAAGTTGCCCATTTCGCATATGATTCCTGGACAACGGTTGCAGGTCGAACTTTTGGATCTCCCTGGTGGGACATCAGTATGGAAAGGTGCGAAGAAGGAAAGAGATGTGAGGAAGGAGCAGAAAAAAAAGAAAAAGAAACACAGAAAACGAAAAGATCCCGGTGAACCCGCTGAACCCCGACGTGGCCGCAAGAAGCCATGTTATGATGTGGAGATGGTGGAGGATCTTGGAATCGGGGTGGTGATGCCTGCAGCAGCCATGCCCCGCCGTCCTCAGCAACAACAGAGGGCTTTTGTCAATGACAGTTCCAGTTCCAGTTCCTCAGGATCCGATGTGCCTCCAGAGGCCGATGCAGTGGAGGATCAAGATCAAGATCAAGATCAAGCTGGTGATCATGAAAGTGACATTTTGATGAAATTTTCCCAGATGGTGAAAGGGAACACTCCGAAGCAGAGTCAGAGATCTTTGTCGCCGAGTTGGACCGCATTCTTGCTGAGGAGCAGCAAGAAGAAGCTGAAGAAGTGGAAAGGGTCTGCGAAGCAGAAAGGCAACCAGAAGCATTGCAGGTTCCTGTCAACCAGGATGACGTGGAAGAACATGAAGCTGGAGCGGCTCCTGCGCCGCGAGCAGATGCTCTGGTCGCGACAGGTCTTGGGTTTGTGAGAAAACCTGGCATTTGTGAGGTGCGCTTTGATCTTGGCCGCTTGGGCGAAATCCGGTACAACTTCACATCAGAGTTCTTTCGTGCCCACTGCCCAGTGCATGACCAATGTATGCGCAGGAGATCTGCTCTGGCTTCTGACAGAATCCATGGACAAGGAAGGCCATTGGGCCTGCTTGCGCATTGGTTGGAAACAGCTGGAAACTACAGGGACAAAGATCAGCATATTCGAGCTAAACCAGGCTCCTTTGATGAGAGACGTCAAGCTAGGGATCGTTTTGAAGCTCGACACGGCAGCCACGAAATGACAAAGTACGAACGAGACAGAACTAATAAAGAATCGTCCAATGAACCACAAAGAATTTCCTAAAAGGAAAGCTAGGAATTTGCAATTTACAGGTTTCACTCGATCAAGTCAGCTGCTCAAAAAATGTATTCTGCCATTGGGAGGGAGGATAGGTGAAACTTACTGCAACATCAGCCAAGTTTTGAACGGGTGTTGCGGCCAACTTGGGCTTCACACCGACCGCATGGAATGAATGCACTTGAAACTTCCAGGTGTGGCTAGCGAACAACGGCCATTACAAACAAGTGTAGGCTTAAATTTCGGAACCTAGCAGCCCCAGACCTGCGTGCCTGCTGGATCGGGGAAAACATGACATGTGGGCTTCTCCAATTGTGGACATTGAAATCACCATGGCTATGGGAAATTCAAAAAATCCGAATGGTAGAATTGATATTGAAAAAGATAGATACAGTTCAAGTTGTGGATGACTTGTTGGGGCCCAAAGGATAGGAGGGAATGTGTGTGAGTAGGTGCTGGATATATGTCAAATTTTTAGCAGTATCTTTCACGAAGGGCTGAATTTCATCGTTGTAGTTCCAGTTTCAGGTGGTGACTCTTTGAAAGCCACTGTGCTCTTGTCACTAATCACTACCATAAGTGTCAAACTTGTCATCAATCTTCATCAACAAGTAAAATCTAGTTTTAGGGTGCCTATGGTTGGGATTCAAGGTTCGGAAGCATTCTCAACTTTTGAACTGGCAATTTTGCTGCTCACATTTTTTCATATTGATGTTCGCACTAAGTATAAGACCTTCTTACTTGGCTGCAGGCACACGGCCATAGCAAGGTCAGTCACTGACCACCCCAATAGCAATCTGCCTTTGTGCAGGATATTCTTGATCTTCCTGCGGCGAGATGTCTACTCCAGAGACGATGCTGCGAAATTTTCTCGGACCATCGAGGAGTGGTTCACATCTGATTCTGGCTGCGGTGGTTGTTGCTGAATGTGTTCACTCCCCTATTTACTGGTCGTTGTTGGAAAATACCTGAATTAGTTAGATAACTGATCATCGATCGTGATCAACAACTCACTGGATTCTTGAACCAAGCTACGTTCAACAGCATTGGATTCAATAACTCAATCATGGTGTCAGATTGTGGAATTGTCGGTGGCCCCACAAGGTTTCTATAGGCGTTCCCTATCTGTGTGGAATACTAGACTTACTATTTTTGAGTTGCTGGTCCACCAAAACATGGAAGTTCAACAAGGCATCATCATTGGCTGTGAGTGGCTGTACCACGCAATACCCAAGCCGAAAAGATTCCTGCTCAAAATGCCAAAGATTTCCGCCGGCAGGACCTCACACATGTGATTCGACAGATCCTGGCACCAAGGGCTGTGATGAACATCATTGGCCAACCGGAACAGGGATTGGACACGCAACCCAACAAGGTGAGGCAATCGGAGTGTGTGTGGGCCTGCTGCAATTTATTTTCTTCACTGCCTTGCACGTGTAAGCATCTAGATTTGATATCATAACAGCTGGCAAGTTTGCAACAAACTAACAAACGCTTTTCCAAAGACACCAGCGAAAAGCAGAACAAAGTACTGTGCCATTCTTATGTGTCAGGACCTCAGCTACAAATTTCTCAAACAAAGAGAGACAATCAATTGAAACCTCAACTGTCCAAACTTGAATAAACTCAACGGTGACAACGCTAAACTAGAAACGCCACGCCAAAAAATGCTAATTCCCAACGCTAAAATCTCCAACCCCCGGAGAACGTGAAGGTCAAAAACGCTAACGCTAAATTTTCCAACCCCCTGGGAACGCGAAGGTCAAAAACGCTAATTCTAAACGCTAAATTTTCCAACCCCCGGGGAACGCGAAGGTCAAAAACGCTAATTTTAACGCTAAATTTTCCAACCCCCGGGGAACGCGAAGGTCAAAAACGCTAAATTTAGAGGTTCAAAACGCTAATTTGAAGGCTTAAAAACGCTAATTTCAACGCTAATTTTTGGGAGCCTGGCTCCCTAAAATTAGCGTTTTTAACCCTCAAAACGCTAATTTCAACGCTAATTTTTGGAAGCCTGGCTCCCCAAAATTAGCGTTTTTACCTCTGAAAACGCTAATTTTTGGGAGCTTGGCTCCCCAAAATTATCGTTTTTACCTCTGAAAACGCTAATTTTTGGGAGCTTGGCTCCTCAAAATTAGCGTTTTTACCTCTGAAAACGCTAATTTTTGGGAGCTTGGCTCCCCAAAATTAGCGTTTTTACCTCTGAAAACGCTAATTTTTGGCAGCTTGGCTCCTCAAAATTAGCGTTTTAACCTCTGAAAACGCTAATTGTTTTTACCTCTGAAAACGCTAATTTTTGGGAGCTTGGCTCCCCAAAATTAGCGTTTTTACCTCTGAAAACGCTAATTTTTGGGAGCTTGGCTCCTCAAAATTAGCGTTTTTACTTCTGAAAACGCTAATTTTTGGGAGCTTGGCTCCTCAAAATTAGCGTTTTCAGAGGTAAAAACGCTAATTTTGGGGAGCCAAGCTGCCAAAAATTAGCGTTTTCAGAAGTAAAAACGCTAATTTTGGGGAGCCAGGCTTCCAAAAATTAGCGTTGAAATTAGCGTTTTGAGGGTTAAAAACGCTAATTTTAGGGAGCCAGGCTCCCAAAAATTAGCGTTGAAATTAGCGTTTTTAAGCCTTCAAATTAGCGTTTTGAACCTCTAAATTTAGCGTTTTTGACCTTCGCGTTCCCCGGGGGTTGGAAAATTTAGCGTTAAAATTAGCGTTTTTGACCTTCGCGTTCCCCGGGGGTTGGAAAATTTAGCGTTTAGAATTAGCGTTTTTGACCTTCGCGTTCCCCGGGGGTTGGAAAATTTAGCGTTGGGAATTAGCGTTTTTGACCTTCACGTTCTCCGGGGGTTGGAGATTTTAGCGTTGGGAATTAGCGTTTTTGACCTTCACGTTCTCCGGGGGTTGGAGATTTTAGCGTTGGGAATTAGCGTTTTTGACCTTCACGTTCCCCGGGGGTTGGAAACTTTGTGTGCAAACAGAATCAATATAGTTTACACGCGCATACATACATACATACATACATACATACATACATTTACATTACATTACATTACGTTACGTTATGTATAATTTAAATTTAAATTTACATTTGCATTTACATTCCATTCCATTACATCACATTACATTACATTACAATACATTACATACATACATCACATCACATCACATCATAACACATCACATCACATCACATCACATCACATCACATACATGCATACATACATGCATGCATGCATGCATACATACATACATACATACACACATACATCCATCCATCCATACATACGTACATACATACATACAGAAACACGCACATAAATACATCCATCCATCCCCATCCTTCTATCCGTCCATACATACATACATACATACAGACACACACACATACATACATCCATCCATCCATCCTTCCATCCGTCCATACATACATACAGACATACAGACATACATACCCACACACGTGAGAGTGTCACTTACCCCATCTTGGGCTGTTTCCAGGCATCTTCACGGCCCAGCGGCTTTGACGATGCTGCTCCCGGGATGGCCAGGTGGGAAATGGAATCAGCTGAATGGAAAAGAAAGCTGAAAATGCCAAACACTTTCCAGCCGTACAGCGAGAAGTTTATTCAGGGGACGCGGAAAACAGGAACAAAACGCGTTCGAGACCTTCTAGATTGCACAGTGGTGCAAACCTGCATCTCCAAAAAAATGAAGCTGACAGATGCTTGTATAAGTATACCAAAGCATTTGTTTTTCCCTGTGTTGTGGTTCTCTTAATTGCCCAATTGGCAATATAAATCCCCCGAGCAATCCAATTTTGGTCCTGGTGATTCATGAAATCACCAGCCGATTGGTGACCCGACAAGCCTAGCCATGCCCAATATCTTATCAAATCTTCTCTATGGGGAAGTACGGGCTGAGACATTCTGAGTAATAAGATCCACAAACTCAAAACTGTTTTTTACCATACGTTAGGGTTTTGGGACGATGAAAGATGACACCTGCATGGTTGGTTCCCGATACTGGAATGTTTCTTCCTTCTACTGACATGGATTTGATCAGGTTCTAAGCACAGCAGTCATCAGATTCTATTACGCAAGCAACTTACGAAGTAAGCAGACCACCTGATGCAAATCAAGAATCATGACAGCAAAGTTTTTACTTCCTGTCTGGATGCTTCATTGAATTATACTCCTATTGATGTCATGTTGCTTTTCTTAGGTATGGTGTGTATATAATTGTATATATATATATATATGTCCCCGTTTGTCTACCATTCCCCGCTTGCTGCAGACCAGGACATGCACGAGGCCATGGAAGACATTTTGGTTGACATCAGCCAAAGCCACGGGCGGCGTCCTCACAGCAATGCTCATGGCATTGCGCACACATTGACGACTTCTTCCCTGCTCTACTCCTTCAAGCACAGGACGGTCTTGACGCCATTCCAGCACCTACTTCTTCAGGGATATCCAGGTACGGTCGCAGTGTCTTCATCGCATTCTGACCGGGATGTGAGGGCAATGGCTGGAGAAGCTATTGCGCTTCCTTGCCTTGGCCTGCTGGTTTGGGCGCTGTTCCTACTTAAAGGATTTTCTGTCTAGGTGGCTTCAGCGTCGATTCTGTTCAACAGAAGCAGATCAGGGCCACTACAGTACAGCGACAGGACCAGCCAGTCAGCTAAGTTGAGAAGATATATTTACCGGGCCATCTACTAGCATTATTCTCATCAGGCATAGAGTCATAGAGATTTAAGAGCTGGTCTAATTGCAAATCTTATGCGTTGTGTTCTGTTTGGTATGCAGGTGCTGGGTCCTTGGGCTCTTGAAGAAAACTGTCACACCAGTTTGACCGAACGGCCGCCAAAACAAACTCTATCTATATATGTCTTCAATTCCCCACCTGCCAGGTGAGGGCCTCTAGATTTTAACAAAGGTGCATCCGCTCCTCCTGCTCCTTCTCCTCCTCCACCTCCTCCTCGTGTCTCTTCTGCCAGCTCGTCATCACTGTGGGCACCCGCGGACCCCGATCTCAGAGCAAGTGCTAGCTGCAGCTCAAGTCAAACAATCGCAATCGGCAGCCAACTCAGCCTAGACCCTGGGCAGCACGGACCCGAACCCTACTGCGAGCCCCAGCACGAACATATACCACAAAGATAGCAAACTAGGATCTCAATATAGATGCCAGAAAGATAACAGAGTAATCAAACTTAGATGCCACTTAGATTGTTAGAAATAATGCCAAATAGCTAGATAGGATGTCGTCAGGGAGAATGCCAGAAAGAATGTCAGATAGGATATCAGAAATTATGTCAGATGGAATGCAAGAAAAAACGCCAGAGAGGATCTCAGATAATATGATGCTAGCTTCTACTTAGATAGAGAATGTTTGAGAAAATGCCACATAGAATGTCAGAATATATGTCCGATAAAATGCCAGAAAGAATATTAGAGAGAATGTGAAGCTATAGATGCCAGCTAGCAGCTAGAATCTAGAAATTCCAGAAGGGATATGAGAATGTATGTCAGATAGTATGCCAGAAAGAAAGAAATGTCAAAGAGAACGTCAGATAGTTTGCCAGTTTGGATTCCAGGCAGGATGTCAGAAGCCATGTATGCCACATAGAACGGAGTGACCGAGTGAACGAAAAAAAATATATATATATATATCTATCTATCAATCAGGTAGGCTACCAGAACGAATGCCAGATAGATCAGAGGACAGAATATATGTCAGATAGAATGCCAGAAAGAATGCTCAGAGAGGATATGAGAGAAAATGCTAAATAGATTTTGGTTCTGGAGAGCTGTCGGAAAGAATACAAGATAGCAGTGTATCAGATAGCATGTGAGAGAGACTTCTGGCTCAAGTGTCAAAAAGAAGGACGTAAGACGTAACAAATATATGTCAGATAGGATGCCAGACAGAGGGTCAGAATATATTTTATGTAGAATGCCAGAAAAAAGTCAAGTGGTGTGGATCACCCGAAGTTTTTGTTTGGTTTCATAGACCCTTCACTTGTCAAGGTCGTCATCGGTCACGGGTCTGTCCTCAATCAGCCTGTTGCTATACTATAGCTGCTATAGCTGCTCGCCGCACGCTGGCCTGCAGCACACAGTAGCTCGCCACTTTTGTGTAATTCAAAGAGCCGGTGGAGATGACTGCCCTGAAAGAAAAGGCTTTAGCAACCCTGCGCTCTCTACTGTACACGCTTCTGCTACGGGTTTTCACTTCCATGTCCGTTCTTCATCCAGCACTGTTGCCGCGATAAGTGCAAGTGCGAACTGTGAACCAAACTTGTGACATATGAAACCTTGGACTTTTGGCCCTGTGCAGTCTTCTTGTATTTCCTGTTCAGTCCTGTATAGTAAAATCCTTGGCCTGACCTGGTCTTGCTATGGCGCTCACGGAAGTCAAGAAGACAATCCTCAAGGTGAAAAAGGATAATCACATCTTCAGCTACAAAGGCAGAGATCACATCATCGGATCCCCTGATGAGCCTGTGGACATCACCGCCGGAATCCTTTGCCGAGGATGCGGTGCATCTTTGCAGTATGGAAGTATTTCCGGCACTTTCTATTGTCAATGTTTTGCTCTTGGTACCCTACAGTTTCCTGTGGCACCAACAGTGGCTTTGTCAAATGCTGGCGATGTTGAATACTTTGAGCCTCCAGCGCCTATTTCCCCAAAGAGCCGAAACCGCGGAGGGATGCATCGCACATTGTGTATGTCATGTTTGAAGCCGCTACCACCCCCTCTTGATGGTGAAAGTGAGAGTGATATGTGCATATGTCCGCCTACTACCTTCATTGGCGGGACTAGCAGTAGCAGCAGCAAATCTGATTCTTCTAGCTCTGGCCACAAGAGCATCCCAAAGATTGCAGCAAGGACCCCATGGTAGTTGCCATGACATCGTGGAAGCAATACTCTAGTTATTAGTGAAGTGTAGGAGCATGACAACGCAAAATGTGCAAGTTGTTATGCAGATATATTTGGCTCAATCATATGTGTCTCTGTTCTTTCATTGCATGCTGCGCAACCTGGGTTCTTGCCAGCGCGGTTGGATTGATTAGGCCGATTTGGACACAGCTGACAGCTGTATTTGTAGTTTTTTGCATGACTCAGCCTCAGCTTGATACTGAGTGCACTCATGTTGCCTGGGCTTCAGACCGTGGTTGCTTGATCCCATCAAATGCTGCTAAGCAGCTTTTGAATCGATGTGAGGCGATCATTTTTGTCATGAAAGCTTTTCAGGCCATGTATGGGTTTGTCAACTCTGCTAAGGCTGCTAAGGAAATTTTTGAAACTTACTGAACCAACCATGTTTTTGAAGGACAAGATATAAGAACATGTTGTTTTCGAGCAGCATGCCCATACATTCGAATCAGAGCGCTTGGCTTGGACCAGCTTGGATTTCGAATCGAGGCCACAAAAAGTAAGCCTGCAAATTCTAAAGTCTAGCAGGGCTACGGCTAGTGCTAGTGGCTAGCGGCTTAGAAAGGAAGAGGCTTTTGATCGAACTAATTTAGTGGAAGTTTCAAGTTTCAGAGGCCGTCTCGAATCACCATGACTTGCTGAGCTGGTCATTTCATGTCATTTTCGCGCATCATCGGTGCTTGGACTTTCTGTTTTGACATTTAAACACTTGACTCTTGACACTTCACTCATGTGACATGGATTGGTCTGACTTTGCAAAAAGAATTCCAACCGCTCACTTCTCACTGCCCAAGAAAAAGCAGGAAGAGAGGTGTGTAAATTGTAGGTTCTCGACTTTGAAGCTAGAGGAGCTTAGAGCTGCGATGCCTCCGAAGCAGTCTTCGGCTGCGAAGGCTCCGCCTAAGAGGAAGGGACAAACGCCAGCAGCCCCAGAGCAGGACTTGGCTGCAGCAGCGCTGTGCTTGTCTGTACAGACTGTGTCATAAGAATCCTAACAGCATTGTAAGTCTAAAGTCTAAAGCATCAGGAACGGGGGAACAAAAAGAACCTTGAATTTCAAAAACTAGATTAGACATGGCCTGGGACTCTAGCAGACTCTAGCAACTAGACGGCTTTTGCTGGATGCTGATGGATCTATCAGGGTTTGTTGGGTCTCATGGTCTTGCTAAAATTTTCAGATTTCGAATTCTGTTCAAGTCTAAGTCTGAGCCTGAGTCTTGGTCTCTGCCATAGCCTATGCCTATGCCTATGTATGTCTATGCCGATGCTGATGCCCATGTCGTGACTACATTCTACATCCTACATTTGCACTTCTTTAAAGGGGATGGACCAGCAGTTTTTGAATAATTTGCGCGTTGCTAGGACCAGGAGACACGGCTCGTCTTAGCCGGAGGGGGGCCTGGGGCTAAAAAGCGAAAAGGCGATGACAAGGCGCTTGTTCTTGTGGGCTCTGGCGGCGCTGCCCCAGCAAGAGGAAGTAGTTCCAGAGTTTGTGTTTGCGCCATTTGCATGAAGACTTCTGCTGCTGCTTGGCATTTTTCGTTTTCAGAACAATTGTGATTACCGGTTATTGTACTGACTACTTATATAGCCGAGCTATCTTTTGAAGGGATTTGACGGCAAACACAACACAATACAGATACGGATGCACGACAATGGACCACAATGAAACGCATTGCGATAATATGAAAAGTTTGCCATGCAATTCGCTGCAAAGCACCTACAGTGATGCAGTGGTTTGCATTCTTCAGAAGCTTTCCTGATGATTAGGCTTCCAGGCCTTAGGTTTCAGAAAGTCGCAAACTAACTATCCATATGTTTTTCCACACCTACCAGGTGAAGGTCCAAATCCCCTGCTTGTCAGAGAATATGCGAGAAAGAGAAAATGACAGATTGTGCGGTAATAGATAGAAAGATAGATAGATGGATAGATAGACAGATAGATAGAAAGATAGATAGATAGGCAGATAGATAGGTAGATAGGTAGATATATATATATAACACATATATTACTATATATGGGAATTGAGATGTCGGATAAATGTCAGAAAAATGCCAGTGGGGAGCACACGATGTAAGGCATTGATCCATTCGTTACAATTTGTTGTGGCAGGTCAGTGATCACTCTCAGCGTAGCCGAAGCCAGATTTTGCACTGAGGATGTCCAGTTTCCAACCAACCAGAACGGGATTCCAGAAGGCAATGGCTGCTTGACCGACAAGACTGTGGCCGTCAAAGCCTTCCCAAACCTTGAGTGGTCTGAGCTTGTGTTGCTCTTCACCAACGACCCGCTTTTCAAGGCTAAGTTCAATGGAGCCAGGGCTTTGTGGAACACGATCGTTGACAAAGCTGGCCCCAATGCTCCTATGTGGGACCCAGATCAAGTCGCTGCTCACTTTCAGCTCGGTGCCAAGCTTAGTCAGTTAGTCTTAGTCTTAGTAGTCTTAGTAGTCTTTGTGACCCAGCAAATTTCGGAGTCCGTCGCCCATGGCTACTGCCTTCAGTGTTTGTTGTAATGTGATTTAGGCGTGAAATCACTTTTCAAGGTTTATTCTTGTTTGTAGCTTCGTCGAGTATGGAAAGCACACAGAGAGAGAGAGAGAGAGAGGAGGTTAGTGAGAAGAGAACTGAGCTAGGTAGAGAAGAAGACCTGGTAGATAGATCTAAAGTTCAGGTTGGCGACATCGGTCAGGGACCGCGCGGCTCAGTATTGTTGCCGGATTCACCACCCATTCCCCATTTGGTATTGGGGTGTTACAATAAGAAAACCATTTGTTAAATTGAATCCCCTATATACTGCATTTGTATGAGATTCAGTGTGCACAGTGCTCTGTACCCTCTTGACCTGGCGACCAGTTTTCCATGGCAAGGTCAGTTCATCTTCCGAGATGTGGGCATGATGACACTCCAAGAAGTCTTCAAGCATTTTGGAGCCCAGCCCGTTGAGCTTGGGCTGGTGGCCCATTCTGTTGTTCAAGAGGACAACAAAATGACAGAGCTATATCCTGTGGGTCTTGAGGGGCTGCCGCTGGAAGTCATTCTCAGCATGCGCAAGATGCGACTGTTCCAAATGACAGCGGTGGAACGCAATGAGTTGTTGGTGTACCCTGAGCGGCAGATTGACAAAGACCAGGGTCAGGAGTTCTACAAGAAAGCTGTTGGAACTCTAGTTGAATCTCGACCGGCTGCATTCAACCCTGCCAAGAAAGGAGATGGCCGCTTACTCAGTGCCTCTGAGCTTCGTGAAAGGAGTGAGGAAGTGGAAGCCGCCAAGCAGCTTGAGATGGAACGGCTTGGAGGGGGCGGTGGACTAGGTCACGAAGAAGATGAATTTGGAAGCTATGAGCCTTCAATGGAGGCGCCCCGTGTCGTTGTGGAAGCGCCCAGTGCGAACACAGGATCCTTGGGCAATGCCACGACCACCGCTTCCAGGAGGAAGATTGCGACAAAGGCCAGCAAGGCCAAGAAAGCAGCGAAGGAAGAAGATGATGACGATGATGCCGCGGAGATGGCTTCTGAAGGAGGCTTGACGGTTGGGCCTGGGGTTAGCATTACGACCCTGATGGAGTCTGATGGGGAAATGGCAAGAGTGGCTACCAAGCATGCGCAGATCACCGGCAGACCTGAGTCGCCTTGCTTCTTCAACTTGGACGTCGCAAGGGTTCTGAATGGCGAAAAGCTAGGAAAAGCATTGCAAGGAGTCACGGGACAGCAATTTCGGAGCACTTTGTTTTCAATGAAAGTATTAGTAACTAGTAGCAGCCACGTCCTGGGTGGGGTCTGAATCTTGCTGACTCTATTCAGGCTCTCTTCTTTCCTCAGCAGCTTCCACCCTATCCTATTAAACATTTTCACACCTCGACTGATGACCGGTAGTCCAACACCCAGCGCCTTCATGCCAAATTTCGCAATTTTCTGATTTCATTATTGGCTCACTCTATGTTCTTTTTTACCTCTTCCTACGACAGAGAAGCGTTGTCTGTATCTTTCTATTCTAGCCGAGCTGAGCTCAAATGACACTTGTGTGTGTTCAGGACACAAGCACATTTGTAACGTGCATATAGAATATCATTAATATGATTTTCTCAGTTTAGATTTTAAGAGCATATTTTGCGATCCTTACATTTCGCGTGCACTCACTCTACCTTATCTTCTGCTTGTTTTGAGCTTTCTTTCTGACCCCTTGCATGCTCAGGCGAGGGTGGCATTGAAGAAGTTGACCGGCACGAAGGAAGAACAACTTCTTGAGGACCGCTTGGTAAAACTGGAAGCTGCTATGGTCTTGCATGCGCCAGAGCAACAAGAACACACCATGATCACGAATTTGAAATTGCTTTCTGAGTACACCAGCCAATTCCCATTGAAATTGTCGACCATCATTACCGGGCACTTGGTTGTCTTCCGAATGTCCAGGGTGTTTGCGCTGACGGAACAAAAGGAGCGGCTGAGTGCGATCGATGCTTTTGTGACGAGCTTGGAGCTGTGGACGGCATCCTCAGCGAGCTTGTCAAACCTCCTCGACCACAAGAATGCAAGCTTCATCCCCATTGTGGCTGCTCTTTGTGAGGAGCTTACCGGTACGTTTGGGGGTGGAGCTGGTGCAGCTGGTGGTGCTTCTTGTTCTGTTGACGCAGATGGATCAGCCATGGAAGGTGGGGTTTTCTGTTGGGTGTTTCAATGTGTCCCTAGGTCCTAGGTTCTGGCCCCTAAGTCCTGGGACCTAGGAGCCACAGGTTCCATGGTCTTTGGTTAGTTGTAAGAACAAAGCTTAGTGGCAGTTAATAATTGCTTTGGTTTCCCTTTCAAAATGGAGCGCTTCAGCTTTGCACTTGGCCACAACCCAAGTGACCGAAGAAGTTTGTTCAACTTACGCTCACAGATCTGTTAGTACGAAGTTTACTGGGCTCCGTGATTTCGCATTCTCACGTATATAATCTTTCGGCCCCTGTCAGATGAAGATGCTCTTTTTGGCAACGTCATGCCGGACACGACGGGACAGAAGAAAATTGAAGGGACTGAAGCTGCGACTGAGAAGGACAAGGAAGTTCACCCCGCTCTTGAGGCAGGCTCTGTGACCTCGAACTGCTGTAGCTGTAGCTGCAGCTGTAGCTGGTGAAAATAGTGTCTAGCGGCCTAGCTGGTAGACGGAAGGAGAGAGAAAGAGCCAGAGTGATGTAACGATTTTGTTTGAAACAGGTTGCATTGCTGGTGACAAGCCCGCAGTTACCTTTTTAACAAATACAAAAAACAATACTCAGTATGTATGGATTAGTTATTATTTCTATGTCAAGGGGTTGCACACACACACACACACACATCTGCGTACATTATATACATATAGAATGCAAGGCGCGTGTACGAGTGTATACTGATCAGTGTGAAAATGGTCAATAGCCTATAATCCAAGCTGCCCTTCATCAGCTGCCCTGCTTTGCAGGCTCTTCGACTCGTGGTTACCGACGCCTTGACCAGCGACATCTTCGTCGACCTGGTGCATGAGGTGGCAGATCCTAAGAAGCGTCTCTCCTTGGAGCGTTTGACTACATCATATCTGAGCTCATGGCATAATCCCAAGAGCGAAGCCTGGTTTCAGACGCATTCGGTTGGAAAGTTCTTGGAGCCATGTTTCAGAAAGTTTGCCAACTTTTGCAAGTGCATCGCGGTGTTGCTGAGGGTCGATCACCCAAACTGGCAACTCAGTGCGATCCAGGTGGTGGCCATCACAGGGGAAAATCAGACGGATTCATTTTTCAAGGCAATCAAGAGTCTTCTCACTGCTCCCGCATCAGATGGCACCTCTCCAAGCCAAATCAAGGTCGCTTCCAGGGAGTTTTGGATGATGGAAGTTCAGGATGTGCTGAAGACAGCTGCAACACATGGACCGGCTCTCACTGTTTTGCAGAAGTTTGAAGCAGACATATCCAGCTTCCAAGCCCAAGATGGTGAGGACGGTGAGGAGAATGAGGGTGCAATTAAACTTTCCCCCGGTTTTGCTGCTCATCTCCCTGGAATCATGGAAGAGCTCCCAAAGTTGAGGGCGGCTCTGCGCAAAGGCTTTTTGACGCCGTTTCTGAAGCCGTTGCGCGCTCATATCCTTGACTTGGGGCAGGCAGTCCTGAAGGCTGGGGAGATCAGCATGAGCTCAGCAGATTTGAATGCTTTGATGCACGCGTTGAAGTATTTCCAGGGAGATGCTGAGTGCACGGTGGCCCATACCAAGCTCATCGAATGGGCTACCAAGCACAATACGAAAATTGTTTTGGCAGATTTCGGCAAGTGGATGAAGTCCTATATGGAGACAGCTGCTGCCCAGACTTACGTGGAGGTGATCCCTGTGGACATGGCCCACGTGAAGCCGCTTGTGGCGAAGCTTCCAGTGCCTGTGCCAGACGGGGTGGGCAAGCAGTTGCTCACTTTGATGCCAATGTTGCTTCGCCGTGCTTTCTTGGAGGACTGGTCACTGGTCTGCTTGTTGGTCACTTTACCTGGTCTAGATTGTAGATTCTAGACTTTGGAGACGCGAGGCCCTAGACTCTATTACTATAGACCATATACGTTTAACTAGACGCGGATTGTCCACTGTATAGTCTAGACTTAGCTGGTTTAAAGTTAAAACCCTACAGCGAATTCCAAATCCCGACCCAACCTACATAGCAGAAAGAGATGCTCCATGGTTTCCATCAATATCAGCTTTCACAGCTTTATTAGTTATTAGATATTTGATTTCATCAGATGAATGGTCACTTTTTGAGCCAACTTCATCTGAATTGCTAACCGCTAACCGTTAACCATTGTTTGCAATTTTGCATTTCATTCTTGATTTTCCAGGCATTCAAACATGCATTCAATTGGAGTCACCTGCCATGTGAGGGTCTCTAGACTCTGGACTGTAGATTCTAGATAATGCCAGCAGGGGTGCAACTCCTCCCCTTTCTCCTCTCCTTCTCTCCCTCGTGCGAGCATGGAGAGCCACAGCAGTCTGGGCACACATGGACCCGGAAAGTATATAAGGATTCCAACCCGAACGTCAGATCTGTTTGGACGCCGGAAGCTATGGTCAGGGCCGCCTGGGCACACAGACCTGGCAAGCTCCAGATCACGCTAGCCACTAGCCACATACAGACTCGGACACATGCCAGAAAGAATGCCAGAATTGAATAGATGCCAACTAGAAAGTCAGAATGAAGGAATGTCAGAACATATGTCCAAGAGAAGCCGACCTGCCAGAATAGTTGAATAGTAGATGCTTGAAAAGAAATCAATTAAAATAATTAGAGTAGAGTTGAACAGAATGTCAGAAAGAATGGATACATGTTGGAGAGAAGCTAGAAAGATTGCCAGAATACATGCCAAATAGCATTTCAATAAGAATGCCAGAGTCAGCGTCAGAAAATGCATCAGATGGAATGTCAGAAAGAAAGCCAGCTAGGTAGAATGTCCGTATATGTGTCAGACAGAATGCCACATAAAGACATAGGACATAGGACATAATTTGTCAGGGTGGTGACCACTCGAAGTAAATAATGCAACAATCCTGTGCAAATCCAATCATGCTGGACTTGGTTGTCCCGCGCCTGTACCTGTAGAATCTGTTCTATTCAGTTCAATGACATGTCTCACCTGAGCTTTCTCGCAGGCGTCACTGGTGAAGGCAGATGTTCCAGCTGGACTGACTAGCTTGGTGGCCGTGCTCAAACAATTTGGAAAGTTGGCGACCGCATTGTCAATGCCCCACATCAGCTACTACACGGATGCGGTGGAGCTGCTTCGAGTGTCTGTCAGCTTGCTGATCCAGGTTTCAAAGATCGACTTTGGCCAGGATGCCACAAGCGTGTTCAAGAACGATGCCAAGCATGCGATGCTGTTTCAGGTTTGTTCTTTCCTCGCCTCTTTCAAGAGCATCTCTGACAAGATGGGCGAGTACGTGGAGGAGAACGAGCACGGCAGCGAGGATCCCTACGGCATGTTCAGCCACTGCCTTTGTTCTGACATTATCCAGCCGCTGAGGCCGTTGATGGAGCCCGAGGCTTTGAAAGATGCTGTTCGTCGGCAGTGCGCTCAGTTTGCTTTGTCTCTGCAGAGTTTGATCCCCAAGCTGGCAAAGACATCTGGCCAGTTCTTTGCAGGTGGACCCAATGATTGGAAGAAGGATTTGGGTGAAGATCCTGACTTGGATGACGTCCTTGCCAAGGCAGACGTGACGCTGGGCTCCATCACTGGCAAGCACTTGAAAGCGGAGGTCGACAGGTCGGCTCAAGTCACTTGCTTCAGTCTTGTAGGGGTTGCTAGCTAGCGTGGGCACTCGTGTATTCATCTCGCCTTCAAGTTCTATATAAATTTAAGAAATTACTAGTAACTAGTAACTAGATGTTACTGATCCAAGGCCATGACTTAGTGATTTTGGACCGGGACGGGACCAGTGACCAATGATCGAGATTTGATGGTTTGACTGGACTTCATCAGACTTCAACACATGGCAGCGACATGGAAGCGAAGCAATCCACCAATCAGAGTTCACAATTCACATTCGGCCATCCAAGGTGATCAAGGAGATGGATGTCTTTGCTGAGAAGATGGGTTGCTTCTCAGGCGATTCCTTGGGAGAGGAGTTTGGGAAGCTGAGTGAGCATCTGGCTGAAGGGAAGGCTTTGATCACGGCCACCCATGTACAGTATGTGGAGTCTGCTATGGCTTATGCCCTTGCATTCTTGCGTAAGCCGGACGAAGGGGCTTCGGAAGGCAAGTCGCCTGCGAGGCTGTGTGGCATTTTGTCCGAGCAGTATGCAGCCTTGGCTGCCCAAGAGAATGGGGTGCAAGAGAGCCTTGTACAGCCCAATCTTCTTGGCTCTGCGAAGAAGTTCTTGAGCTAAGGCCCAAGAACCAATCATCTCGCCTCATCTGTGCGCAGCACGTCTCAGAAGGTCCGTTTTGACACTTGACTAAACTTCACTAGTCACTAGTCACTAGCTAGTCTATCGCTCTATGTTTTGCCATTGACTGGTTCAACCTTTGTTGGAAACTGTTGATACCAATGGTGTCATGTTTTGACTGGCTTGGAGACCGAAGGCTTGTGCGCAGCACGTCTCAGAAGGTCCGTTTTGGCACTTGACTCAACTTCACTAGTCACTAGTCACTAGCTAGTCTATCGCTCTATGTTTTGCCATTGACTGGTTCAAACTTCGTTGGAAACTGTTGATACCAATGGTGCCATGTTTTGACTGGCTTGGAGACCGAAGGCCAATCCTCTTTTGTGAGCAGCACGTCTCAGTAGGTCCGTTTTGGCACTTGACTCAACTTCACTAGTCACTAGTCACTAGCTAGTCTATCGCTCTATGTTTTGCCATGACTGGTTCAACCTTTGTTGGAAACTGTTGATCTGATACCAATGGTGCCATGATTTGACTGACTTGGAGACCGCTGGCCGATGGAAAAATTGACTGTGAATGAGTTTTGATCTTGGCGCTGTGATGAGTTTGGTGAACTGCAGGTGTCTTCGGATTTCCAATGGATACAGTAGATTTTCACAATGCTATTGAAAAACTGAGATTTTCACAATGCTATTTCAGCAAGCTTTTTGAAAAGCTGAGATTTCCACAATGCTATTTCAACAAGCTATTTGACAAGCAGAAAATATCAAAAAGCTATTTGAAAAGCAGAGATTTTCACAGAGCTATTTCTCAAAGCTATTTGAAAAGCAGAGATTTTCGCAGAGCTATTTCTCAAAGCTATTTGAAAAGTAGAGATTTTCGCAGAGCTATTTCTCAACGCTATTTTAAAGGCTTAAAAACGCAAAATAATTATTTTCCATTTTCCAGTTTTTAGCCGCCATCGGCACTCTTAAAGTTAGATATTCATGTTGAGGTTCACTTACTTGTGTATGTACATCTAAATTCTATATATGTCTCTATATGTCTCTATATATATATGTGTGTGTGTGGGTGTTTGCTTTGCCTGCCTATTGATCTATTTTATCTATCAATTTATCGTTCTAGTCTTCGAATTCTATATTTTTGTCCATCTATGTATCTCTCTATTTATCCATATGTTTATATTTTTATCTATGTATCTATTTACCTATGTTGAATCTATCCATGCATCTATTGTTCTATTTGTTTATCTACCTACCTATGTGTCTATTCGTCGACCGACTGTTTCCATTATTATGTGCCTATGTAGCCTATGTATTATGATTATTATCATTGTTATTATATATATATATTATATCCAAACTTGAAACTATGTTGTTTCTTTGGCCTCGGTTTTTTCTAGGTTCCCCCCCTTGCGTTGCTCAAAAAACCTTTCAAATTGAGTCTTGTATCGGTGTGGCAAGGCAAAGGTATCCACTTGTGGCTTAGCCTTGCAAGGTCCAAAGTTCCGCGCTAACTGTGTAGTGTAGGACTGGCACTGGGTCTCATCAAGTTTAGACATGCTTGATCTTGTTTTTTTTTCACATGGACATGTAGTTGGTTGTGGTTGGTTTCATTCAGCCGAAAACTTCTTATTTTTGGATGTTCTTTTTAAATAGTTTTTTTGATGGTTTTTAATGGTTTTTGTGAACATCTGCCTGCAGGTGGTTGCAGATCGCCCCCAGCACCCCCCTGTGCTGCAGCTGGGTGCTCGTGCTCCCCCGATTCTTCGCATGAGGGCCATGGATCCCCTGCAGGCGCCAAAAATCACGTGTTCTTTCGCATCGATTTTGAGGTTTGTAAAACTAAGACATGTAGCTATTGAAGCCATGGCCATAGAAATAGTTGATTTACCCATATTTTTGATGGTGGATCTTTCCAGTTCGCGAAGTGTTAGATTACCAGAAAACGTACCTATCAGTGATAGCCTATGAGGTATTTTCATGGTATGTTTTTCCTAAATTCTGCCTCAACATACCTCATGATTTGATCATATGAAAATCGAATGTTTCCTTTGCTCATTAGCAACGTTGAAGGTTCAGTGTCACATTCGGCATGTACCCTTGTCCCTTGCTGGATTATGGAGGAGCGTACTGAAGGAACTGTCACCATCGTTTCTGTCCATTCTCCATGGTCCAAAATGTCAGACCCTGCTTTTGAGAGAAGAAGGTTATGTTTTGATGGATGTTCCCCAAAAATTGTTGCATTGCCGTTGCCATGTTTTTTTGATTACAAAACATGTGTTTGCAGCAAACCTGTCTTGTTCTCTTTTCAAACCTGCATTCCAGGATTTTTTCCACTGCGCGGTTTCACTTTTTGCTGTGCATGCAGTGCATGCCACGAGGTGTGTTTCCGCTTTCCAAGTAGCATCATGAAGACGATCAAAGAGGAGAGCGCACTGGAATGGGACTTGGAGGGTAACTGAGCCCCAAAATCGCTAAGTTTTTCAGGTTGGTGAACTACTTACCAGATTCGATCCTGCCTCTTACCATGCTGCTGGAACCTGCTGATTTCATGATGTTTAATGATGTTTCTAGGTAAATTTGCTACCTGGATGAACCTGAATGATGTTCTATGATGTTCTCAGGGCCAGGAATCGTTGCAGATCGTCGCCAGAGGTTTCGTGTGTCGTAGAGTCTTTGACATCGATTGGATTGGAGGAAGACCTTGACGTGTTTTCCCACGGGGTATAATCTAACCTTCCCAAAAAATAGGTTCAATTCACCGCGATTTTACTAGGAATTCACTTGTCTATTTTTTGTGGCGGTTGTTATACCACAAATCCTCTTTGTTTCTTTTTCATCCTTGCCACCCTGGCGTCCCCTGAGGAGACTTGGATGGGGCGCAAGCGCTACGGAAAGACGGCCGGATATTTGGTTCAGGCGCCGGGGTGTGAGAACCTCATGGCTCGTGCGCGTGGATGGTGGGAAGTCAAAGGTACCCCCAAGTCACCTGGGTTGTTTCCATACTAAGTCATGGTCATCCATGACTTGGATCGGGTGCCCCCATGGATTGGAAACTTCCACATGACCAGGAGAGAAGAGTCAAGATGCAGCGAGATGCAGCGAGCTGTTCTCTTTAGATATATGATTTACTTTAGAATCTTTAGACTTCAACCTACATGTTGGTATTCCAAATGTGGCCGTTCAGGCGGCTGGTTTTGGCGTCATCAATGATAATTGATCCCCAAACATTTGGGTAAGCCTTGGTAAACCCATTTTTTTCACCATGGGAATGTACACTATTTCGCTGGCAAACGATGCTTCAGATCTGGGACATCTGAACATGTTTTCATATTGATGTTGTCTGTTGTTTAGATGATATGTTGCCGGCCATTTCATACAAATAGAATTGCGTAAGCAGGCATTGTACTAGAAAAGAACGGTCTTTATCAGGAGAACCATCCAACGATCGCTTATTTGTTTCCATTTGTTTCCATTGCCCTGCTAGATTAGCAGAGGCTGCAAGAGATTACCCGAGGGTACAAGATATTTGTTGATTTTGGATGATTTGGGGGTGGGAGAGGTGTTATTTTGCTGCTTGACTACCAATGTTTGTTGGTCAACCCCCCATCTTTATTGGTCAACTCCTGGTTTTGGCTGCGGCTCGAAACAACGTATTTGTTATTCTACTGCAGGGGGGGACGGGATGACATCAATTTTAAGCATCTTGCGGTTAGAAAGTTTTTCAGACCACCTTTGCATACCTTTGCTGTATAGCTTGATCTTATGAATATCCACATTATCCACATTGCTTCATTAAAAGGACTACCCTCTGGTAAACTAACATAGCTATTGAAAATCACCATTTTTAATAGGAAAACTCACTATAAATGGCCATTTTCAATAGCTATGTTAGTTTACCAGAGGGTATATTATTTTTTTTGGGACATCTCCATGTTGAAATATGTCCAGGTGGATGTTGGTCTCATTCGCCAACAGAAACTTCGCCCGGAGGAGGCACAGGAGTTGGAGAGGCAGTTTCGATCTATGATATTCTATGGTTCTGGTGATTTTTGGTAATCTACCATATATATCATATTATATATATATATATCTCATATATAGTGAGATCCCAACAGTTGAATAGCAACACATCATTTTTAAAAAACTCATCACAGCTCAAGAATTGGTCTCTTCCAGCTAGGGCTAGGCAGGGCTAGGGGTCTTGGGGGGCCTTTGCTCTGCTTTGACGCACGGCGCAGTGGGGCGATCGAGGTCGAAACACAGTCCGACGAGATACGTGCAGACACGAGTATCTGAAACTGCCCGACTTCCGATGTTGGTTATTTTTTGATTCTTGGGTTGTCGAGCCAAACAATCTCAGCATGCACTTGTCCAGTCCCAAGAAGTTGTTATTCCAAAAGTAGACTCCGCAATACAGTGCATGTTCGTATCAGGGGAAGAAAAACATGTCCCTATAGTGGATCATCCACTACTTTGTTTTCTCTTTTTCGTGAGTCGATCTTGACTGATCAACTCTAAGGCTTCAAATCGGACGAAACATCCACCATTGAAACATTGAAACCTTTCAGCGCATCTGACATTATCAAACGTAGTACTTGTACATGCTAGTGCCAAATGATTTAAATGATGTATCGCTGAATCTATCGCTACGGTTGAGGCCCTGCTAAAAGTGGCAGCCGATACACCACATGCGGAGTTTTGGGCAGTTACAGCATGTCTTGTCTCATAGGATATCCCCAGAAATGTCTCAAAAAATAGGATACCCCCTAAAAATCCCCTGGTTTATCATGGTTTATCATCATTATTCCCATATTTTCATATATATTCCCCATAATTTTCCCATATTTTCCCAATGCAACTGGAGCACCTTGGAGCAAACGCAAATGAACCGCGAAATCCCGCCGTGTTGCGGCAGACCTTGCCCAACAAGCAGATCTCCTGCGACTTCCGCTGCGGAGTTCCACGACGAGTTCAACTGAGCAGCAAAGAACAATTGGTGAAGACACAGCTGCAACTTGGCAGAAAAGATGTGAGAAATCCCATGAAAATAGCGACGAAATGATGAATTAAGATGATAAATATGTTAGTTGATGTATGTGTTAGATATGGTTATATTACGATCAGCATCTAAAATGAGTTTTATTCATAAAACGAAAGTGAAATATAGAAGAGATGCTGATGAAAGGGTGTGAACAACCAGCCATTGTGGCGAGTTTTGGCCCCAAGACAGGTTCCACCAAAGAGTTCACCATCTTGGAGGTACCCCCAAATCATGCAAGTGATGAGACTACGACTTAGTACTGAAACCTATATATGGTGACTTGGGGATCCCACTTCAATGTCATTGGTGATTTCACCACAAACACCAATCCACTCGTGATGCTTCGTGCAGTTCCCGATGGATTTTGCTTGTAATCCTTTTTCTTCCTGATCAATCCGGATATCATCATGTGGGGGTGCCGTTTTCGACGTTCCCATAGCAACATGTGGTTCTCATGTGGATGAGATCCATAATCTCAATGAACCAGTGCTGGTACTTTACCATTTTTACATATTTTTACCATGAACTAGGGATCACATGGGCAAATCTTCTGTGATTTGGGTTCTCCATGGATTTCTTTGGATCAGCGAAAATTGCTTCGAGGCACCCAAAGTTCTTCAACATCTTTGGCCTTGCCGAAGTGGCCGTTTGCCTAGTGGCCACCTGGCGTATAGTTGGGGGTTGCCGCGGTTGCCGCTAGATTTCAGATTCAAATGTTTTTTTCATAATCTATCATATGTATATACAATATATACAATATATACATATATATACATACTTGTCATTGTATACATGTATAACTCCTTAAGAACATGTGAGTTTTTCAAGATTTGACTTGTTTGGAATTCCTGGTGGTTGATTTGTTGGTGGAGCATCATGTTCTGTCACGCATTCAGGACTTCTTGATGAGTCTCCTGATGCTTAGGTCATGGATCATTCCAAGACGTCGCATCAATATTGGACCCTAGCAGCTTGGCTCCGAGACGAACCTCGCAATGGCATTGTCCAAGAGGGTGATGCCAAAATGGATGGTTTATCATCATCATCATCATCATCATCCGTACTTAAAATGGACATCTTGGGGGGCATCCGCGTTTTGAATCATTTTGAGACACACCCAAATGGATCCAAATGGGGCAAACCGGGATATCCTTAAACATTGTTAATGGGACAAATGATGATAAGCCGTTGTAATCGAGGGTACCCCATTTTCACACAAACTCAATCGATGTCTTTCACGTGCCGCGCACCCTTATTAAGGTGAGCTACTCCATGGTGTCGGTGTTCGAAGGGACAGAGGCTTTTGTGGAGGGGTATGCTGGAACCTCACGTTACGACGTAGCATTCTTTGTCGTGAAACTATTGTTGGAGTAGTAGGGAAGAATCAAAACCTGTGATACCATATTTTGGGGGTCATGAATGTCCATTTCCCAGCTACTTTGATGTTCACCATGAATTCCAGGCGGAGGAGAAAGATGAGATGATTCCAAAGTGAGTTACTTGGAAGCAATAATGGCAAGGCATGCTGTGTAGCCAAATATTGGCAACCCAGGGTTCTGAACTCCCCAGTTTCTTGCTAGGGGGTATCAATTTTCATTGTACGTACTGTAATGTACCACTGTTTTGGGGTAACCCCCAATTATAATCAATTATACAATCGTCAGGTTTTCTTGATCATTAGATCATTGATCCATCAATCACTGCAAGTGAGGGGTTTGGATCCCAACCTTGTTTGCCTCAACGGTCAAAGATTTTTGGGGATTCAGCAGTCCACCAGACAAAATGGTGAAGCGCTTTAGAGAAGTTCTCTCCAGTGTGGCTGACACCAGCAGGCAACCAGAAATGTTTCGAAAAAATGCACCTCTTCATCACTTGAAAAAGGACTTGAAAAGTATCCGTTGGAGATGAAATATCATGAACTATCCCCAATAGCTGGGTGATGTTCAATTGGGGCATCAAAACCAAGCCCTGTTTACCCTCTGGTAAACAAACAAAAAGCTATTGAAAATGGCCATTTATAGTTGAAAAAAAACCCTTGAAAATGGTGGATCTTTCCATAGTTATGTAAACGTTTACCAGAGGGTAAGTGCCATTAAATCCCATTAAATCCATTTAAATCCCATTAAACCACCATTTTCCTATGGTTTTCCTATGGTTTTCCCTTGATCAGATTCCCTTGACACGTGCGGTATCTGGTGACTCGCCGCACGGCGCAAGACTGGAGCGCCGCACCGAGGTCGCTGTAGGTGACGTTCGCTGACCCTCAAGGGGTCCGTAGCTGCCTTTATGAGAAGTTCTTCGGTCAGCTGAGTTACTAGGGTGGATGGTGGCTATGTATACGATAATATATGATATAAGATGATATAATATGTATGTGTACATCCATTTATACGTATTGTGATATATCTTGATTTTTGTTTATGTCTATACTTGGATGGGTTTATAAACCAACTTGTAAGTGATTGCCATTCCTGATCTACTTGTATCCACAAAATTCATTGGAAAAGGATGCAAAAAGGCATGCGGTCCTGGGTTCATTGATGCCCCGTTTCGGGGCTTCGGTTGGATCTAGGTGAGTTTATCATTTGGGGGTGAAGTCCACATAGATTCAACATTTCGGTGCCTATGGTGCGGTGTTAACTGGAGAAATCACATGTTTATTCTGCAAACGTGGTTGTGTGTGTGTGTGCATGGATGCATGTTTTGAGCATATGGCAACATTTTGAGACATGCTGGATCTGGTGCACCCTTCCGTCCGTTGACGTCCGAAGAAAACTGTTCATCTCCATGCTGTTCGAGAACACATGGGTAAATCAGCAGAGTTTTCTCTAGCTGAAGTGTCTGATTTGCGAACGATCGGACAAAAAGAGAAGCAACAGGGACAACTTGGTGCGACGCTTGAAACATCTTGTAAGGTGACCGCTAATGGCAGAAACAAGGCTTTTTGAGGGTTGTGTTGTTTTCTTGTTGCGGCTGTGGTGCTGATCGTGGTGGTCGTCATAGTCATCATGATTGCTAGCGTTAATGTTCATTAATGTACGTTAATGATCGTTAATGTGCCTAGTGATGTAATTACTGTGATCAGTTAATCATCTGTCATATATTGTGGTCGTTCATTCATGTGATTGTTCCTCTTGTTCTTGTTATCGTCCCCTGTTCTTGTCCTTGCCCTTGTTGTCGTCGCTATTGTTGTCCCTGTGTTGGCCCTTGGTCTTGTCCTTGTTGTCACCGCTGTTGTCGCCACTGTCGCTGTCCTTGTTGTCATTGCATTGTTGTCGTGGTGTTTGCACTTACTCTCTTCGCCAGCAGAAACGTCACCTAGACTTTTGCAGGGTTTACCCCACCCAAACTAGCGTTGGTGACCACGATTTACAGTTTGGCGGGTACGCATATCTTATATACAGAAGCCAAACACGGAACGGTGAAGTGTCATGAAGTGTCGGCATGTTCAACAAGTTTTTCTATGGGATTCAACCAAACAGACGAACGATCAAGCCCGGAAAGTGTCAGACCTCGTCGGATTCCCACGACCGTGCGACCCTGCACCTCGCAGGCGACCAATGGAGGTGCTCAACCCTCTGGTGATGTGGTCTTTGACCCCCAGGAGAGCTGTGGCATGAGGCCCATGGCGCCACTGGCCCCGACCTTAGCATCCGATCCCACGTCTTGTCCCAGGAGGAAGCCCCAAAGGTGGAGGCTGAGCCTAAGAAGCCAGAAGTGAAGGAGGCACAGCCGTGGGAATGTCACCACTGTCACACCTGAAAGGGCGGGAAAGGGTGGGAAGGATGGAGGAAGAAATAGAAAATAACATATATAATTGAACATAATTGATACAGGCATTCCGCAAAGTCATTCCTGTTCTGGGAGAAAAAACTTGTTCCGCTGGAGAAGTGTTGTGGAAAAGTCGGTCCTTGGATATGGACCCCTCTGAGATGAGATCACGTGGTTCACTTTTGGATACAGCCTTTACAACGGCAAATGTGTTTCCAGCACTGATGGGGATGAAGCCCGTGCAGTCAAGAAACATGCGGCTGGAAAACAAGCAGACAACATACGAAAACGAATGACCAGACAGTATAGTGATGCATAGTGTTTCATTTGGCTTCTATATTACAGTATAGAATATATATATATATAATAGTATTTAGAGAATTATAGAGAGATGCAACGAATGATGAGGGTACGTCAAAAGAATGGTGGTCGAGGTGGAAGAGATTGACTCCGACATCGAGTTTGCTCGGGGGCCTTGGTACCCACCACTTGGACAGTTACCAATCCTAAAGTCGTACTAAGTGGGACCCCCTGTGAACGATGGCATTGGAGATGATGAATTTACAGTAATTCCGGCCAGTCGAAGTTGTTGAAGGTCAGGATATGTGCTGCAGGAAATGCGGTCGGTGAGGGATTGAACACAGGGCGGTGAGGTGTTTGGTCATGGCAGACTAAGATAGATGGGAGACCTTCAGAAGGCTGGAGATAGACATGGCCATAGCGTTCACCTCCCATGTCAAGGTCTCCGAAATGACCTTCACCGTGGACATGAGGGACGAGCTGAAGGATGAGGACATGCAGCAGGACACGGTAAAAACTGGTGGCCGCTGATTTTGGACGTGTTTAATGACTTAAAATCCTGCAAATCCTGATCTACCGGCATCTGAGAAATCAACCAAACGATAGTTGACGATAGTTGACCGCAGACATGGATTCTACCGCAACTCTCCACTGGGAAACTAACATGGAGCCAATCGAAAAAAGTGTTTGTCCATGAGTTTCCTATTGAAAGGGCCTACAAAATGGTTGTCTTCCCCCAAATGCTGCCCGTTGAGCTTCAGCCGTTCAATTTCTGGGCTCTCAGCTGAAATGCACCGCAGACCAGGAACACGCCAGATTGCCGAACTTGGGATTTGGGCCACCCGTTTTTTCGGGGCAGTTAGCGTGTTACCCCATTGTTTCCCAATACGCTCAGCATATTTCCCAGGTGGTCTCTAGTGCCCATGACCTTGGGGGCCATGGAGAAGATTGGAGCTGCGGCCCCTCCCTTGCCAGGTGCTTCTTGGGGTGAGATATCCTAAGATGGGAACACCAGGCAATCAGCGACTACATCTTGGCAAGCCTCAGCACTGCCTGGGTCCAAATTGCCGTCTGGCACGGATTCTGTCAATTCTTCGCATGAGCCCTCCAAACTTGAGGATAAACCTTTTGGTTTTCATTTATGACCCGTTATTCTCCTAGTTTTGATATGCTACTGCCATGCAATTTTGGGGTACCCAGCCTATGAACCTAGCCGTGCAGATGAGCCAGCAGCACCAGCAGCACCAGCAGATGCACCGCGCGTGGAGCTCAGACAAGGGGGGACGACCAACAAATATTATATCAAGCATATCAAGCAACCATTGTGCCATCATGAGGATTTAATGGCATTGTATGTGATTTCATAGGGATATTTGATAGGTAGCCTTTGGTGTCCTCAACCGCTGGCTGGAACAACCCTCATTGAGTTTGATGATATTGCCCCATTATGCCCCATTCAAGTAGGATTATCGATTGTCATGTTTGATTGCAGTACCAGAGGGTAATGAATGGAGCTAAGTCATGTTTTTGATGAATTCTTGTGGATTCGCAACTGGGATGTGCGATTCCAGATGGTGCCAATTTTTCGCCACCCGGTTGCTTGTCACCATCCAACCACTGGGCAGTACCCCAGACGTGGTTGAAACAAGATGCCTGGCTGTCCATCTCAAAACAACCTGGGATGATGATCCAAATTGACGATTTTTCCAATGAGACCATGAACCCGTTTTTTTTCCAACCCGTACAATCCGATGGTGGCACGACTGTTGCAGGGACCCTTTTTATGAAGATTTCAGCACCAAAGTTTGGATTCTGAAGGCCAAGTCTAGAAAAAACATCTGCTGAGCAGAAGTGAGGTGCACTCGCTCCGCTTTTCGACAGCAAAGAGCTGTCAAACGTAATTGCAGATGCCATGTTGCACCAGGCAGAAATCACAGGAAGACTGGGATACACCGGATACACTCAAAAATCAGAATTTCACCAACAAGAACAGATAGATTTCACCAACAAATCAGGATTTGGATAGGGGCCTCAGCCATGATACTCAGTGCCACTCGTTTTTGGCTGTTGATCCCTCCATGAAAATGGTCCAAATGATCCCTCCATGTGTGCGTCTTTTATCCATTACAAAACCATGGGTTCTGGGTGCATAGGTTAATGTGGTTCCCCTGAAAGATGAAATGAGTATGTCATGGGCCCATGAACCAACTAATCAATCTGCAATATGTCCTGGATTTTGTTCCATCAATGGGAACTCCAGCTGTACCAGCCAACTCGGTTGGAAGATCATTCAGCAGCAGCCATGGAAGGGTTTTGCAGGGGGGTCCCTGAGAGTTGCTGCTTATCAAGTGCCAAGCAAGTCAGATAAGTCAGACTTGGTATACCTTCCAGCAAACATGGCTAGCTGGGAAATCCCCGAACTAGCCATGGAGGTTTATAGCAGGGAAAATCATCGAACTAAATGGTGGACTACCGGAGTGTATATCTTGTCCTGGTCTTTAGAGGATTTCCGGTACTAGATGAGTTTTTTGAAATCATCCGACAGGTCTCAAAGGCAATCCAGAGGCGAGCGGCCAGTGTTGCTGTAGGATACAGTGACGGTGAGGAATGGCAACGAGCAATCATTGACCGAATCAAGCCATTCATAAGATGATTAATTATAGAATATTATAGATCATATACGTAAATCTGTGTGTGTGCCACAAAATACCAAATACCCCAAACCCCAAACCAGTTTCCCCACTTCGAACATGGTGGCTTATTGAAAGTATATAAGCCCCTTTCGCCTTGTCATAGCAAGAGCCTGGCTGCTTTCATATCCTTTCACAGTGGAACAGTTCAATGTTTGTCTGAGGTAAACAATTTGGGGTGTAGCCTATGGATGGAACACACTTAAAGGACTGATTCATATAGGAAGTTTTACTAACTCGAGCACCTCGGAGATATCCATCCAAAAGTCTTTATGTTTTTCCACCCCAAAGAAGAAAGAAGTTACATGACTTAGGGAAGTGTTGACGTAGGAGCTTCACATCAGGAGCCAGCATCTTTGTTCATCCCTACCCCCCAAACAGTACTATAAAAAAAACGATAAAACCATCCTCCAAAATGGGTTAAACAATGTTAAACATCGAACAAGTAGGACATTGTTGGATGTTTTCAGGGTGTCTCCGGGAATGTTGATTTTGTTTTCAAAATCCTCACAGATCCTTGGACAAAAAACGATGAAATTGATGTGTTCATGAGGATTCAACCCCCAAAGGTGGCCCAGATTTCTGGCCATGCAGGGTACAACATGCTGCCCGTGCTGCCCCCAAACGATAGATAGATAAGTTGGCTTATAACTAGGTTGTCTATGGTTTATTGAATATATATATATAGAGAGAGATAGATAGATAGATAGATAGATATGTTTTATTTATTTCATGAAGTGTATAAACCAACTTATAACTGGGAGACCACCACCTTGTGCTATTTCCTGCCTAACATATTCGCAGGGACGCTCGTTGGCAGCCAGGATGCAGCCTCTCATCGCTCGGGAAGTCCAACAACAATTGGACTCGAAAGACCCAGCGGAGGTGGAGGGAGCTGAAAACGGACACCTTGGGATACCCTCTGGTTATGTCAAAATAGCTATTGAAAATGGCCATTTATAGTGGATTTTCCCATTAAAAATGGTGATTTTTTATAGTGGGATATATGAGCTATGGTCAATACTCATGGTTAATAACCATTAAAAACGGGGCTAGTCATCCAATGGTGATTTAATGGGATTTATAATAACCATGGAATAAGGATCCTTATTATGGATGGGATGACCATCAACCATATAGTGAGTATTGACCATGGCTCATATGATGCATTCCCTATGATGTGGTTCAAACAATGCCATGGTCTATCATGATAATGAAATATAATGAATAATATAATATAACAAGACCCAAAAAGATGCCGAACACTGATTCCAGGCTAAAACGATGATGTTTCCCAATATATATATATACATGTATATATATATGTATATATATATATATTATACATATATATATGGGATATATATATACATACTACTGGTTTCCAACTGTGGGGTATTTTTGGGGGGCTGCTGTGGTCAATTTGTAACCATGATTAATCATCAAAGTTGGGAAGCAATCTTCCGAGTTACAGATGACTTGTATAACAATAACACAATAAATAAAACAACAGTACGTAACAGAACAGTACATGACATAACAATACATACACAACAATACGTAACATAACAATTGTCATGACAGATCGCATTGTAATGGCTGCATGAATGTTGCATGGGTTGACTTAGGGAAGTGTTGACTTAAGAAAGTGATGACTTAGAGAGAAGTGGTGACTTGGAGAAGTGGTGACTGTGTGAAGTGGGTTGAGTTAGGGAAGTCTTAACTTGGGGAAGTGTTGACTTGTGTTGGTGAGGATGCCGGACCGCAAAACATTGTGTTTTTTTCCCGTGTAAAGTGGCTGGAGCCGGGGATGAAGGGCAGCTCCTGTGTGGCGCGGTTGCGAGTTGGGTCGTAGTTTCTATGCGCTTGTGGAATGTTTGGTTGCAGATTGCACTGGAATGGTTGCATGATTGCTGTCCTGTTGTGTTGCCATGTGCGTAGAGACATGCGGGTTTGGCACTGCGCAATGCAGATCGTAGTGGCATGTAGTGGCTGGCTGCGTGCGTGATACTATTGTCTATTGTCTGTTGCACCTGGGCATCGTAAATCGTATGGGAATGGCTGCATCAACGTGGCGGTGGTTTGCCAGCAATTTTTTCCGATTTTGGCGCTGATCATTTCCCTTCCATAGTTCTTTTTAAGAAAGTGCTTGAGAATCGTCCTTTTTTCGCTCCGGCACCACGATACGGTTTTGGAGCAGTCATTTTTGCTGCCATTACGCATAATCCTATGATGATGAGAGGGAGTTTCAAAGCAGATTTCATATCTGGTGCACTAGGAGGAATTACAAAACCCATACTAGGTACCACTTGGCACAATCTAGACATATCTAGACAGGATTTTGGAGGTGTAAAACGCCACAGCTTTTGCACGCAGGCTGTGGGATTCGCTGTGCAATCGAATGCAGATGCCCCTCCATGGCAAGAGCATGTACCAATTCCGCGGTGGATTGACCAAGGCCAGAAGGGTCGATGGGAGGAATGGAGACAAAAGAAATGTTTCAACAAGAACTGGTTACATTCCAGTAATTTAACAGTTTGCCATGGAAAATTGATGAACATGGTTCATTTAGCTTGTTGATTTAGCTATTAAAATTGCGATTTTTCATGATTTGTCCAGTCCCGGATTGTCAGTTTAGTAGAGGGCAGTCCAGAGGTATTCCGAACCACAAGGCGACGCTGAGAATGAGATTGCAGCATTGTACGGTTCATTGAGTAATCCCCAAATCCTATATCGGAACAATTGGTAATATCTATACGCATAATTGCATTTACACATGATGTATATTATGTATGTATAGATATGGCCAATGCCCGGGCTTTGCCCGGCACCGCAACCACGACAGGCAACGCATCAGCATCATCATCATCATCATCATCATCATCATCATCATCACCGTCATCGTCATCGTCTTCGTCTTCGTCTTCGTCTTCGTCGTCATCATCATCATCACCACCATCATCATCATCATCACCATCATCATCATCATCACCATCATCATCACCATCATCATCATCAAACCCTTATTGAAGATCTTCAATGAATGTGGAAGTTTAACGGGGGTGGGAGAATTAAACCCTTATTGAGGATCTTCAATGAATGTAGAAGTTTAACGGGGGTGGGAGAATTAAACCCTTATTGAAGATCTTCAATGAATGTACCGTTTAACGGGGGTGGGATTTAAATATTCCCTAAGACCTTTGTTGATTTCCCAATGGAATGCAGAGTAGCAACAACATTTGATTGGGAATGGGGACCCTCTACGCTGCAATTTGTCATGGTGGATTCGTGGATTCTCCTAGGGGCCCATCGGAATTTTGACTGAGGCAGTGTGTCTAGCACAGCAACTTCTCAGGAGCTGTGCAAAATCCCCACCAATCTGCAACGCAAAAACTCCAGGTTAAAAGTCCCCATTTGCCAAGCCTGCAATGGTCTTTTTGGTCCAGTTTTCGCCAATCCCCATGTTTCTTTGGAATCGCCCAGGGGATCTCTGGGGCCACTTGGCTCCCACCTTGCCTCATCACATGCCGACTTCGCCGCCAGCTGAAAAGAAGAACAAAGCAGGCAGCTTCCGGCAAGGGCGTCCTGCGGATTGGAGGAACGCAAAGGAAAAGAATGAGTTTGAAAATGAGGGTACCAACAAATCCACTGGTTTACAACGATTTCCCCTAGTAACCTAGTATTTGATATGAAAATGAGATGAACAAATTGGGTATTGGTCTTGGAGCTTCATCGGTGATTTCACTGGATCCGAAAATTGAGACACCTGTTTTTTGGAAAATGCAAAATGAATTTGATTCATCAGATTTGATGTTGTTCCAGTTGCGCCACAGGTACTGCACATGCCAAAGCTGTCTGTCCAACGGTTGCCCGTTGTTTCTTCCTTCACCATGCAGATGTGTTTTTTTTGGTGTCCACCTGCAGGTAGCATCTTCTGCTATCCCATCCAGGAGGCTGAGGAGACGCTGGCTGCGATCTATGGTTGGTTGATGATGAGTTTCGGGATCATATGATATTATATAACTAATCAATATGGTTGGGATTATCCCTAATACAGTTAGATAATATAGTTGGGATTGTCATTCTCCATTGTGGGAACCCCTATTAACCTGGAGATAGTTGCAATCCAGTGCCTTGCTTCTGCGTTCCAGGCAGCTTTGCCCGTTTACGATTTTTTATTTTTGGAACATGGTGATCCAATTTTCGATGTTTGTCTAATTTGATGGGATTTTTGGAACTTGTCCCCTAATCTTCAGGCAAACACAGCTAAACGGGAAAGTTTTTTGCGTGAATTTCTGTGGCGTAGAATGATCTTGGTTCCACCCTGGCTGCCGTCAGATGATGTCTGGTCAACTACTGAAAATGGTTGGGTGAATGCTTCCCTGAGTCTTTCCATTTGCTTCACCAGAATGTGGGTTGCCAATTTCACCGAACAGCCCATATTTCCAGATAAATTTTCCCAATTGGTCCCATTCCCATTGGTCTTATGCTCTTACCGTCAGGCTCTGTCGTTTGTCGCTGCAATGTTGTGTCGGAGGACTAGTATCAACATCATCCACCAAAAATTACACCGGCATAGACCCCAGATAGAAAAGGTTGGAACTGATGGTTCCCAACGTGGGAACCAAAGGTTACCATGGCAAGGAACTGCCGGCTCCCAGACCTTGAAACTTACGGTTCCCAACCTGGGAACCAGAGGTTACCATTGCAAGGAATTGCCGGTTCCCAGAAGTTAGAATTTACGTTTTCGAAGCTAAGCGGCTTTCATTGTAAGGAACTGCGGGTTCCCAAAGCTTGAAACTCATGGTTCCAAGCCTGAAAAAGTAACGTTACCAGTGGAAGGATCTGTTGATTGCAAAAAGTTAGAACTCATGGTTCTTAATGTTGTTTTGTTTTGTTTGCTGAGCCGGTAACAGAACCTTTTGTTTTGCTTACTGGACCGGTAGCGAATTTTTTGCGTTTGGCCGTTGGGCCGGCATAAAAATGTTTTTGCACGAAAAAGGTGCATGTCAAAATGATATGAAAACAGTTTCTTTACAATTTTATGGTTTAGCACCCTGCACAGCACCCAGCACCTTGGCCAGAGTCTGGCTCAAAAGTTCGCCACCGAAGACCCCACCTTTGAGAAGTAAGAACCCCTATAGCTTGCCAGCTATCTGGGGAAAAAAGATGGAACCTCCTCCAACGCAAGATCATTATAAATCATTGACCTATCATTTGAGAGACTTACGCTGAATCATAAGATGGATCTGATGAAATAAGTTTTGTTCGGCAAGCCACCGTGCCTGCGCACATTCTTGGTCATATCAACCCCAAATTAGCAACGCTCTGCTTTGTTTAATTGGGGGGTGGGTACCATTTTACAGTAGTAGCAATCAAATAGTCACATCTTTTCATTACTATTTGGGGCTACTCATATCCTCCAATCAACTGGGGTTAGTCATGTTATCTCGCCAGGAGGATGAGATTAGCGAGCGCATCATACCTTCAGTCGGAGAGTCTTGCTGCGCAATTTCTGGCAAAATGAAAGCCTCAGCTTTCAGACGTATTTTAATTTGGCTAGATCTAATAGATGATCTAAAAACGATTTTTCTATTTCCATGTACATGTAGGTCAGCATGTGCACATGCGGGTGTAAAAACGACGCAGACGGGGCCAGCGAACATTGGATTTTGGAAGTCACTAGTAGTGGTTTTGAGGTACGCAAGGGTTTATAGTTCTGGTATACCAATGACAGGTCGGAAGACTGATCAATCATGGGGTTAGATTCTACGTGCATCTTTGAATATGGGAAGACCGAACACCGTGTTAAATTGTATGTGTATTGTTTATATACAGACGTCAACATCATGTGTATGATATACAGATATTTACTCACAAAATACACATACACACATACAGACATACATACACACATGCACACATACACACATACACACATACACACATACACACATATTCACATAGTTACATTACATTACATTACATTATATTGCATTACATTACATTACATATAATTATATGCATAGGCATGCATACATATATATATAATTATATATATATACATACATATGTTTTTTTATTTGTGTATATATATATAGATTATTGTCTAGACACATCACACTTATACATATGAACACATGGAAAGTTGCCAATTTGGTGGGTCTATTGGTACCCTAAATTTGCCGAAAAGGCTGGCAACTGGTTCGCTGAACTACGACTCTTAAGGTAGCCAAGTGCCTCACTATATATTTAATGACATCCTACACATTCCTATTGTTCTGGTTGGATGGCCACAAGCAAGCAGGGCCCTGGCGCATATTCTCATTGAACAGACCACAAGTGGGTCTGTCCAAAATTGTCCTATCAATACCCAATGTTTAGGCTCTGTGTAACTGGGGATGACGATGATGATGAGGAGGAAGAGGATGAAGAGGATGAGGAGGATGAACTATGATGATGATAAACCATGATAAACCATGATAAACCGTGATAAACCATGATAAACCATGGGATTTGGGTGTATACCTTATTTTCAAACCCAAGTAGATGCAGAAGTAAGTCAATAAAAACGTTTTGGATCGAATCAAGATCTATGCCGCAGAGATCTGACTTGGACTTATGAAGCATTGATTTATACATACCATCTGGTTATTTAACATAGCCATGGAAAATCCCTTATAAATGGAGGTTTCTAGCTGGGAAAATCATCTGTAAATGGGCCATTTTCCATAGCTATGTTAAATAACCAGAGGGTAACTAACAGTATATTGGGGGATCCCCAGTCGTCACCATAGGTTTCAATACTAAGTCATGGTCATCCATGATGACTGGATGATGACTGGGGGTAGCCGAATGGATTGGAAACGTCCACACATAAGTGTTTTTTCATCTTGAAGAACTCTCCGTCCTATGGCTGTGGGCAAAGGGTCGCTTTGGTTGCAATTTCCATCCATTTTCTTTGGTGAAACCGGGATGCGCGTCCCAATGTTTTTCTGTGCTGCCCGTTTCAATCAGGTGGTTTCTCACCCAGCTGTCATGTTACTTTTCCTGCTGATGGATGCTCTTTGCTGAGGAAAGTGAAGAATTGAGAGACAAAACGGCTTCTGAGATTCTTGAATCAATCAGGGAGGGATACAACCAACAAGAATAGGGATGTGTCCAAGAAGCAGGGGCTTATTGGAACATGAGTAGTGGAACATACTAGAAATATGTATATATATATATAAAGGCATCCACAGTGGTTTTTGTCCCACACCAGGAGGCTATGGCCTGGTGCACCAATTGGGCACCAATGGGGCACCAATAACGGGGCACCAACGGGGCACCAATGGGGCACCAATATCACCAATGGGGCACCAATGGGGCACCAATGGGGCACCTGGATCCAAAGAATCTGTCATGTTTCGTATGTAACAGTTCCCTATTTTAGGGAGTTCAAGCAAAGAATTGAATGGAAACTCGCACCCCATAGGTTTAATAGATTTTAATAGAAAAATCATCTGCAAAAATCAGTGTCCAGCCAGCCTTTTTTCATTCAATAGGCGGTTGATCATTGATATGTCCATTGGATTTGTTGAAGGGTGCTCTGCACCCCCACAGATAGAAAACTTGGAAGCCTCAAGATTCTATACGAAATTCCATGACCCTGGTTATTTAGTTAGTTACCAACATAGCTATGGACAGCCCCAACATAGTAACTAACTGTTATATGGGTAATTTCAATGAACAGCCCCAACATCCATCTTTTTGAACTCTTTGTAGACCTGGCGAACTAGGAAGACTTGGAGACATTCCAGAGGAACACCAGCGAAACGCGGGAACAGCAAGGCCGATACGAAAACCCCGGCGACTATGCGGCTTGTAATTAGTAAACTCGCTGGTTCAGTTTTACTTGTATGAAAAGCCGTTTATTTCAGTTTCTCTGACTGCCTGTTTCAATTTAAATTTTGGGCACATCTTGCATCAGCTTAAACTGTCATGTAGAGAAGCCTGGTTTACATGATTATAGATCTACAGCGACCTATGCGTGCAACATGATGATGTGTTCATTGAACGATCATCAGGATGATGGTCTAGATTGGCATGAAGGTTTGGTTTCCAGCCCATGATGTTGATAGATTACATGTAGTATCATTTAGTCATTTATTGAAAACGGAATGATAGGAGTTTCCATTGTTTGAGGAACGGTTGCAAACTGTAATCGACTGGGCAGTGTTGGAAACCCTAATGATGGTGGTTTCTTAGGGCCTTTTGCATGACAAAAACCCACAATATTTTTTGCGCGACGTCACATGGGAGTCACTTGATTAAAATCCAGACTATCCAGCACAAAGGATTTCACCATTTTTTTTCGACTGTGCTGGAACCAAGTTCTTAGCTTTGGTGATCTGTTTACTTTGTATGGGTGTGTCTGAAAATTGTTTTTTTGGGGGATTTTTTGGCCCCCAAATCATAGACATTTTGTGGAAAAATTGTGAAGATATGGGGAAAATGATGAGAGCAAGACAAACCCCATGTCCGTGTTTTGCATTAGTTTTCATGTGTGGTCCGTCGAAGTCCTCAAAATTCAGTTCCCAGCATGGTTTACAACCAAATGTGGCTCCAAATGGGGATACCCAAAAATGGATTATCATTCTTGTACAACATACAGTACACCAAACGAACAAGTATGTCTCAAGCTCAAGATCATTGAACCCCATTTTGGGGTGGTAACATACAAAGAAGGACCAATTTTCTGTTCCATTTCCCACATTGCCCTCCCAGATGTAAGTCCACCCGACAGATTAGCGACATGAGCAGTAAGAGCGCATCTAGCACCAATAGCAGATGCTGGGCGTGCTGGGGGTCGGGATCAAGCTATACTGGTTAGCTGTGGATTTGTTCAGGTGAGCTGAAAAGAACTGGTTGAATCATACAGATATCTTCAGATATCGAGCAGAGGCTTGAAGCCAGGTCTCTTACTATCTCTAACTCATTGCGGTTTTGGAGTGGATGGGTGAAATCGGGGCAGTTCTGAACGAATGCATTCCAGCAAGTCAGGTCGCTGCGATGTGAATATGTTTGACCTGCCGTACTTTCCGCAATTGGCAAATCCCTCTTTCCAAATGATGTTGTTTGATAATGTTTGATTATGTTTGTCAAAGGGAGCCATTCTTCCAGATTCTTTTTCAATGCACTCTGAGACAAGAATCCGGGCTGCTCAAGCGTCTAAGTTCTTGACCCACAAAGACTAAGGCTTTAGTATGTTTAGTACTTGGTGAGTATGTTGGTACACCATTTTTGACTCATACCCACACGCAGATGTATTCTTCCTACCCATCAATTTGGTGTGTTGAAGTTTTGAGTCTACCTCTGGAGTTTCACTTCATCCCTTGCCCCGAGGAAACCGAATGCAGAAGGCCAAGAAAGCTGCCAGGGGCTGAGTTTTTCGCTGCCAGGATCTTGATGCCAATGGTCGGCATATGCAGACACCCTCAAATGGTCCTTCCCCGAAGGGAATCCACTGGGCAGTGAGCGAAAAAAGTGCTTACCCTGCTCCCGACCGTTGCTCTTTGCATACAGTACGTGGTTTTTTTTTCTGGGTTCCAAGTTCGAAGTGTAATTTGTTGTGTTGAAAGTGCTTAAAAAGCATGCATATGCGGGTCCCCACTTGGAGACAGATGAGACACCCCTGGAGAGAAACCAGTGCAATCCAAGAGTATCCAATAAACCAGCGCTCGGGTCCAAACTTCAGGCTTGCATGCCAGAGTATGGCAGATATTTTTGCAAGTCCTTGTTTCTGAAAAATTCTGGGTTTCTGGACAGACCAAAGCCACATTCTGCGACCATATGGAAAGCGGCAGTCTGATGCGGGGAGCCAATTGTTTAAGGGGCTGGTCGTCGCAGGGTCAGAAATGCGGGTGAATGGACCTGACAAAACGATGGTGTCACGAAAGTATTGACTCCAAGTGTGAAATACCCCATGGTTTGTTGATCAGAATCACCTTCTTTGGGCAGACGTCCCAATCTCATCAATATGCTAACGGATCAAATGCAGCTTTTCCATAGAGGAGATGGTTGAATACTGACTGGAAAGAATCAGGCCAGTTTGACCCATCCCCATGTGTCATGGATTGTCATGGTCTAAACACCATACGGAGACAGATCATCCAACCACCATGGGCCATGGGATCCCAACATCCCAGTGGCTTGCCCACTGCATACGGCTTTGTCCGAAAATGGGGCCAACATTTCAGGCTTCACCGGCTTCACCCGAGCAAAACTTGCTGGGTGTGCACCATGTCATGTCTTATATATGTAATATAGATGTTATATATATATATATGTGTGTGTGTTATGTCCCACTATGTATATCCCATTAAAACTAGCTTGTGGTTGGTTTCATAGCCCATTACATCCCCACCTTCATCACCCCATAAAATCCTAGGTCCTGGTTAGTTTATGGAACGATTAAGTTAAACCAACCATTTTTAGGTATAGCTGCTTGGAGCTTCGGCCTATCACCCAGATATCACTGGTATTGGGGTTTACCCTCTGGTTATTTAACATAGCCATGGAAAATGGCCCATTGATAGATGGTTTACCTATTAAAAATGGTGATTTTCCATGGCTATGTTAAATAGCCATATGGTAATATCATTCCCCTTTGCTTCACGCCCCCAGGCCATGACTCTGCAAATAGAGCAAATAGGCTTCGCTACCCCGCGACGTGTGTCGGGTGTTTTGGGTGTTGCCATCACTGATTCATAAGGGATTTGTCCTAAACATATAATAATTATAATATCATTTAATTATTCAATGCTTGATCTAACGGAGGCATCAGATATGTTCAAAAACTGTTTGTTCTAACGTTGTTTATTGTGTTCTTATTGACTTTGAGATGGATATGTCATGATTTGCGGGGATGGATCGAAACACCAAGTCGATTGTCATGACAGAAGCTGTGACAGCCAGAGGCTCACATATTGATTCATTTTTTCAGCCAGATCAGCAACATCTATTTTTAGCCGTGGCTCGATTTTTTGGCCCTGGGTGTCAATCCAATTTGTGGGTACTGCAGGTACCTAAATTTGATCCATGCCCTAAAAATCATCAAAAAATATACATCTAGAATTGACTGAAGATTGAATTTGGCAGGAAACCCCCATATTTGGTTGTTGAAACTGTGGTTTCCTGCAGTAATGTCCTTATATAGCGCAAGATCAGAAACCAAGAAATTGGTGAGATTTTTTTGGCGCCTTCCCATGAGATTCTCGGTTTTTCTTGGTCCGGGGAGCATCACCTGAGAGGAGAACGTAAGCCTTCGGACCGAAACCACATTTGTTGACCAGATAACCCAAAAAACTCCAAGTTCTGGGTCAATTTTGACGGTATGTTTCAGAGCTCGCCAAGCCGTGACTCAAAGATCAACATGTGCCCCCGAGATCCACCAGGCATTGGCGAAATGCTCGGCAAAGCGGTAGGCAAGACCAGCAACGGCTTGAACTGTTGCATTTGGAAGAGACACTTCATAAGACATGTCGATTTTGTAGCGTTTATGACGGTTCTTGACTTTGTGTTGTTGATTTGGGTGGGTCCTGCCTCAACAAAATGCCACTAGGATCAAGCTTGCATTGATCAAAGCCTCGAAGATCTCGTGATACACTCTGGTAATTCATGGTAATTCAATCTGGCAAAGGAAATCCCGCACTCTGGTAACGTTTACGGATGAAATGCCGATTCAACAACATGGGCTTCTCAGGTTTTCCATGGCATTGGATTGTCAGTAGATGGTCACCGGGTGAGATGGCTAGAGATGGCTAGAGGGTATCTGACTTGATCTAACTTGGCTGGTTGTTTCAACATGTTGCAACATGTTTCTCCCTACTACCACTAGGCTTAAGTCGTATCAATCGACCTGAAGTCGTATCACACCTGCGTGCGCGCAGTGTTTCGTATAGATTTTGATAGTTCTTTATTTGATGGGTTATCGATTCGAACACTTTTTCATCGCTGTGCGCAATGTTTTGTTGACATGATTCTATTTGACCCTACTAGACCTAGCGTTAAGTCGTATCAACTCGTAGAAGTTGTATCGGGAGGCCGCGCGCCTGGAAAAAGTTCAAGTTTTGTATTGCGTTGATTTATAAACTTATATTATATTTCATTATTCTTTCAACGGGGCAACGCTGGTTGCTGCTTTCTGCTTGCTTTCTGCTTGCTTGCTGCTTGCTTGCTGCTTGCTTGCTGCTCCTTGCTGCTGCCTGCTGCTGCTGCTGCTGCTGCTGTTGCTGCTGCTGTTGCTGCTGCCTCCTGCTGCTGTTGCTGCTGCCTCCTGCTGCTGCTGCATGCTGCGGCTGCGGCTTCCTTCTGCTGCTGCTGCTGCCTCCTGCTGCTGCCTCCTGCTGCTGCCTCCTGCTGCTGCCTCCTGCTGCTGCCTCCTGCTGCTGCTGCTGCTGCTGCTTCCGCCTGCTACTGCTGCTGCTTCCTCCTGCTGCTGCTGCTGCTGCCTCCTGCTGCTGCTGCTGCTGCTGCCTCCTGCTGCTGCTGCTGCTTCCTCCTCCTCCTGCTGCTGTTTCTCCTCCTCCTCCTCCTCCTCCTCCTGCTGCTGCTGCTGCTTCCTCCTGCTGCTGCTGCCGCTGGTGCAAACATTTTGCCGAAAAAGAAAATTACAGTCTCGGTCGCCTTGTTTGGCGCTGGCGGGAGATACGGGCGGGAGACGCCAGCAGAGAGAGGGAATGTTCACAGAAGGCAGAACCTATGAAACATTCAAGCGGAAGCGGATGTTGACAGCGGTGTGTCACTGGGTTTTCAGATTTTAACGTGGTTGATATGATGATGTTGCCCATAGCTATTACATGGAAATCTATGTTTGTTAGGAAACAAAGTTAAAGATCTGGGAGGCCGTGTGCCATGGAGATTCCTAAATATATCCTTTGAAAACATAGTTTAAACATATGTGAATACCTCAGTGTGCGCAATGTTTTCTTCATTTTTGGAGATATAACAACATTCCTTGAAAGCCGGTGTGCCATTGGGATTTTGATATTTTGATGTGACTTTTGCCCAGTTGACGTGACTTTCTTCCAACTCGCTGTTACATGGGGTTGATGTGACTTCTGCCCAACTGATGTGACTTAAACCCTTCGCTCGTAGTTACGATCAACGATGATCAACGATCCCAAACTGGCTGGCCGTCATACTTTTGGGGGTGGCTCAACCACCAAGCAGCAGGATGGTTGGTGAAATCTTCTGTTCATGGTTTACATCCGAAATTTGCTAGTGAAGACGCCATGTGAAATACCCTCTAGTAATGACTAACAGTTTGCTATTGAACATGGCCATAGAAATAGTGGATTTACCCATTAAAAATGGTGGATCTTTCCACGGCTATGTTAGTTTACCAGAGGGTATGTGAAATTCTCTGAAAATAGGGTACCCCAAAATCTCATGGTGAATCTGACCATGTTAAACTTGTCTAAATCCTGGTGAACCTTTTGACCAAAATTCAGCCCCGAACCATTGAACCATCCCGCAGAAACATCCCGGGTACGCTGGAGAACCCCCCGCCAAATGTGATCAATATTTGTCCATGAGCACAGCACTGGCACTTGGCAAGGCCTGCAGAATGGTTTACCCATCAGCTTTGTAATCCCTTCCCCCGTTCATATTAAACACATTTAAACACCCCAAACGAAACCGTGGTTAAAACCGTGGAGATGAAACCACTTTTACCTTACAGTATTTCCAGGTTGGTTCGGTAGGGCCTCACAGTGTGAAACATGTCTGTGTTAGGCGTGACGGGCATAGGGTCTATGCGTGGTATTCCCATCTACCCTTGATGTGCCCCCTCAGTAGTTACCACCTAGGGTGGGATGGGGATGTTGAGTGTCTGTGACCTTAATCAATATGTGTGACCATTTTGGAGGTGTTTAATATTAGGGTGATGGGATTTGTGAGTCTTATTTATCTTATTGGTGCTTAGTAAGGAATGGATGGGAATTGGGGAATGGGGTGATTATTACTACAGTAGATGGACAAAATATTCAAACCCTGCAGCACGCACTATGTTGAACCCCCGCACCCCCAAATCTCAATGTCTCGGCGCGCGTGCTACCAAAAGTGATGTTAGGGGTTTGATTTTTTTCGTCCATTGGGGCTAATGCACTTCAGGTTACATTAACACTGAACTTTGGGGGCGAGGGGGTTGTACCGGATAGAAGGGCTTTGAATATTTCGTCCATCTACGCTGGTGATTGTGGATCATTCCCTCATTCCCTGCAAAGCGGCACCATTAAGGTATGGAAGCACCCTATTTTTGGGACATGCTTAAAAATCCCAATGTTTTTTGGGGCCAGGCGTACTTCCAGAAGGGGATGACCAGCATCGTGGCGGCAAGTTTAACAAGAATGGTGACATCACCGGGTTTCCATAAATGGAGGTACCCCAAAATGGATGGTTTATACGGGAAAAACCTATTAAAATGGATGATTTAGGGGTACCCCCATTTATGGAAACCTCCATATATTACCATGAAATACAATGATGCATTAATTACAACTTTACTTCGAATGATCCTCACCAACTGACAATAACTGACATTTATTCTGAAATTTTACTTGACATATTCAGTAATTCTATCCGACATGTATTCTGGCATATTCTGACATTTTGTCGAACATGTCAAGGGATGTAAATATTATTGCACTTTGTTTGACATTCTATGTGACATTCTATTTAACATGTTTTGGACATATATTCTGACATTGTATCTGACATTTTAAGGTACATAATTTCCCTTACATTCAATCTGACGTTTATTCTTACGTTTTATCTGACATGTATATATATATATACATACATTACATTGCATTGCATTACATTACATTACACTGCATTGCATTACATTACATTATATACATATATATATATATACATATATATATATATACATATATATATATATATATTCGAAGGAAGTTTAGAAGTCAAACTTCCGACAATACGGACAGATGGAGAAGCAGAGGTGGGAAGAGTCAGAGATGGAAAGGGTCAGAGAGAAAAGAAAGAGTAGAAGAGAGAAGAGCAGAAGAAAGAAGATCCAGGTGCGCGAAAAGGTAGGAAAGTCGCGAAAAACTATGTTTTTCCAATGATTTGTGGCTCCGGAGGGTCAAAAAGTAGGCTCGCTAAAGCGGCGGGTGCTGAGCCAGCTGGCCAGATGCGAGATAATAAACTGCACGCCGTTGTGGCGCGAAGCACATTCCCAAGTCAAAATGTACAAAGCACACTAGGTTCGGACCACTTTTGGAAGTTGAGATGTCGAAAAAGCGCACGCCTTTGTGGCGCAAAGCACATTTGGAAGTCAAAATGCGCAAAACACACCATGCTGGAATCACTTTTGGAAGTTGAGATGCCGAAAAAGTGCACACCGTTGTGGCGCGAAGTTTCCAAGTCAAAATGTTAAAAGCACCACATGCTCGAACCACACCGTGTCAAAAGTGACATTTGAAGAGGATCGGCAAAGATGAGTTCGCGTGACAGGCGCAGTACAAGAAACATGTTCATCAGAGATGTTAGGAGGTCCGGGCGCTGATTTCCTTGCATTTTTGGAGGATGAGATCTTCAAGTTTGCTAAGATGATTTTGCGTGACAGGTGCAGCACTTCGTATGACCTGGCATGGCAGGCGCAATACTTCAGAGACATAGGCTGGAAAAATTGCAAAACACATTGGTACGAGGCTGTCAGCTCTGCATTCAACTTTCCATTATTGAAGGAAGTCTCGCAGAATTGCTTCGTTTTTGATGTTGCCAACTTCAAAAATTGAGGAAGTCTCGCAGAATCGCCTCGTTTTTGATGTTGCCAACTTCAAAAATTGAGGAAGTCTCGCAGAATCGCTTCGCTTTTGATGTTGCCAATTTCAAAAATTGAGGAAGTCTCGCAGAATTGCTTCCTTTTTGACGTTATCAAGTTCAAAAATTGAGGGAGTCTCGCAGAATTGCTTCGTTTTCAAGCTTGCAGATTGCAGATAGACAGATAGATAGATAGACAACTACAACTACAACTACCACTACCACTACACTACACTACAACAACTACAAATACAAATAAACCACGCTACATTGCAATAATTACACTACACTACACTAATTACACCACCACCACCACCACCACGACTACTACTACTACTACTCCTCCTCCTCCTGCTGCTTCTACTACTACTACCACTACCACCACCACCACTACCACCACCTCCACCACCACCACCACCACAGCTACACCAACAACATCAACTACACTGCGCTAATTACACTGCAGCACGCTACAACTACAAATACAAATGCAACTACAACTGCATTACATTACACAACACTACGCTACACTAATTACATTACATTACGCTACAGCTACTACTGCAGCTGCGACTACACTTGTAACTACCCACTACACGGCACTACACTAATTGCACTACACCACACTAGAGCTACAACTACACTACCTTACGTTACACTACACTAGACTACACTACATTATACCACACTACAGTACACAACACTACAGTACGCTACAATACAATACACTAATTTCACCACACCACAACTACAACTAGAACTGCAACTGCAGCTACACTACACTTATTACACATTACAACTACAACTCCACTACACCAGGCTACAACTACAACTACAACTGCACTACACCACACTTCATCTAGCAGATGTGGGTGAGGTGACCACCAGTGGATTCGCTCTGCCATCCGTGATTCACAACAACCAACCTCTCCTATAGGTTTCCTATTTTTGAAACTTCCGCCACCGCCTTGTGCGGTACTACTGGTAGCTACAGCCAAAATTTACCGTAATGGAAAGTAGTATTCGAGCCATCTTTATTTTTTTGTGAAATTGAGCTGGGGCTTGGAAAACGATAACACACCCTTGGAACACGATAATACACCCTTCAGAAAACGATAACATTTGCCATATTCCCAAAACCTGAACAACAATAATACATTCTTCAAAAATTGATGACTTGGAGCTATATACTAAATATTTGCCCTGGCCCATATATATATATACAGATATATATATATATAGATAGATAGATAGATAGGTAGGTAGATAGATAGGCAAGATTAGGTAGATAAGATTAGATAGAAAAGATTAGATCGGTTCGATTCGATTCGATTCGTTTCGATTCGATTCGATTCGATAGATAGATAGATAGATGGATAGATAGATAGATAGGTAGGTAGATAGATAGATAGATAAATGGCATTCATTTGGGTCCCAGCCTGTGTGCGGCTGTTGCAGAAGAGCGCAGAGGAGGAAAAGGAGGGACGAGCAGAGCAGCCCGCGGAGGAAAAGGATGGAGGATGAGGAGAAGGAGACGGAGCATGCTGACATAAAATCTAGAGACCCTCCCTGGCAATCGGGGAAGAAAGTAAAAATGTGGATTGAATTTCCAACATAGGAATGTTGCTATCAAACTTGGCAATTCAACTAGCAAGAATCGTGATGTAGCCACCTGGGATCACACATGGCTTGCATGGCCCCGGCAACCCCACTTCTTGACGGGAACATCATCTGCAAATGGATGTGAACAAACATACTTGAAACCATGCTCATGCGCGCGATGGAAATGATGATGTGGTCAAAACATGACAAGACAAAAATTACACCCAAGCAGTGCTACAGTCTAGTCTTCCGCTTGCAGATGTAGAGAGGCTCGGAAAGCACAAGTTTCAAAACGGTAATTTTTCTGAAAATTCATGAAGATTCCATAACCAATTTGAATTGCAGCGTTGCTGCACTGCTGTATGCCTGCAAGTAAACCCCGGCAGCCGTTAGCCCCGGTTTTAACATGCTATAATCCAGTTGTCAAATGTTGTAAAGGCGACAACCATCCGAAACCCCAGGGACTTCTCAACCTAAGCACTTGCCATGTTTGGGCACCATAAGGATACCTGCAGTCCGCACTGGGAGCCGAAAGTTTTCCGTTCGAGTAGATGGTCGCAGGCAGCTTGGCAAAGAGGGCCATGGGGCATTGTCCAGCTTCGGCGGGTTAAGCGCCTCAAAATTGGTTAATTTCACCTTTGGGACTGAAAACAATTTGCCCAGATAGTTGATAATATACAATTGGATGTTCATGCCACTTTGTGGCTCTTCAAAGATGAAACACTTCCAAGTGACCAATACAATCAGTCACGTAAAGATTCATCAACTCGACCATTGACTATTTAATTTGACAGTTACTTGCTACCTCACTCCTTGACTCAAAGCTTACTTGTTTCATTCGATCAGGGTGACAGTGAACACATTTGTTTTCAGGTTTTGTTTCTGGAGCAAACGAAGTGCTGAATCTTGTTGGGCACAGTGGTCCGGTGAAAGGAAGTAGGAAGTGCGCAAAACACTCAAGCTGTAGCGAGGGCTGCGGCAAAAAATTGTTTAGCCCCAGCTCGCTTCGGCCTGAGCTTAGAGAAGGTGTAGCTCAGAGAAGGGGTAGATCAAAGGAAGGAGGCATTTGATGAGAGAGACGGGGAGAGGAAGAGGGAGCAAGAGAGGGAGGATTTGAGGAGGAAGAGGGAGCAAGAGAGGGAGGGTTTGAGAGGTCAAAAAAGAGATAGTTGAGGGGAGATGGCTCAGAGATGCAGGCCCCTTCATGCACCAGGGTTTCAATGTATTTTTCTCTATATGTACACATATATTAGCATATATTCGTGCGCATGAATATGAGAATAAATAGACAGACATATAGCAATGGTTTTCTGTAGTTTGATCAAGTGATGTTTTGCCACATTTCCATGGCCAGGACTTCTGCCACTCCAGAGGAGCTTTGTCAGGACTATCTGCCTAAGACAGTATCAGGTCACCTGATGGATCCTGGTGGGAATCGGAAGCTCCATGTACTCTCCATGAAATCATGAATCGCGCGGGACATTGAGCAACCCAGCAGCTACTGTTTTTCCCAAAAGCATCTTCGATGCTTGGGTTCTCGTCAAGGATGTCACTATCAATGCATGGATGATTTGAAAGTATTTATATATATACTTATTTGTGTATCATGTCTAGGTAAAATTGCATGGATTTACACAACATATCGATGTATCTTACTACTACATACATACCTGGCTTTGTTTCAGGTGATTTGGCTTATTTCCCCAATGGAACATCCACCATTTATGGGGAACCTATAGGATGAATCCACCCCGCAGGTGCCTGGCGGCGTCAAGCCATTGTCCTCGCAGCCGAGATGCGGGAAGACATGGCGCAAGAGGCTGGGCGGGCACATTTTGGGGGAAATTCTATGGGAAACCATGCAAAACCATAAAAAACCATCGTTTCTCCCAGACATGTTCCACCTCTCCCCGACATTGTATGGATGTATGGGATCTAATGTGTTTTGTTGATCCTATTAGGTGGAAATCCGATGCTGAAGTTGGGCGAAAGATTGTTGTTCTGTGGATCGAGCACAGTTATTTGGCGATCCTTCCAAGTATTTTGTATGAAACCAGGGCCAACCCTGTTCAATCTCCTGTTGTTATCAGCAGAGCCACCAAATCGCCCATGTTGGTTGTTGATTTGGGGGGTCATGAGCACATTCACCCCGGGCAAAAAAATTAGGATATGACCAACCAACCTGGTGTTCAAGAACCTGGAGAAAAAGACTGGACTTTCGAAATTGTGTGGAAATTATTGATAATTTTCCCAAACAAGAAGACAATCATCAAAGAAAGTCTAGGAAGAAAGTTCCGAGTTACGAGTTACGAAAGAACTGAATTGTGCAGTTACATTACTTCAGCCTCACATAATTCAGTCATTAATTACTCCCTTTTGTCGTTCAATCCGGTCAGTTCAATTCAACTCACTTCAATTCAGTTCAGTTCAATTAAGCTTATTTAATTCAATTCAAGGCAGTTCAATTCAGTTAAAGTTCATCAATTCAGTTGATTTCAAAGCAATTTAGCTCAATCTAGTTGAGCTCAATTCAGTGCGTTAAAGTCAATTCAATAAAGTAATATTCAGCTCAATTCAAGTCATTGCAGCTCAACTCACTGCACATCAATTTACTTCAAGTCAGCTCAATTCAACGCAGTTCAATTCAATTCAACTCATTAGCGTTCATTCATGCATTCTTTCGTTCAATCCAAGTCATCTCATTTTGTTCGATCCATTCATTTCAGTGCAGTTCAACTTCATTTCATGTGAGCCAAGCAATTCTGTTTAATTCAGTTCCACGATTCATTCATGCCGCGCAACAGTTTGTTCCTTCGCAACACATGTTGCGCCAGTCCAGCGGGACCTGGCGACGCAAAATCCATCCCAAAAGATGCCCCAAGCTGAGGTAGCGATGGCCAAGAACAACATGAGTTTCCAAGGAGGTCTCTGGTGGCTGCGGCACATGGTGGGCCTACGTGCCTTGAACAGGCCCAACAAGGCGCGGGAGCGGCCGCGGGCTGGAGGAGGAGTTCTAGGTGTGTTTGGGTAGTGACGGGTTTGTTGGTTTCTTGGATGGTTGATTGCATGATTGCTTGATTGGTTGATTGGTTGATTGGATGGTTGGTTGATTGGTTGAATGGATGGTTGGTTGATTGGTTGGTATTGATTGGTTGATTGGATTGATGGTTGGTTGGATGATTGGTTGATTGGTTGATTGCATGATTGCTTGATTGGTTGATTGGATGATTGCTTGATTGGTTGATGGGTGGTTGTGTGGTTGGTTTCTAGATGGGCAGACAGACGCACACAGATTCATTGATCATTAGATCCTGATTGACCAATAGATATGGATACAGCGCGCCTTTTCACAGTACCGCACCCAGTGTTGATGGAGCACAATGCCATCACATCACTGGAAATCATGAAGCCCTCGCTGTGGGTGTCCAAATTTCGCATTTCCCATGTTGGTTTTGCTGTCCGATTTGTTCCCATGGCTTGCTCATTGGCACGCCTTGTTCTTGGCACTGTTCTCAGCAAAAACTGACCCGAGCCCAACACCTGAATGAGCTTGACCTTTGCCGTCCAAGGCCTTGATGATCAGCTGTATGCTCTTCCTGTTCATCCTGGTTCCATGGCGTTACCATGGCATATGTGGCACAGTGCAGCCTTGGGCAGCAGCGGATGCTGACGACTCGTGCAGGATCCGTCCAAGCGAAGATGTATGATGTGAATAATCATATTGTGTATTTGACATTTCATGGTGCGTATGTGCATATATGTCTATACATATATACGTACGTACACATATTATACATATAATGATATGTATATATATATATACTGTTTGTTTGTATATACATATACACACATTGCATATTGCACTTGTGAATGCACATGGTTGATGTATATATATATATACGTTGCATATTGCCCTTGTGAATGTACAAGTATGTGTCACGTACAGATTATCCAAACTATGTATATGTTCTACGGTGCTGAACTATATGACATCTTTGCATGTGTATATATATGTGTGTGTGTGTTGTATACATATTTGTGGTTTTTCCTTTTTTCTTACGACAAGAACAACATGTATGTACACTACATCGATATTGTACGTGTCACTATATCATACTTGTGCTGGTATCATTTGAGCATAAATGATTTCCTATATAGATGAATACTTCCCCATGTATGTGTATATGTGTATATTTACAATGTGCATAAAATATTACATTAAGCAACATCATCTTGTGTAGAACATTCGACAAAAAACATGTAAAAAGAAAAACACTCATCAAGTTTTTCAAGTTTTGATCTGGTGGTTCCGTTGGCTCCGTCACTTGGGTAGCAGTCATATTGAAAGAATGTTTTCATATGGACAATTAGAAAAGGGAGCCATTATGGAACAAAACTAAGAAAGAAATTATAAATCATCGTGTCCGTATCATATGGTTTAAAGACATGATGGAACTTAAGTCTGCAGCAGTATTTGTTGATCATAATTCCGTCTTGCAAACACCGTTTGAGCAGCATGCCGCTCAGGTGGCCGAATGCATGAGCCTCTGGCTGCAGACTCAACGATATGAGTGACTCAGCTGCTCCATGTCTTTTTGTTTGTGAAAAAAAATGGTGGTTTCCTGCAATTGTTTCAGGAATGTGGCAAAGCCAATGCCACAAACCATTCGATGGTCATCAATGGGTCAAATCATCCCCAAAGCGCAGGACTCTTTTTGGAATCTCACACGAATTTTTGGCTTCGGGTCAAGCTATTGAGAAATCAGATGGTTGGCACTCGGAATCAGAATTTCATTGGTCCATCTTTCCAGTGGAGTAGATTTGGGGAACATCGCCAGACATGCATGCAGCTCATTCAGTCCAGCACCACTTGTAGGAGATTTCTCGTATCCTGAACAAGTTGTTCGGTTCCAGATATCTACAATAGATAGGAAAGAGAAGAGAATAGAAGAGAACAGGGTATAATAGAAGACAGTAGAAGAGAATAAAACAGAATAGAACAGAATAGAATAGAGTAGAATAGAATATGAATAGATCGCAAAGATAGAATAGATAAAATAGCTTAAATTTGAATGGATAGATTGAGTCGGATTCGCTTAGATTAGAATAGACTGGATGCATTCGATAGATTAGATACATTATACATTAGATGGATAAGATAGGTAGGATGGATAGAGAGAGAGAGATAGAGAGATAGAAAGAGAGAGAGAGAGACAGATGGATAGATGGATGGATGGATGGATTGGATGGATAGATGGATGGATGGATGGATGGATCGATAGATAGATAGATAGATCGATAGATTCCGATAGATTCCGTTAGATCCATCGATCACAATTCAGCGAAACCAAACCTCCCTTTACTGAGGCGGACTGCCTCCGCTCAATTTTATGAACATCCCTTGTTCCAAAATCTCGGGGATTTTGGCATCTTCTGCAGCCGCTTGGCCGCCAAAGCCATCAACGAGTTTTCGGCGGGTCGCCGGTGATCCATTTCTTGGAGGGCTACCCGGCCTGGTAAACATACAAAAAGCTATGAAACATGGCCCATTTATAGTGGATTTACCCATTAAACAGTGTGATTTTCCATAGCTATGTTAAATTACCAGATGGTATTTCTTGATATTCCAATGGTTTTTCTTTGTTTCCCATTGGTGTCAGTATCCCTAAAATTGATGGTTCATCATCATGTTCCCTATTAAGATGTTTATTTTGTTGGTATACCCCCTCCAGTAAAACCATATCACCCCACATCATATATCATGTGGTAGAACCAAATTGTTTACCATCCCCAAAATCACCCACGGTTTGTATAAACCATCCCAAATGGTTGATTTATGGTATTGGGTTGCCCACATAATCCCTACAGGATGGGGCCCCGATGTATAAATTGGTTTTTAAACCATTATAACCCCCATTAACTATAGTTACTGTATATCTATCATAAACCATAGTGAAACCACTTGGAGGGTAACTTAGCCATCTTGGGGGCCCCATCCTGTATTGTACGAGTGTTTTGTCCACTTCCAGGTGCCGCTTTCGGCCTGATCACGCATCATTTCGGGGTGAAGATGTCGGATGTGGGCCTCGCGTCAGGCGGAACCGGAAAGGGTAGGATCCAAGGACCGTTGTGTCAGGCCCTACAAACAGTGGAGGTGAGATCCCGGAACAGAATTGGATTTAGCCGGTGATTGAACATCGTTATGGAAGACATGACCCATTTATACATATATAATTTACGTATTAGACATGGTGATTTTCCATAGCTATGTTAAATTGCCAGAGGGTAACCACCATGAAATGAGGACAACAAACTGTGTAAATGGTTGGTGGTGTTGAAGTTCGGGAGATCTTGCCACAAAATATGCAATGCAAATGGAAAATTGCCGGGCACTGATGATGCAATGGGCCCCCTGCATTTGGTTTGTGGTGTCCAACACTAACCAGGCAAGCTTATTTTTTAACCAAAGTTATCCCTTTTGGGGGGTTAAGAATGTTGACCATTGCCATTCCAATGCAAGCTTGTTGACATAGGTTTGAAGCCTCGGAACCGATGCCAGGGGAGCAAGATCAGCTACTACAAGCCCACTCAGCAGCTTGTTCTTTTACGATCAGATGTTTCAGTGATCAAATCTGGAGAACGCAATCTATATCTTACCATTGTCAGGTTCATGTTAGTTTGTTCCTCAAAGATAGGTGGGACCCCAAAAAGAGCATGTTTGGTGTCATGTCGCTTTGGTTGTGTATTTCGACGTGCATTTGAGTTCCAAAGACTGGAACCTTTGCAATGAAACCATTTTTTTGGCAAAACAAACCAACATCAGAGCATGGTGTCGATAGTAAGCATCCTGATGATCCCTCCGACCAGTCCTGCAGTGCTGGTCCGCCATCGAGGTGGGAATGAGATATGTGAGATCTTGGTTGGTTATCTCTAAGAGGAATGGCAAAGTGTTGCATCTTGTCCGAAGATTTGGCCTATGTGGCCCTTGGTGTACAAAAAGATAAGTCCCTGGAAGAGAACATCATGATTCGGAGTTGAAATTCGTCATGTCAAAAACCATGGTCGGCCATGGTGCAAATCTTAAGATCCAGGGATTTTGATCGTTTACAGTGATACATTCACATCCAATTGACCAGCCATTGTTTCTGGATTATCAGGTCAGATCCCCATTGCTGCTGATTCATATCCTCTGTTGACGGGTTTGGACTTCGATTTGGGGTGAACTTGCTGCGGAATTGAACTACCAGTAAGGAACTCTGACAGTTGTACCTGTTCCAAAAGGAAAAGCAAGTGCAATTTGCTGCAACCGAGTACAGTAACAGCATGTCATAGCCACACTATGCCCACACTCATTCCTTGCTTTCGAAAATCCTAACTGGATCTTAAAACTTGTTGGTCCGAAAATGGGGTGCCCAAAATTCCGATAACGATCATTCTTTTCCCCATTGAAGGTGGCAAGTTTGGTGCATCCCACAGCTCCCGGGCCTCTAAGCATCGCATCTTCATCTTTGTTGGTTCAGACCTCTTCGTTACAATCATTGAGTCCCCTTTAAATCACCATTGTATCCACATAAAATAGCAAATATAGATAAATATAGCAATAAGTTAAGGATAGTCAAGGCTGACAACTGATCTCCCACCTCATTTTTCGGGCACCACCCCCGTCTCCAAGGGGGATTGCCTGGTTATGCGCAATGCTCACGGGAATTGCCTCGAAAATTTACAAGGCACCCAGGGTCTCAGGGGAAGGGGATGCGGGATTGCCTGAGTTGGATCCCCACATGTTTGGTGAGTTTAGGGGTGATTCAAGCAGCAAACATGGTGATCTAAGCATCAAAAACCCTGCGCAACCATCCAAAATATGGATGGATTACCTGTCAATTAGACAGCAAACATATTGATTTAACAATCAAAACCCGAACCGGGTAATCCCGACTTGACTGGCATATCGCAAAGTTTGAATGCAATTGGTCATTTAGATGGATGATAGTTGTTATATAGATATATATGTATATATATAATTATATATATAGAGAGAGAGAGGGGATTTTCCATTGCCACTATTTTAAGATTGCTCGAGGGTATGGGTCAATCATTTTGCCTACTAAAATGTCTTAATAATATTGTTTGTGTGAGTCATTGAATCCAACTCATGACTTTGGGTACGCCAAGTTTGACCAATGCCCATCAAACGAATCGCGAGTGGCTCGCTACCATGGTGCCAAAAAAAATCTAATTGGGGTGACCTGCACTCAAGCAACGCCCCCGAACGAACCATTTGCCACTATACGTGCAGAAGGCACCCGCCCCAACCAACTTCAAAGGAATCCTGTACTTTGAAGGGATGTAGCTGCCTCGCTTGATAAGATATGTTTCTGTTTCTGGATTACAGGATAGTTGGCACTGGAGCATGTTGCGAATGAGGCAAGCCACCTGAGAACTATCCAATTTGGTCCACTTGGGCCAATCCCAAGCCATTTCAGGAATGCCAAAATTGCAGGGAAAGCAGTGAAACCAGCTGATCATCCCTGGCATCCCAGGCGGCATCTGCAGATCAAGTATCTGTCCCACAAGCACCTTGTCGCAAAAATCTGGTCCACTTCGAATGGATATAAACAGTAAAAAAACACCAGCGACTTATTGAAATTGTGTTTACTTTGATTTCAGCTGGTGATATCTTATCCTTCTCCCGCTTACTTCTAAGATACCCTTTTTCTCGGGCTGGCTCTCGATTTTGACGTTGTTGCACCCTCCGAGGTCACAGCAGGACGGGCGAGGTGTTTTTTTATGGTACAGTGAAACCTTGGTCCTCGGATGCCCAAAGAATGACAAACTGTTGTCGGCCTCGAAAAATTTGCCCAAGATCAATGATGGATCAATGTTTGACCCGAGCCGATTGTGTCCAGGATGTCTGGTCTTCATTTGCTGCTCTGGGATCATATGTGCACTCTGCATGCGCGTCATCCACATTTGCTCGGCAATGAAAACCAGTTTGTTCCTCGTCGAAATCATCAGTGTCCGCACCGAATCAAAGGAGGTTGCTGAACAGATGGGTTCCGATAAGAAGTTCAGCTGGACGCCCAAAAATTGAGCACCAGAAGCTCCTCCAAGCTGTTCGTATTGGTGCAAATTGAGATTTTCGGGAACCCCCCATGTGCTGTCTGCTCTGCCTCTGTTTAGGGCCTGATTTTATCGAGGAATGTGGCTCCATGTTGACTTGAATCTTGTGAAAGAAGCTGCGTGGCTAGTCTAAGACATCCCCTCAAGAATAGGCATCCGTAAGAAACCTTGGTATAGTATTTGGATCTAATTGGATCTATGTAGGGGATTGTGATGATCAGATGGGATTAGCCGGATTCTGTGCAAGAAGTTTCTCGGTGGCAGGTACCGTATCGGCCGAAACGTGTTGTTACACCCAAAACAAACATTCCGGAAAGCATGCTGGCTGCGGTCATGAGAGTGAGGACGTGCTAGATCATCCGGATAGATGCAAGAAGATTAGTAAAGAATAAGGAACATCCAGGCCAAGTCGGCCAAGTTTAACAGTTGATGTCGCAAATATATAAGTTCCATAGCCATAGACTAACCTAAATCCAAACTCTGACCAAAGTATCCTCACCACATTTACCACAGCAGACATGTTGAGACGTCCCTGAACTCTGTGCACTTTTTTTTCGCGGCGAGTTGGTTGAAACCATCAGGATCCGCTACATGCAGAATCTCGCCGAAGATGACATCGACTTGGAAAGATTTTTGGCTCAGCGGATCTGGGGGGTCTCATTGGGCACAGGAGAGGTTTCCAATGGCGCTTGGCTTTCAAGGAGAAAATGAAACTGTGATCTTACTATATACTATATCTTACTGGGGTTCCTCCAAATTCTCGGGTTTTTGAAATTCGGAGAGTTTGGAAAGTCCAACGATCCTTACGATGGTCCTATCATGTGAACCAAAACAGGTGTTGCCCAACAGCCTCCTCCTTTCCAATGATGTTTCAGAGATGTTCTGCACAGAAGTTGAACGCTCAGGCTCAGTTGTGTTTGGTCTTCCCAGAGACCCTCTAGCAGCTCTAGCAGTTGAAGTCCTGTTTTGAGGCTTGTCCTTTCCATCCGAACGTGCAGGAATGGCACAGGAATGGAACACCATCCAAATCTTCATCAGATGTCTTTGCGATGGCTGCTCTACTACGCTGCTGGCTGTGGTCTTGATGATTCCTGCAGCTGAGCCGCAAGAAGTTTGAGAGGAAAAGACTTGGAACATCCTGGAAGCCAATCAGAATCTGGTTGGTGGTTTGGAACATTTTTTCCCATATATTGGAAATGTCATCATCCCAACTGACGAACTCATATTTTTCGGGGTTGGTCAACCACCAACCAGACATCAATGAACCGTTGAATCTGTGTCTGGCAACATGTGACATCACCCCCCTCGGTGAGGTCATGGCGGCAGGAACCATCTTTACCCTTCTCTATGCTGACAGCTACTTGGCAGAACCAAACTCCCAAGATCCTGGTGGTGAACACCGGTGCTGTTCCGGTCGATGGATTCCCCGAAAAGGCTGTGTCTGACGGCTACCCAAGACTTGTAGATTTTGATAGGTGGATAAACCATGATAGACATGGATAAAGCATCAAATTATATCGAATTCCATGGATTGTCATCCCATTTGAGGCAGCTTGGTGGAGCTCATGGCCACCATGGTGCCCTTCGCGACCGTGCAACTTGGCGCCTGCCTAGCTGGCCAAGGAACTCATCAGGCGTCCATGTTCGCTTTTTTGTGGGATCAAACCCCAAGCCTGGTCACTTTGGCAGACTGCGTGGTAAGAGGTGGCCTCTTTGGGGGATCCCTCCATCAATACTGGTACTAGCAAATCACCAGCATCATTGTGAATTCCTAGATGTTAGAGAGGCGACTGCATCAAACTACCATCGATTTGCAAAGTCACGACTGCCGAGTTGATGGTTTTGACATGTTTCGAGTTTCGAAGAGTTCCGTTCCACTCCTGGTGGCGCCAAAGTGGCGCAGCATGGCTCGACGTCCAAGGTCTAGCATGCCAATGCTTTGCCTTTACACTGCAGCAGACTTGACTCAGTTGCTCAGCGATTATGGTCGCAACCATGAGGTGTAGAACCCTATAAACCCACCCCTGATATCACATAGTTAGCTCCTGTCACGAGTAGTTGTTTGTTGCAATCCCGTTTATGCTTGCTAGATCTTGCTAGTAGTAAGGACCATCTTCTTTTGCGGGAGCCATTTATTTGGGGAATCATAGGGTATTTTTTTGGATTCCTCCCTCCTCTCTACTGTCCTGCGTTTCTACTTCTTTGCTTCTCTCTGCTCTTTGTTTTTCTGTTTCTTGGCTTGTCTGCTTTTCTGTTTGTTTTTGCTTCTCTGCTTTTTTGATTTTCTACTGTTTTGCTTCTAAACGCTTCTCTTTTTTTTGCTTCTCTGTTTTTTGCTTTTCTGCTTTGCTGTTGTTCTTTTTTTGCCTCTCTGCTTTGCTGCTGTTTTGCATCTGCACTTGTTTTTTGCTTCTCTGCTTTTTTGCTTCTACGCTTCTCCGTGTTTTTGCTTCTCTGCTTTTCTGCCTGTTTGTTTCTCTGCTTTGTTGCTTCTCTGCTTTTTGTTGCTGTTTGCTTCTCTGCTTCTTTGCTTCTCTGTTTTCCCCTCTGGTTTGGGGTTTCTATGTTTTTGGTTTGTCTACTTGTGTATTGGTTTTTGCTTTTCTGCTTTTGCTGTTGTTTGCTTTTCTGCTTGCTTCCTTGTTCTTTTGCTTGATTACAAGTGCACCTACAGCTAGATTAAGAACAGCACCAGCAGCACAAACAATAAGAGCAGCAAAAACAAAAGGAACCCAAGAGAAACAAAAGCAACAACAAGAACAAGAGCAACAAAAACAACTACAGCGGCAAAGGAAAAACACAAGTAGGAAAGAGGTTGTCTCTGTGTTCCTTGCGGGGAGGCGCTGCGCGCTCCCCCCATGCTCCCTCCACCTGTTTCTAGTTTATTGTGTCGTGCTTTCATTTTTGACCTTATAGTTTCTTTGCGTTGGTGTAAAGACCATGAAATGTTAACAAGTTATAGAAGGCTTCGTAATGCTTTAAGATGCTTCAAGGATTATCCAAAATGGAAGGTCGTCATGCAAAGTGGAAGGTTAAAGTTCAAACATGCTGCAATTATCATCTGCAAACTCCTGCAATACCATGCAACTTGAAAGGGTCTATCTTTCAAACGTGGTGAATGAGAGAGGTTCCATCTCCACAACACAGGTTGACGTTGCAGAATGCTGAAAATATTGCACATACCACGCAAACTATTTTTTGTGTTTTTGTTTTTTTGCCTTGATGGTTTTGCCAGTTGTTTTTTTTCTTGGCTTTGCAAAGCTGAAATTGAGGGCTTCTTGATTTCATGGCTTTGTTGGTGTTCACTGCAACCAAAACCACAAGCATAAGGAAATCACAAACACTGCCTATATCCAAACAGTTAAACAAACACCGCACCATCAGCAGTTGTTGGTGTGTTTCTTCAGCTACACGAACCCACAACTAACAAACAATAACCAACAACCAACAACGTCTTGCAAATAGCATGCCACATGCAAATAGCAAGCAAAATGGAAGGCTCCAGCTCCAAAATGCTACAAATAGCAAGTAAAACGGAAGGCTCCAAAATGCTGCAAATAGCACGGAAAACATGCACAGCCAGAAATCCAAAAAACAAAAATGAACTAAAAAAAATAATTCCCTAAACAATGTCCTACCCCTTCTTTTTACGGGTGACAGCGTTGGGGCCCAAGAGTTATCAGTTCGTCCCCAAGCGCGAATCTCTGAGGCAATGCGAGCAGGCGCCGCAAGTGGCAAATTCCATGCTTGTTGGAGAGTGGGACAATAGCTTAGCTCAGGCCAGGGATGGGAGATCTGGATGGGTGGTGATGATGATGATGATGATGGATGGTCTATCCTCCATAGAAAACATCGCGGAAGCCGTGGCCCATTGATGTAAGTGATGTATATAAATTTATAAAACCATATTAAATTTCCCAAGGGTAGTGACATCTTGGCTTTTGCTCACGCCGCCTCTAATGGTCCCCCGCGGTTTGCTATTTTTGTGCATTCGGGACAACTTGCTGCATCATATGTTCATTTCATGTCACATATACTGTACATTCCCATTGTGCTCTTGTCATTTCTCACACATGTCACACATGCACAATTCAGAGATGTCATGCGTGTTGCAAGGTGTTGTCCACGTTTCACAAAATTGTCAACGAATGACCAGATAACTATTTTGGGGGGAGGGCAGAGTGGGGAGGTGGGTTGTGGGGGTTGGGGGGTTGGAACTTTTAACACGCTCTTGATATCTCTTGATGCTATCTCTTGCTGCTATCTCTTAACTTTCTCTTAATCTCTTGGAACTTTCAACACGCGCTTGATGCTACGCTCTTAACTTTCTCCTGGAGTTCTGATGATGTTTGGCCATCGAAGCTCGAATGATAAGATTCGAAAGTAAACATGCAACCTTGTGTGGAGATGCAATGTGGCAAAGGGTGCGAGGTTGAAACAACTTGGCACCTTGGCAAAGACGTGCAAGTGAAAAACATCAAGAAAATCGTGTTTTTAACCTGGGAAGAGAAGACACATTTCGACCACTGTAAATTCAGGAAAACGATGCGAAAGTTATGCACCAATAAAAATGCGAGTCATGCCAAAATGCGGCCACAAAACTCGCACTGTGAAGGTTCAAAAAATTGACAAAGTGCTGTTGACAGTGGCAAATTGCGCGGATCCGCTCTGGGCGTGACCCTGTTTTTGTTGGCAAAAATGATGGCTGATAGGTGAGAAAACTTTCATGGCCTTAAGATTTGAGATGGTTGATACATGTTGATACATAATCCCAGATGGACATGGACGTGGTGATGAGTTCGGTGGGTGACTTTTGACTGAAGGGGCTTGAGATGTGTTTCTTGAGACATTTTCAGCAAGTGTCACAATAGCACCGAAAGATAGATTGTGTTTTTTGTCCATGTTTGGCCTCCAGATTTGTTGAAACGAAGCCCAGACAGGAGCGTGTTCGGAGTCCCTGAACAGAATGTGGTTTTCTACTAAAATATGTAGGTCAAAGAATGAGAGGTTTTCCTCTGGTTAAAATTTGCATCAGTGTGTAAATCCTGTAGATCATACGACGTACCAAGTCAGCTTGAGCCAGATTAGACCATCTAGAAATGGCCATCATTGGCCCATGTCATGTTCGTTATTTTTCCCTATGGTACTGTAGGTCATATTCCGGTTGCTATAGTTCAAACAGACGACGAATTCCGATGTTTGTCGATTCTCCCCTGAGTCCAAATTCCATAAATTCCGATGTTTATCGAAAATATCTTCTGAACTCTGACTCTCAGTCACTTCCCAGGATCTGTTAGACTTTATGGGCAGATGTCAACTGGGTTTTTTTGTGAACGACATGCGCGTCTCCAACGCTGCTGCAGCTCGGTACAGGATTCCTGTGTATAGCTTCAAGCTGAAACCCAGTTGAATTGGTCAGTTTAAACTAACATAGCTATGGAAAATCACCATGTTTAATGGGTAAATCCACTATAAATGGCTATTTTCAATAGCTATGATAGCTATGTTTGTTTCCAACTGTATGTTAATCAGCATGTGCTAAAGAAAAGATCTGTAAGAACTGAAAATTGCGCGAGTGGGAGAAACTTTCATTATCCCGCCAGCCACCAGCATTTGACCTGTTCATTTGGAGGTCCAGTGAAACCAGGAGTTTCATTAACAAAGGATGGGCCGAGGATGGGAACGGATTGTTGCCATATGGGGGGTCAAGATTGCGGGATTCCAACGCAAATAAAAGAAAACATGTTCAACATTGTTTAACCATTTACTTTTCGGAGAGTTTTTACCCACAAGAAGCCACAACTGAGGTCATTAAGTTTTCGTACGTTTGGGCTGCGGTGTTTTTCACCATACTCTCTTGGAGTGTCGAGCGCGTCTTGTCACAGCCGATAATCTGATGAAGTGCGCGCTGTGCCGTGTAGCGTTGAAAAAGTTGTGGCTTTTTAAAGCGACTTCGCTCCGGCTCCAATCCTGGTTGGTGGTTTCGAGCCATGGGATGATCCATTGGATGGGGAAACCGCCAACTAGGGAGCAATAGTTAAATTGAAATCTTTAAAGAAGTTTCATTTTTGATGAAGTGATCCACTTCATCCACGGTCCACGTGACTGGGTTCGGACCCGGGCCTGCACGCAGTTCTGCCAAAGGCAGGTAATTACTGCGCTTCTCGATGTGCTCTGTACAATGTTGGGGGCCAAATTGCCACGTGTTAGGATGGACATGGAAGGAGGATCTAGAAGGGTATGGTTTGGGTCAGCAAAGGCAGCGGAACCGCAATGCTGCGTCATTTTGGGTACCAAATCTTGATCCTAGGGAGACCAGACAAAACCTCACCGACGGACCCGCAGTAGATTTTGCGAATCCCTTCCCCCCAAAGAGAGTCCCCCCAGAAACTTCTGGTGGGCTATGGGGGATATTCATGGATATTCACTATTGGGGATGCCTATGTTTTTGTCGGGTGTCCACAAAGTTCCGGCCCCACATTTTTTGTTGGTGACTTTTCTGACAAACCCTTGAATTGGCTCATCAACATCTGCTGAGCATGAAATTCTTTGTCCACCTCGTCCCGCCATTGTGGTGCTTGGTAGTCAAAGCTGGCAAGGGTAGATCATGGCAAATCCCCGTGCAAACAATGGAAACATTCTTGGGAACGTAATGCACAAATTGGGGCTGCTGTTGAGCCAGCTTAGACTACTAGAGGGTAGGCTCCTTCTGCTTTCAGCCGGCTGGACCAGAGTGACCGGAGGAAAATGCCAGGCTCGCTGTAGTCAACGGAGATTTAGGGAGGCGGTTAACGTAAAAGATGGAAAAATCATGAACATTCATGAAAAATCAATGGAAAAATAGAGGTTGGCTTGTGTGTCGTTTCTGGGGCCACCCAAAATGTAAGGCATGATATATCCAATTGATGAGAGTAATGATCGTGATTTTGTACCACTGATTGTTAAAATCAGCTCAACGCTGCTTCACCATTCACTCTTGGGTAGTGGACGGACATGTGATGATAGAGGGACATTCTTGGAAGAGCTGAATCAACCACCAACCTGATCTCTTTGACATCCTTTGATGGGCAAGTTTCCATTGGATCTTTCATCACTGAAAGTCGCATGCTGCTGTGACCAAATCATGTTGAAACTGACCTTACTGGCTATTACGAATCAAACATTTGAAGTCAGCGACAAACACAACTTCTGTTTGGTGGTTTGACATATCTTCTGTTTCCTATCCTGGGATGACGATCTGCGACGAATCTGTTTCCTATCCTGGGAGGGTTATAATATGTCATAATTACAAACCTTCTGCCTGCGGATCAAGTGCAATAACGTGCAATATGGCTATGGATCAATACCTATTAATACCATTTTTAGTGGGATGAACATCCATAAATCCCAGCTATTTTGATGTGAACTACAGGGGTACTATTGGTTTTGACCCATCCCCATATGTTTCTTTTGGGGTGAAACTTTAGCCTGCAGAAAGCGGACTCCACGGCCACGGCCTCGCCTGAAAGCGAACGTCAAATCGTGGCTGCTCAGCTCGTCCTTGGATCTGTCATGATGCTTCCATGCTCAGCGTTTCAATGTGTTTCTTACACAGACAAATGGAAAGCCCAAAATGGATTGAAAGCTGAAAGTTGTGTGGTGTGGTTATTTCAAGTGAAATTCTAGGGCAACAGGGCCGCCTGATCCTTTGTTGGTTTGGACTTGGCTATCCTGTTGATGTTGATGGATGTTTTTTTGCGGAGGATTTCTGACAGTTCTCCAGGATCCACCTGCGAGGGTGTGAAGATTCAGGAGCTGCTAGCTCCCTGCCGCTCGTCAGAGACAGCCGTGAGCGAGTTACGCCATGGTCAATTACCGAAGCCGGGGGCGGTAGGTCAAGTGATGCCAATCAATCTGTGCTAAAGTCTGGCCGGTCTCGGATTCATAGATGACTATGTTCACACGATCACCATTGAGGATCCGGTCACGATCACTATCCATTCACATCGATTAACATCCATTAACTATCCGGTTGTTACAGGGGAGCTCAGGAGCTATGCGATTCCATATTCCTTACTAAATGGGGAGCTAAGGAACTATACTATATAAGAGCTTCCCAACCATATGATAGTAATAGTTCGACGTCTGAAAATTATCCAACAACGGCACCCCTTTCTTCGGTTTTGACTGTGGCCATTTTGTAATTGTAATAATCACAATTGGTACAAGATTAAGATGTGCCCCTTTCCTGCTTCTGGATACTGGTGCTGATGGGTTTTTTGAAAACCCAAATCTGAGTTTGATTAACTTAGTTATCATTCTAAATTGATGGTAGAAGAATAATGGTATGGAGTATGTAGCAGTAAAATATGGTAATTGGAACAAAACTCCCTTGTGAAGATGTTAGAAAAGGGCCTTTCGATCGCACCAGATCGCACCAGACACGATATCCAGGGGGTCAGGAAGGCGAACAGAAGATAAACCTGCTGTTGTTATCTGAGATCCCAAGAGGGAATTCCTGGTCCATTGGGATCCGGGAGACGGTTGGTGACTAGAAAATCTGTTTCACCTCCCAGTGCGGCACAGTTCTCGCGAAGGGGCCATGTTTTTTTTTTCCGACGACGTCATTTTTAAGACTGGGGAGACCACTTGTGTCTTTAACCGACTTTTTTTGGGGGTCCCATGAAAAACATTGAAAAACCATCCAGCACCACCTCCAGCAGCATTCAAACAACTTTGCCTCCGGGAGCAGATGATCTGACACTTTGGGCGGCTCAGACCTCGACAGAGATGGATCAGATCATAGAAATGAGTGTTTGAATGGTTTGAATGCCATAGTGCGACACCATGCAGCACCATCCCTGGGGTTGTGATGATTCACAGGAGATAAAAAGGGGGTACTCTGGGTAAACCGGTAAAGTTGAGTAGGTCAACAGCTGATTTTTGGCCATGGGGAATGGGGAAATAGAATACCTGGCTAGATCTAGTCTTCTGATGTCTTCTGGGGACTCCAAGGTACCAGTTAAAATCAGTTAAAAAGTTGAAGTATTTCAGGTACTGGAAGCAAAAGAGTTGGATTTCATCATCCCAGTTGCCACGTAACCAGTTCTGGGAATCCTCAGCATTTACGGCAGCTTTGCCGAAGTCTCAGTGGTTTGTCTGAAAATAGGCTACTTTCTATTGATTATCTTGGGTTTATGATGATTTTATGATGATTTTCATGAAATTCTCCCATTAACTGGTTCTTTAAATATTTTGGGGGGGATGCTCCATTTTCAGACAGACCAATGTCGAGACTGGGATGGGGATGCTGGATTTGCCGCTGAGCCATCGGATTTTCAGTGGCGTGAAAAAAATCGGATTGGAGCCGTTGGGGGGCGTGGACGACAGTGGACGACAGTGTATGGGTCTTAGTCAAAACGGGGTGCCAAATGAATGCTGCTGTCCAAGAAGATGAGGTATACAGTATACCCAGGTGATGGATCATACATCCGATTTGGGTGGCCTATTTTCAGATAAAGCTATGTAGCATCATGTAAGCATGTTTATCGTGCAACAATGTCTAACAATGAAAGCAACCTGAAATTGCATTATGAACTTTGATCCTGCAAGTCAGACTGAGCGTTTCTCACTGAAGAGGTATCAGAGAAGGCAGTGGAAGGCAGTCGAAGGCAGTGGAAGGCAGTTGAAGGCAGTCGAAGGCAGTCAAAGTTTTCTGCACATTTTCCTAAAATCCCAGGCTTCCTCATAGGAGCGAGGTCAAAGTTGGGTTTGAGATGGTTTGGCTTCTCTTAAACGCCCTTGGAGATGCTGTGGGGTTTATCATTGTCGGGGTTGATTTCATGAAATGTCTACATGGGATCCATTAAACCATGTTTCCCCCAGTGCATAAACACAAGTTCCACACGGTTGAATATATGTTATATTATGTTATATTCCATTTGGGTAAAACAATACTAATCAATATATTCCCACATCCCACTATGTTATATTCCATATGGTAAAACAAGATATTCATTCCTAAATTGGTGGTATATGGAGGTTTCCGAATAGGGGCATCCCCAAGTCACCATAGGTTTCAGTCTAATGACTTGGATGATTTGGGGGTGCCCCCATGACTTAGGAAACCTCCATATGGTTAAACCATTCTCAGTCGACTGGGTGGTTGTCACAAGGAGATGAAGCCCGATGATTTGGACGACCACGAGCGCCTCCCGAAGGTTCGTTCCCGTTGTTGAAGGGCCTTGTTAAAGGCCGTTTTTTTTTTCGGGTTGCAAGCCTCCAAATGAGCCATGAAAAAATAGATACCCTGGTTGTTGGTGAATTTCTTGGGACTTATAGATACTTGTACTACCTAACTGACCTTGAGGATTATGATAGCCCATAGTAAAGAGAAACCTATCAACCAAATCGATAGACAGGTTGGAAACTTTGAAATTATGGAGGATACATCATAGAACTAATGTCCTGGAAAAACTCTTGGATCTCTTTTGGGACTCAAATAAAAAAAGATGGCCCATCAAATGGGGATGAATCCTCCATTTAGATACAATCCCAAATATCATATTCACTTGGTTATAAATGGTTATAATGCCCATAATATCCTTGAGTTTAATGGTCAAAGCCCCATTGTTGATGATTATATGATATTATATGACCATATACTGTATAGCCCGATAAATTCTGGGCAAACCCAAATGATCATGTTTAGATAATGGTGTACAGTGGGAACATTGATTTGATGAATGAGTACCAAAAGGTTCCCCATGTTGCTAGAAAAGTTGATTGATGACTAGGCTGACTAGGGTTTCGGGCGGGTACATATAGCTTGTGAGCCGGGAGGGGCACCACTTTACGGGAAGGTCCAGAAATGAGGTATGCGCCAAATTTGCAATGTACATAGGCAATATGGTGATAATCTACTGGATTTGGGCAATACTTTTGAAGAAACCCATGTGGAAATGGGGACCAGATGAACTTTGGATTTCTCAAGGGGCTTACCCCCAAAAAAGTGGTGACAATTTGCTATTCAGCTAGTGTTCACTAAACCAACCGGATGTTTCACATAGCTATGGAAAATGGCCCATGAAAAGAATTGATTTTACACTTTGAAATTAGTTGTTATCTGTAGCTATGCAACAAATTTCCAGAGGGTATCCCATCGAAACCCATTCAATCACCAATGAATCACCATTAAATCACCATTCAGTCACCATTCAATCACCATTTAGTCACCATGAATTCACCATGAAACATAGCTTGATCCTTCGCCAATTGGGCCAGGAACACGAGGCCTGGCCACAGCTCTTTCCGCCTGCCTGGGGCCCTGGCGCTTCCATCAATTGGTCAATCAGCATTTTCCCTCAGATTTACAAGTTACCCTCTGGTAAACTAACATAACTATGGAAAATCACCCTTTTTAATGGGAAAACTCACTATAAATGGCAATTTTCAATAGCTATGTTAAATTACCAGAGGGTATAATGAAGGTTTTTTCCCCCATGTTCAGACAAAAAGATTTAAAAAAACGTCCGCGGCTGCATTCTGGTTGAAATCGCAGGGCTCCTGAACGACTCAAGAAAATCACGCTCCCAAATTGAGGATTGGATCTACATCCAGGGCCCTTGGGGACATTCCTGTTCCCATAGCAATACAGTACTAGTAGTACCCAGGATAAAAAACTTACAGAACTTACCAAGCAAATACGAGGAATTGCTGTTCTACCCTCATAGCTCCAGCAGATTCCGGCCATGCCTGTATGTGTGTACCTATACGCCCTTTAGCTACCGGGGGCGCTTTTGGGGGTCCGGGGCCGGGAAAAAAGATGCTAAAATTATAAGATGGTTTTGGAAGTCGATATTGGGCCGTTTTTGACCCATTTTTTGACAATTGCTTGCTGTGCTCGGGAAGCAAAAACATTGTAGAATACAGTGTGTTTGTCTTTTTCACACCAAGAAACTACATCTTGCAACATTGTGAAAACTGCGTAAATACCAGTGTTTTTGCTAGGCACGGGCACAAAAACACTGTAAATACAAGAGGGAAAAAAAAAACGTCGTAAATACCGTGGTTTTGGGCTTACGAGGCGCGAAAAACATCGGTATTTACCGTGTCTTTTGCTCCGAGAGCGGCAAGAAATACGAAAACACCACCTATGTGACGATTTTCAGGGCCCACAAAAATGCGACAATAAGATGTGTTGCAAGTACAACAACAACAACAACAGCAACAACAACAACAACAAGAAGAACAACAAGAACAACAAGAACAAGAAGAAGAAGAAGCAGCACAAAAATGCGACAAAAAGATGTGTTACAAGCTGCGGTATGAAAAGCACATCATACTGTGCTCTGCACCTGCGCGCATGCGCCGAGCACATGACCAAAACCAACGCTCATACTACTATACATAACCCTTATGACATCGCCAGTGTGCAAAGCTCTACAATATATATATATATGCATTATAGATGAATAAATATGAATATGGTATCGTGAATATACATAGTATGTATATGTACTGATTGACCAGCAGGCAAAGACCTGAATTCAGCAGACCATGCAGGCCGCAGCGTCGCGTTACATTTTAGTGCCCTGCAATTACATATATATATATTACATACATACATACATACATACATACATACATACATACATACATACATACATACATATTTATATATATATATACATATACATATAAATATATACATATATACATATATATTTATATATACGTACATGTCACACACACACACACACTATCTAATTCTCAGGGGTAGCTGCACTGCTTAGGCCAATGCAAGCGCACAGCTACGGCACGACACTGAGAAAGCTGCGGCGGGGTGACCCAGGTTCAGCCCAGCAAAGCCCAGCTGTTTTGGTGAGATGTGACGGGAGTGACATGGAGTGATCATATTGAATTGTTATGGACATATATCAATATACATAGTATATACATGGTATATATATATATACATATATAGATGGATCATATTGAATATTGTATATGTTATATATATATATATGTGTACCATCTGGTTATTCAACATATCCATCAAAGCAAAAAAGCCCATTTAGTTCGATGTTTGTCGATGATTTACCGTTTTTAAAAATTGTGATGTTCCATAGCTATGTTAAATTACCAGAGGGTATATATACGGGGCGACAAAAGGGACATAGTATCATATACTATGTATTATTATTATATAATAGTAATATAGAATATGTCATGGGCTTTATGATCAATAATTTCGGGCTATATATCAACTATATTGAACATAGAATATACATTTAATACAGGTAATACAATCCACAATCCAAACATTATAACCCATAATGGTAATGGGTTATAGATATAATGGGCATTAATGGGCTATATATACAATGATGGGATATTATATATGATATTGAAATATGTGATAAACAAGGGTGTAACGATAGATTACCCTAGCATTCTGGGATCACATATAATATACGCCATTATATTTCAAGATAGTTCAAAATGTCAACTATAGCGGTAATGAGCTACATATATATATATATTGTAAAAACTCCTGCAGTAAAACCATGTATTGTATATATCATTGATCTACCCGAAAGCGTTGGTTCAAAACAGTATCAGCCGCTTAACGGTTTGTGTGTATTTCACCCCCATTGCTGTTGACCTGGTAAAATACAGGTTATCAGCCGTAGTCTCACTACTTTGCTATGGGGACCCCAACTGACCTTCCTCTCGCCGTTCCAGGGTCAGGTCCATCGGCCATTGCTGTGCCCAATGTGGCCGGAGGCAACTCCGAGCCGATGGATGACGAAACGATGTTCCAACCTGTCGTAGCGTACTTTACATTCATACAAAACAACCTATCCCAAATCACTAGTGGGAACACCCTGCAAGTCATGAGGGAAGCTGAACAGAGGCACCTTCAGATAATGCATGGAGTAGTTGACTCAATCCGAAGTGAATGGTCAAATAGGCTCGTAATGCAAGAGCAGGAGTATGAGCAAAGGTTGCAGGATGTAGAGAACAAGGCAATTGGAGCAGTCAATGAGGAAAGGAAAAGAGGCGACGAGTTAGAGGTCAGGCTTAGTCAGGCTCAGGCATCGCATGACAAAAGGGTAGAAGACTTCAAGGTAGAGGCAAACACAAAGCATGATCAGAAGATTGCAGAGGAAAGGCAACGTATCACTAGTGAATTCGAAGCCTCCTATGCACAAACAGTTGAACATGCAAAGAATGCCATAGCTGCCACGAAGAAGCAATATGAAGATCAGGCTGCAATTGATCAGGCCAGGTTCATTAGTCTGAAAACGGAATTCGAAAACTATAAGAAGGAGATGGCCGAGAAGATCAATGAGGCAGCGGCTCAGAATCTCAGCCTTCAGGACCAAATCGATGACTTTCAGGAGCAGTTAAAGCATGTTGCCAAAGCGCAGCATGCCTCCGTTCCGAAAGCATCCGTCCAGAACGCCGAGCCAGCCGCTACCGCTAGCGTGCCTCACTTCAACATTGCCACTCCTAGAGCATCCGATGCACAGGCTGCCAAAGGCAGTGATGAGCCAATTCAAGAGTTGAAGACGCCTGCAGTGTTAGCACAAGAGGCAAAAGCCAAGTTGGATGAGCTGCTCAAAGGTGGCAGTTCTCAGCAGAAACCGGCTGTCGGCAACGACCAGCCCAACTTGCCAACACAATCAGGGTTTTTCACTCCCACTGAAGCTATCAAAACTCCCCCAAATGACTCTCCTAAGAGCGCAACTAAGCAACAGCAAGTGATGGGTCCCTCAGATCTTATCGAATTGGTAAAAGCCTTAACCCATAGGGAAGAAAAGGACAAGCCAAAGACTAAGGAGGCCGAGATCATCAAGCTGAACAACATGCCCGCTCCGGAGTCATACAGGACTTGGAAGAATCATGTCAGGGATGAGGTGAAGAGTTGCTCAGATCGTCCAGACGAAGCGTGGCTCTGGCTCAACGAGGTGTACGATCAGGAGTGCACTAGAGAGCAGTTGGAGAAGAAGCTTCAAGATCCCGGGAAGTTCCTTACGCTGGATACAAAGTTATCAGCAGATCTCACGCGCTCAGCCGGAGGGGATCTCGCAACTAGGATCCTGAATTTCAAAGAGCAACAATCCCGAAAAGGCATCCAGGTCAGGGGAAGGTATGTTCTGCTCATGTTTGAGGACTACTTCAAAACATCAGAAGAAGCAGGTAGCCTTTACAGAGTAGAAGACCTTTTGGGTGTTGTCAAAGTAGGCGATACTGTCCAGGATCTCAGAAAATTCATCAACAAATGGGATGCTACCCTAGCTGGCATGGCTGTCACCCCCGATGATGCTGTGTTAAGGGACATCTCGTTGAGACAGATCCGACCAAGTCAGTTGCTGAAATATGACATCGAGATGTTTGACCGTGCACATGAAAAATCCCATGAAAAGTCCTATAGTTTTCTTCACCAATCCATGAAGAACTTGATCGACCGTGAACGATTGAGGGAAAACAGGAACCGCATTGCGGAGAAGAACAAGGCAGGGATCAAGGACACAAAGGCCGCACCCGCCAAAGGCGATGGTCGCGGTGGCCGAAAGGGTTCCCCGAGTCGTGGTAGATCGCAGGAACGAGGTGGCAAGGGTGATAAAATTTGCTACAAGTTCCAAAAGGGTACCTGTGATAAGGGGAAGAAGTGTCCATTTAAGCATGTCAAAGAGGATAAGTCTCGAACTCAATCACCCAGAAGAACCAAAACACGTTCACCATCAAGGGGCAACAAAGATGATAAGGGGAAGAAAATGTCCAAAGAAGAAATGGCCAAGACCCCATGCATCTATCATGCCCAGGGAAAGTGTAGACGTGGTGACAAATGTTTTTATAAACATGATGACAAAGCTGCCGCTGCCACCAAAGATACCAAAAGGGACAATTCACCCGCTCCCAAAAAGAAGAGCAAGGATTCCACAGCTGCTCCGTGCCTGATTCAGAAGTTTGCCTGCATAGCCAGAAAACAGCCGAAGGCAACTTCGTGCTCTGATGAGCCCAGTGTCAGCATGAAGCGACTCAGATTCCGAAAGGTCCCACATGTGATAGGCAGTTGGTCGTCAAGTCCCCGTCAAACACCGTCCAAGAGAGTTCACTAAGGTGTACAAGACAGCTGAAGATGTTCCAGTTTCGTCCAAGGTTGAACAACATGAGGCTCAGGTTCGTGCAAGACAGCTTCAAGAAACTGTGAAACTTCATGATTCAGATGTTGCACCTAGTTGTGGGTTTTGTTGTTGGAATGAGGATACATGTGACATCACTTGCAAAGAATGCAGATTCGTCAGCGGTCCCAAAGCTCTCAAAGACATTGGTCGTTTTCCGTCAATTGCCAGGGCCGCGCCAAAGGCCGGCGTCAGTTGGCTTGTCGACTCAGGTAGTGAATCCGATCTTGTGTCCAAGGGTATGCTGAGGGACGTTAGCGCCAAGAACTGCCGTGCAGCCGAGCATCCGATTTCCTTAGTTACGGCCAACGGTTCGACTGAGGCCAATGAGGTTGCTGATGTCAAGTGTCCGCATTGCCAGATCCCGTGCATCCGTATGTACTTGATCATACCCCAGCTGTGCTCTCCGTAGGAACCAGATGCGTAGATCAGGGTTACAGTTTTGTCTGGCCTGCCAATGGCAAACCGATCCTAGTCCGTCCAGATGACAAGGTTGTCCAGCTCAAAATCGAAGGTCATGTCCCAGTCTTGGATGACAGTTGCAAGGTTTATCCCAAAGATCAATTTCAAAAGGATAAGCACCTTAGAAAGTTGTTTGCAATGCCGACCTCACGGTCGAGCTCAAAAGCCAAGAGGGACGAAGCCCAAGACGAAGAGCAATTGGATGAGCTGGTTGAGGATGATGCTCAACAGGAGTACATCCGAAGCCGTAAGACTGAGGATCTGTTGGCTGAAGCTGCAAGTACCCAACATCAGTACACGCATTTCCCCAAAAACCCCTTTTGCAGAACCTGCCAACGAGCAAGAATGATGGCTCCCCAGGCAAGGAAGAAAGGTGGTCAGAAGAGAATTGAAACTGAAGTATTCGGTGACCACATCATTGGTGACCACGTCATCATTAAGAAGAATGTAGAAGAGGGTTTCAGGGGGGAGCAAGTAGCATTGGTGTTAAAAGATCTGCACACCCAATATAGATATGTCTACCCTAGCCAGTCCAAGGACTCACAAAGTTGTGTTGATGGTTTGAACCACTTCATTGGATCAAAGGATGATGTTCAAGTTGTGTACACTGACAATTCCCCAGAGTTGATCAGGGCCATCAAGGATTTGGGTTACAGACATCAAACTTCTATTGAGTACGTAGATTCATCAAAGTCTTTTGCTGAGCGCGAAGTTCGTCAGATGTTGGAAGGTGCCCGGAGCAACTTGTTGCAATCAGGACTTCCTTTGAAGATGTGGCCATTGGCCATGCAGCATCATGCGACCGCGATTAATGCAAGCCCCCAGCTTGACGGCAGTGAATCCCCGTGGCAACTCAGGTTTGGTGAAGAGTTCCCTGCAATGCACATTCCATTTGGTGCCAAAGTGTTGTTCTGGAACAATCCCAAAAGGTTAGATAACACATCAGGTAAACTCTCCCCAACAGCAAATGAAGGAATTTTCCTTGGGTATTACATCCAACCAGGTCATGATTGGAAGGGTGAATACTTAGTTGCCAAGTTGGAAGCTGCAGACTATCATGTCAACTGTGGTGCACTGACAATTCAAAGAACGAAGAGGTTGGAATTGCCATCCGAGGGTTTCATCTTTCCTTTGAAAGCTCTGATCGACTCGAAAGCACCCAAAGCCGACCGCCTCGAGGATCA